AATGTAGCATCACATTATCAAATCATAGAGCAATTAGTCTTAAAAGATTTGTCTCGCAAATTAGTCGCAATCTGTACAATTAGTTATTTTTTAGCCTATATTTAATACTTCGTATAGGTGTTCAAATGTTCGATGTGACAGGGTGTAAAATTTTAGGGTGGGATCTAAACATGCTAGTAGGCTGGTAAAATTTTAGCCTATATTTAGTTTGTCTGTTCTTTTTTCTCCAACTGTGATAGACTGGTAGTTGCTTTAATTTAGTTTGCCTAGGTTCTAAATGACTTCTCCATGGTAAAGCATGTGAAGTCTGTATATCTCAAAAGAACTAATAGTGCTTAAAATTATTACTCTCCTCGTTCCAAAATATAACAATTTTTAACTATCATTTTAGACATAACCTTATCTAGATTCGTAGCTGAAAGTTGTTATATTTTGCGACGAAGATAATAAGAAATTTTTTGTCAACGCATGAAAAATGTTTGTTCACTGTGAATATCAGATGATCATGCTAAGCATGGCAACCAAAGAGATGTTACCTACTGTTAGACATTGTCTTCGTATCTTTCTTAATAAAAAATGGTGGGACCCACCTAGGAGATGGGAGAGAGAAGGAAGAAGAGGAGGGGTGAGTGACATGCGGAGCACACGTCGGCCCCACCATTTTTATTAATTTGTGTAAAACTGACATGTGGGTCCTATGAGGTTTATTATTTTTTTAAATCGAATTGACATGCAAGCGCTACGTCAATTGCACATCAAATGAATATCAAGTTAAATTAGCTACGTAGTCACTACGTCAGCCAAAACCGCTGTCCAAACTGCCGAGGGACCTTATCTACACTGGTTTTGATAATTGAGGGACCTATTATATCTGGTTTTTTGGTGGAAGGATAAAAATCAGATTCGTTCACAAGTTAAAGGATCTCATATAAACTTATTCCAGGTCTAAAAGAGCTTGTGACCGATCAGCCACTGCCCAGTGCCCACTGGAATTGCAGGAGTACTAAGGCCCCTGTTCTTTTCTCCAATAAAAACTAGATAAACTTTTAGATAAAAGTGGCATTTTTTCAAACGGTTAAAAAACTTTCATATAAAGTTTTTTAAAAAATATAAGATTAATCAATTTTTAAGTTTGTAATAATTAAAACTTAATTAATCACATGTTATTACCACCTCGTTTTACGTGAAACACTTAATCTTTATTTTTATTTTCATCTTCAGAAGATTTAAACACAATCTAAATGAGTACATTGAATTTCTTGGGCAGGAAAGTGGCAACGGCTCTGCGGCCACTCGCCACTTCGCCAGCCAGTCTGCCGGCGTAGCAGCATCGCCAGTCGTCGGTTCTAACGCTAGCAGAATGTTTGGGCCGTAATCGGTTGCACACGTCTCACGAATGGGCCTAGTTGTATCATTTGGGCCGGTCGACTTGGCAAACAACCGGGCTGAATGGGCCTACTCTGGTGAAACACGATGCGTCTAACAGCCCAAGGAGAACGAAAGCCTTCAGCTTCCTCCTCTCCCCCTGACTCCTGGTCTGTTTCTTTCTCCTCCCCAATCCTTCGTTCCCAGACTCTTCCCTAACAAATCCTCCATCAAATCCCCCCAAAATCCCTAGCGGCCTGTTTGGTTGGAGGGAGTTATTAGGAGGGATTGGGAGTTTAGAGGGATGAGGCTATTAAGAGTTTTGTTTGGTTGGGATACATGGGAATTTTGGTAGGATGGGGATGGGGAATTGAGGAAGGAACTCCCTCCTTTTCAATACCTGGGTAGAGGCAGGTAATTGGGAGGGAATTACTCATTTATTTTTTCTAAGCAAATCTCAGCCATCTATTTTTATTAATGACATAATCTCCAACTAAACTCCCTATCAATTTCTATCACCTCTACCAAACAAGATATTGGGATTAAAAATCAAATTCCCATCTTAATCTCATCATCAATTCCCTCATGCAAACTCCCAATCCCCTTCTCTCGAGTTACCAAATAAGCCGTAGAAGTTTTGTATCAGGTGATGAAGCAACCTGACGCTCTGCCTTCCTGCAGCGAGGATCCGACAGATTTTCGATGGCTGATGCGGTTCGTTTCTTTCTTCTTAGTAAGCCCGTGGTTACTGGTTACCATGTGTTCATGGCTTAGTTTTTGCATGATTCCAATCCAGGAGCATTAGCTTATGGTGTGCCATGGTCGTGCCTAGGTGCCGGCAGTGAAGGCGAGCATGCTGACTGTCACTCAAAATGCCGGTGCAGCTGTGGCTAGCTTCAGGGAACTTGCCTTGTTTCTTGTTCTTGTTCATTTCGACCGTTGTGCCACCGGAATCACCGAATGGTTTTTGTCCTTCTCACCGTCCCATTTTACCATCTTGGAATCGTTGCATCTCTCAGACTCTCACAGAAAAATGGAGAAGAAATGTTGGTGCTCACTCAACATCAACAACTTGGAGACTTGTTTACATTTTGGAAAATGGCATGGAGTCGCTGCGTCCTGGTACAGTATAGAGGAGCCCGCTTGCCAGAGGAATTTGGAGAAGATATTTTGTTCACGCGCCGGCGAAAGGTCTATATATATGCTGCCAACCATGTTCTTATCCTTAACCTTATGTATTATGGGACCAAAAAAAGCTGATATGTGAGCTCTGAAGCGAATGTTGAGCCCCTCGGCTGTGAAGGTGAGATCACTACCTTGTTTTTGAAGTCCTTTACTTTTATACTGTTGCATATCTGTAAGATTATGTCTGTCTACTTGCGTACAATTGTTCTAGTTGGATGAATCGGATCCAGAATTCACTTGATAGTTCATTGACTAAATTTCTTGCTATTACGCATGTAACCAGTAGAGTTTTACATCTACCGTTCCTATAGCTATTTTTCGTGGTCCTTGCAGTGATCAGCTGCTAGCTATTTTAGATAATGGATTAGATTAAACCCGGCCTCTACAAGCTATTATCTCTGCTCTCTTATATTTGTCCAACTGTGGTAGACAAAGATATTGGTTTTAGTTTCTTTACGTTCCAAACGACTTTGCTCTTTCACACTCCTGGACGTGGAGAATATATTTCTAAAATTGTTAAGAAAAAAAATTCCACGTCATAAAAATGTTCTTCCACTGTCAATATGAAATGGGCATGCCAAGCATGGCATCAAAGAAACGTATCTACTGTTGTACATTGCCTTGAATCTGTTGGTTACGGAGTATTTTTGTAGTACCCACAAGCAGGGTTTGAAATTTTGGTAATTTCGTCCCCCACCGGCAAGCTCACATCTCGCCCGAAATTTTCGTTTTTTTTCATTTTTTTTGTGAATTTGGTCAAAATTTTATTCAAAATCAATCAAAATTTCAAATAATTTCGGCAAAAGAATTCGAAATTTTCAAAATTTCGCACCCCCCAACGCAAAAATACTAATTTTGAAATTGAAAACCCTGCCCACAGGTACACTATGGCAGAGGTGAGTATATCGAGCTTTGCAATCACCGTTCTTGAAAAAGCTGCGTCTTTTGGCACTGACTGGGCTGTTAGTGAGATAAAGTCAGCTTGGAACGTCAAGAAAGAACTAGAGAAGTTGGAAACATCACTGAGATCCATATGTGCTGTTCTTAGAGATGCCGAATGCAAGCAGTCTACTTCCCACTCCCTTCAAGAGTGGTTGGACAATTTGAAGGATGCAGTCTATGACATAGACGATGTTCTGGACGATGTTTCTACCGAAGCCCTAGAGCAAGAAGTTCGGAATAGTTTCATCCATAGAACAAGGAACATGCTTACTTATCCATTCAAATTGAGTCAAAAAATAAAAGAAGTTCGCAAAAAACTTGATGAGATAGCAGCCAATAGAGCACAGTTTGGACTAACTGAGCATGTAATTGATGTCCATACATCTGGGAGCAGCAACAGGGAAACACATTCTTTCATAACTGAACCAGAAATTATTGGAAGAGATGAAGCTAAACGTAAGATTGTTGAGACGATTTGTACAGCTACAGAATCAAATCCTTTGTCTGTGCTTCCTATTGTTGGTTTAGGAGGCATAGGAAAAACTGCACTGGCACAGCTGATTTACAACGATGTACAAATTACCGAGACATTTCAGAAGAAGTTATGGGTATGTGTCTCTAATGTATTTGATCTTAAGAAGATCCTGGATGACATAATGCAGTCAGGCACAGGTAAAAGCAACAAACATTTAAACCTAGAGATGCTACAGAGTAAGGTGCGTGGGTTTTTATGTGAAAAGAGATATCTGCTAGTATTGGATGACATGTGGAATGACAAAGTTAATGAATGGGACGAGCTAAAATGCCTACTATCCAGTGGAGGAAGTGGAAGTGTGATTATAGTCACCACACGCAATATGAGTGTTGCATCGATAGTGAAGACCCTAGAACCATATGATGTGGCAAAACTAACTGATGATAAGTGCATGCAAGTATTCATGCATTATGCATTTAGAGGTGGCGGGCCACATGACCCTAAGTTATTGGAAATTGGAAAATCCATTGTTGAGAAATGTTGTGGTATTCCCTTGGCAGCAAAGACATTGGGTTCCCTATTGTGCACTAGTCATGATGTTGGAGAATGGCGGCGCGTCATGGAGGATAAAATTTGGAATACTGAGGCAAAAGTATATGGTCTAATCCCTGCATTAAAACTGAGTTATGATGCACTTCCTCCCCATCTGCGAGCATGCTTTTCTTGTTTATCCATTTTCCCAAAAGACCATCAGTTGTTTTATTCTACTACAGTCATGTTATGGATGGCATTGGGGATGTTGAATACAGGCAAGGAAAGCAAACAAATGATATCTGCTGGAAGTAAGTGCTTTCATGATCTCCTAGGAAGATCGTTGTTCCAAGACCAAATTATTGTTTATGATGAAACCATTCAAAGCTGTAAAATGCATGATCTTATTCATGATCTAGCACAATTCGTTTCAGAAAATGAGCATGCTGTTATCAGTTGTGAAAAGACTGCTTTCTCTAAAAGGGTTAAGCATCTAGTGTGAGATTGCAAGGACTTCTCAGGAGAGCACGAATTTCCTAAGCAGTTGAAAAAGGCATGTAAGGTGAGAACATTTTCAAGCATATACAATTATGGTACCGTGAGCAAACCTTTTCTTGAGGTCCTCTTCTCAACGTTCACGCTTCTGCGTGTATTGATTTTTTCCGAAACTCACTTTGAAGAGCTGCCAAGTTCCATCAGAAATTTGAAGCACCTACGGTACTTAGATCTACAATGGAACCGAAAAATCAAACGCCTACCAAATTCTTTATGTAGGTTGGTGAATCTGCAAACGGTTCATCTTGCTCAGTGCGACCAACTAGAGGGCCTACCAAGAGACGTGCATCAACTTGTCAGCCTTACATATTTGAGCCTCACGTCAAAGCAGAAGTATCTACTAAAAAGTGGATTTTGTGGTTGGCCTAGCCTGACGTTTCTATATTTGCATCACTGCGTTGAGTTAACATCACTGACAGAGGGATTCGGCAGCCTCGCTGCCCTGCGGGAGCTGCGCATCTTCAACTGTCCGAAGTTGGCTTCTCTCCCCTCTGCAATGAAGCAGCTCTCCTCACTTGAGAAATTGGTGCTTAATAACTGCAATGAGTTGGATTTGATGGAACCAGGGGAAGCCTTGAGCGGCCTGGGCAGTCTTCGTGCGCTCAACCTTGTGGGGCTTCCGAAGCTGGTGGGTTTCTCAGCGAGCTTCCAATCTGCTGCGTCCTCTCTTCAATATTTTTGTATCGGCGATTGCCAAGGGCTGGAGAAGCTGCCAGATTTCATCCAAAGTTTCACTTGTCTTAAGATAATTGGGATTCGTGACTGCCCCGAGTTGAGCAGGAGATGCACGGCTGAATCCGGCGAGGATTTTCATCTCATCCACCACGTTCTGCGGATTTACATCGACAATAAAATCTGGGAAAAGGTAAGTCCGCCAGCTCCAAAACGCTTATTGCGTGTTGATCTACTCAGGATTTTACTACTGTATGAAAGGGAGTTAGTTTTTGTTTGTCTGCACTTTTGTGCATTGATATGTGATTATCTCCTGAACATGAGCTTACCTCTTTATCCGTCTCATTTTCTTGCACTAGAATCGTACGTGATGCCCCCCTGACGCCAGGCCTGTAGAGAACCGGCTGGTTTCAAGACTTTCCGCTCAAAGAAAATTGCATTCGAATATTTGGTTGGAGTGGCCTTCCAGGCTGGGCGTCCATACTCTGATACTCCTCGTGTATTGAAGGCTTGAAGCGCATCATGTCTGTGTCATTTGTGCTGCACCCTATTGTGTACGCATACATGTTCGTTCCATGCATGCATACTTTGTGTGTAATAATTGGGTACATTTGCTAATTGCTACATATTTGTGCAACTTTCATGTGTAACAAACGGCACAAACGTACTATGTACGGATGTTTGAACTGGATACTCATGTTTGTAACTTTGTATTTCTAATATCACATCATTTATTTTGCTGGTAACAATGTGTTTTCTCCTCTCTGAACGAGTGAGCTTCAGAGGAGTTACTGGTAACAAATGTATACTCGTGTTTTCATGGGCCAAAAGAGCTGGATCGTGTTTGACAGAGCTGGATGGGCCTGTTTGATGGGACGGATGCAGTCATAGGCCCAAAATGAAGATGGAGAGAGGAATAAGTTTACTTGAGATCCCTCAAGTTTTCGCCGAATTTGTCCCTGAACCGAAATAGGCAGGAATAACTCATCTCCCAAATCACAATACCATGATAACTTTATCACTCGACAGTACAGTGGCCGATCAACTTTATCCCTTGGCTGGTCGGTTTTGTCTGATGTGACGAGTAAGACCCACGTAGGCTCATATGTCATCGGCCAACTCTTCTTCTCCTCCTCTCCCTCTCCCTCTTTCCTCTCTCTTCCCCATCTCTCTAGGGCAGTGCGTGGCGCCTCCGGAGGTTTTGCGTGTTGGGTGCTGCCATGCGCGCCGTCGGCTCGCGGACGCCGAGGACATGTGCGAGGACTATGTGTCCGCGACAGCGTCGTCGTTCGGGAAGGCGCTCCTGTCGTGATCTCGTGGATGAGGCGAAGCGAGCTCAACGCTGCCTCCGTAGCCCGCCACCCGCTCTCGACGGTTGGGAGCAGCAGCAAGGCAACCTTCCATCCTCATCCCGCTTCTCCTCCTCTTCCTCCTCACCGTTTCGACACGACTAGTTCTCTCCTGCCGCCATGCCTCGCCGGCTCGTCGCCACTGAGATGCTCGACATTGTCGCGTCTCTGTCTCGGGTGTAGGCCTTAGTGTCCACGGAGACCGTGTTGCTCCACCAGTCCACTGTCGTGTCCACAGAGGTTGTGAGGGAGCATGAGGAGGGACTAGCTCTGTGGCTCCACTCCCGGGCCTTCTTGTCGAGGAGCAAGGATGACACCAGAGTCCAGAGCTACAGGTCCCTCGTGTTAGTCCGCCTCCGCCGTGACTCGGCATGCACCGTGGCGATGGTGCCGGAGCCGGACGGGCGAACAGGGTGACCAGGTTCAACCTGATGCCGATGAACGTCATGGCTTTCGAGGCATTGGCGACTAGGCGGTGGAGATACCCGATGACGATAGAGTTGTATTGATGTTGTACAACAATGGTTGATGACCCTGTCTATGATTCGTAGCAAAGCAGTTGGCGGTTTGATCCGATTGGATTTTTGATGGCAGATGCCAGTTTGGAGTGGTCAAATTGGACCATCTACTGGGCAATATATGTTAAGTTTGATGACCATTATTGTTTAGACTAGGTTTTGGACAACTTCCACTCCCTCGTTTTTCACGTGCACACTTTCCAAACTACTAAAAATTTTATATAGGAAAGTTATTTAAAAATATATATATTAATCTATTTAAATTTTTTTAGCTAATACTTAATTAGTCATGCGCTAATTCACCACTCAGTTTTGCATTAAGGGATGAAGGATTTTCAACCTCTACCATCGAACGCTTGATTAAAATAGCAGCCTGTATCGCGGGCTTGTGGCCTACAAGCCCACAAGGAGATGAGCTCTTCGATCTTGTGGGCTCTAACATGTGATAATTAGTCAAAAAAATTATTGTTTTTCGTTTTTCATATCATCTAATTAGTCTCTACTATTATAAAAGTTGAAGATGTTTCCCTCGAAATTTTGATACGTCATCCGTATTTGAATTGGTTTTAATTTTATGTTTCGGTTTTAATTTTAATTCGAGAAATTTAATAAAAAATTTGTAAGGCTTGCTTTTTTTTTCTCCGTCCGAATGTTTTTCGTCGTTGTTTTTCCTTCGTGGTTTTTTTATTTTCCGGTTCTTGTATGGTCCGGATTATTTTTTTGTTGCCATTTTCTTCCGTCGCGGTTTTTTTTATTTTCCGGTTTTCCCGCCGCTGTTTGTTGCGTTGCGTTTTTTCTCTCGAAATCAGCGAAATCAGGCATCCATACTACGGGACCTAAATTACACGGTTTTATATAATTTAGGGGCGAAGATTTTAGTATTGAAGATAAAGGATATCAAACAAACTCGACGTAAAGTTAAGGGACAGCAAGTGAACTTATTCCCCATCGATTTCCACGTGGGGGTCTAACGAAATCACGGTCCGGTTCATTAGCACATCACGAAATCTGTGGGCCATTGTTGTTGTGTAGTTCGGCCTAATCAGATGGAGCTGACTTATTAGCTAGCGATGGCCGGGTTGCTGAGCTGAGTAAAATAATCAGCTTTGTGTTGAATGGCAGCGTCACACACCATACATAGTGGATAGCTCTGATCACTCTCAGGAGCACAATCTACATTACTTGCAGTATTGCATCACCAAGGCACGCCAATATGGACGACTCAACAAAACAACTCTTTTGTACCACGATCTCTATCTACAGCAGGTGTTTTTCCACCTCAAATCAAATTTCTGGGTCAACAATGATGCGAACTCTGGTGGACACCGGAGCTGAACTTGTGATGGTTATGTCTATCGTCTTGCTCGACTGGCCAATATATGTCGATGGCCTGTCAGTACTAGCACCTCCATCAGTTAGCTCAGTTGGCTTCTTTGGATCTGATAATAGTATGCTTTGAGAGTTCAGAACTCTAGTAACATCTGTCATTGTGGGCCGTTCTGTTGGATCTTCTTGAGCACAAAGAAGCGCCACCTGAGTGCATCGCATTATCACAGGGCTTTCATATTCATCACACAATGCTGGGTCTACAAGCTCATGCAACCTTCCATCTCTCCACATATGCCATGCCTGAAATATGTTACAGTTAGTCAGGTGCCCAACACAAATACTATTTGCTAGAAGAAGACCATTAAAACAAATACTCACGTCTCGAATGAGATTGCCAACGGTATCCCCTTGTTTCTCCATTATGAAATTCTTTCGTCCACTAATGATTTCTAGAACCACGACGCCAAAGCTAAACACGTCTGTCTTAAGCGAATAACGGCCTTCCGATGCATACTCCGGAGCTATGTAACCACTGGAAATGGATAGCAGAGGTAGGCATGAGAAAACTGGAACATATATGTTGCACTGCACCATTCTTTATATTTTGTTCAGCTCATACCTGGTTCCCACGACTCTCCTTGTACACTCTTCTGCTACATCTGAAACCAGTGTTACTGCAGATCCAAAATCAGCAATCTTTGGGTTCATGTCATGGTCTAAGAGGATATTATTTGGTTTCAAATCCCTATGTACAATCAAACAGTGCTTGTGCAGGTAAAGAAGCCCCTCAGCTAGCCCTTTAATTATCTGAAGTCGCTTAGACCAATTTAGCAATGCGCCCTTCCTTTTGTCTGTAGAATGATTGCAAAAGAAATGTACTTTAGAGAACATAGTAATTGCTTACATACTGTTCTTTATCAAATCAACATAGTTTTGGAATCAGACTTTTGTGTGTGTGCATGTGTGTGAAAGGTGTTTCAAATGTGTTGTTATCAGAAGCATAATAACTGCTTTAGTATGTGCACATTTATTAGGAATTGGATTAAGCCCGTCTCGCAAAACGTATTAAAAAGAGACTGTTTAAAACTTACGGAAGATAATATTGTCTAAACTGCCTTTCTGCATGAACTCATACACAAGAATCTTTTCTTTTTCATGAATGCACCATCCCAATAACCTAATTAGGTTGGTATGCTGAAGCCTTACAAGCTGCAATTCACTTTTGAAATCAAATATTGCTGCATCCACAACAAATCTTTTGATAGCAACTGTATGTCCATCAAGTAGCTGGCCCTGCAATAGAATTCATGTAGCATTCTATTATAACAAATCATATTTTGGGTAGACAAGGAGTATCTAACATTCATCACCTTGTAAACAGTACCGAATCCACCAATTCCGACATTTCTGTTCTCTGAAAAACCATCTGTAGCATCCACAAGCTGAAAGAAACCAAACTTCCTAAATCCTGGATAGTTCTCTTCAGTTTGGATACAAAGTCTCATTATTGCCTCCATGTCCATTATTTTCTGTTCTTGCAGGTCCACTGTTACTGGATGAGTGGTAAATGACCCCATGTCACCAACGCAATTTGGACAAAAGTTCAATAACTAAAAATGAGAAATGCTCGACTTCTTTGTACAATAATTAGTGACTTCATGATGTGCAAAAGATATATTACTTATGTGAGCAAAAGATATATTCATGGTGTGCGAAAGATAAAACTTGATGAGAACAAATGATTTTCATCATGCACTTTATCTACTTCACCTAGTGTAAAAAATGTAGAGGTTTTTTACTGTCCTTGGGGTTGTGCAGTACCAAATCCTAACCGTTGATCTGGCATCATCTAACGATCAGAAATCGTTCATATCTCATGGTACTGCACCTCCTTATTAAAGCGGTATCATGGGTGGAAGGGTACTTCTGTACTTTCGCGTGGGGCATCTCTTTCTTTCGCGTTTCGCTTCCTTCACGAGAGGGAAAAATCGTCGGGGAAGAGCAGCGAGAGATGGCGGCGAGGGCACGGGCACATTCCCGGCGGCGGCCTCGATGCGCGACGGCAGCAGCGCGGCGGCCTTGATGCGCGATGGCAGCAGCTGTGGGCTCGAGGCGGCAGCGGCCTCGATGCTCGGCGGCAGCGGCGAGCTCGATGCGCGGCGGCGGAGGCGGCGGCAACGGCGGCCTCTCTCTTCCTCCTTTCTGCTGTGAATATTGTTGACGGCCGCGGCAGCGACGGCCTCTCTCTTCCTCCTTTTTGCTGTGAATTTTGTTGTTGAGTTTGCTGAACCAAATGTAAATGGCTAAATGGTTGATTACCAGCTTACTGTTGAATTGCAAGTTTCGTATTGATGAACTAAAAAACAAGGTTCAGAAATTGGATCTGCTGTAAATAATATCGATTCAAGTCTGGTGTACTTTGAGTTACGCATTGTTTTTCCTCCTGATTCCTTCCTCTATTCAGATTAAAGTTGCACTTATGGGACATTATTTTTCCTCCTCCTGTATTTCTCTGTTCAGATTAAATCAGCAGACTCAAATTGGGTGTCTCCGAGCAAGGCAGCCTCGATGTGCGACTGCAGTGGCGCAGCGGCCTAGATGCGCGGCGGCCTTGATGCGCGGCGGCACGGCGGCCTCGATGCGCGGCGGCACGGCAGCAGGCTCAGGGGCTGTTTGGTTTACAGGGACTTATTCCAAGTCCCTGTCACATCGGATGTTTGGACACTAATTTAGAGTATTAAACATATACTAATTACAAAACTCATTCCATAATCTTGGACTAATTCGCGAGACGAATCTTTTGAGTCTAATTACGCCATGATTTTGACAATGTGATGCTACAGTAAACTTTTGATAATTATGGATTAATTAGGCTTTAAAAAATCGTCTCGCGGATTAGCTCTCATTTATGAAATTAGTTTTTTTATTAGTCTATGTTTAATACTCTAAATTAGCGTCCAAACATCCGATGTGACATGAGCTAAAAAGTTTTAATCCCATCTAAACACCCCCTCAATGCGCGACGGCCTCGATGCAACGGTGTCTCTCCATTCCTCTTTTTTTTTTGTTAGCCCGATCATACCCCTACTAAATCAACGGTTAGATTAGATTGGTACCTCGTAGTACCTCGTACCTCATGATAACTCCTAAAGGATGGGAAAGATGCTCAGAAATATATGATATCTTTAGCATCTTTACGCTTCTTCTCGCTGAAATTCTGCTTTTTGATAGATGAAGCTAATGTTGCACATTAGCTGCTATTCTTGTTCAAACTGTGCTTAGTCATTTTTAACTACATTGCAGTGCTATGATGTGATCCAAATAGCCAACACTTGGCCACAAGTCATGATGCTATGATGGATGACTAAAATTTTTTCGAGGGAATGGGCAGGAGCTCTGCCATTTCAATTATAGAAGGAGAAAAACAGAATGGTTTGGTTCAGCGATGGATGACTAAAATGGAGTGGGGATTTTCTCTGTTCCAACGCATTTTCTAAGCATCAGCGGTACACTGTTACATTTATAAAATAAAGTACACTGTTACTGCGACAAATGCAACAATAAGATTATGTTCTTGATGATGAGAACATTTATTGCAATGTGGTTTTCAATTCATAATTAACAACTGCAGGAAACTCATAAAAGTAGTCACCTTCTAATGATTTCCCCCTGATTTCCCTAGGTTTGGTGGCTCCTTGAACATGTATTTCAGTGAACGCCAATATTCTTCTTGGAAACCTAAGATTGGTCAAATATACTCATTATATGCTAGAATCATGAAAAGAGGGTTCTCATTTCAGCCCTAACAAAATGGTAGTCATAACAACTGAGTTTTGAATATAAATAAATATAGACCATATATGGGGTGTGTTTAGTTCCTGAAAAAAGTTGAAAGTTTGGGGAAAGTTGGAAGTTTGGAAAAAAAATTGAGAGTTTATGTGTGTAGGAAAGTTTTAGATGTGATGTGATGTGATGAAAAGTTGGAAGTTTGGGGTAGTTGGGGGTGAACTAAACACGGCCATGGTCAATGATTCTCTGGTTCCAGCATGAAAATATTCAATATCGGCGATAGTTCGCCTTCAATGTTGACAGTTTTTTTTCCCCAAAAACCGTGATAAGGACATCAGCTCCCGGATTTGATATGGAAAGAAACATTAAGTAATCAGTTATGGGGTACTGAAACAATATCTAACCTTGTGTGATGATCTGAATAACTTGGGACTACACTGGGCACCCCCTCGGTTGCCTGCTAGACAACTGCAGATATCATTCACATGAAATTGGCTTGCACACAAAGTGGACTTTTGGAACTAACAGTGCACAAGTAAGGAAAATCTTATGACTCCAGAACTAACAGTTAGTACATGTCAAGTTGTTTGACTAAAAGTTGAAATGGCTATGTACCCCAATTCAGGTACAAGTGCACAGCAGAAACATTGACAGGAAGGATCACTTGAGCATATCACTTCGATCAGATGAATCATCATAAAAAGAGATCAGCAATTTCTCCTCCATCTCGATACGCCATAATCTTCAGTTTTAAGATGAACCACCCAAATTATCTTATTACTAGAAAAAGGATGAAACAAGGGCTTACCGTGACACGACGATTATTGTTGCTGCTGTCGACTAGAGAGATGAGAGGGATGAGGCGTATGTACATGTCAATCTCGTGCTGCGCGGCGCGGAGCTCGTCGGCCATCCGAGCGCCGAGGAGCAGGCGGTGGAGGTAGCCGCAGTCATCCTGGCACGCCCTGACGAGTGCGTAGCACCGCCGCAGCGCGCCTTGGAGCCGCTCGAGGGGCCGCCTGGTGGCCTCCCGCCGCATCAGCTCGGCGAGCTCTAGCTCCCGCAGCAGGCCGCCGACGAGGTCCACGTGCTGCCCCAGCCGCCGGCACGCGTCCCGGTGGCGGCGCGCCGCCAGCGCCGCCTGCACCACCATGGAGACCAGCCCCAGCGCGTCCACGCCGACCAGCTGCGCCACGCTCGACGCCTGCCCGAGCGCGCCCCACAGGCCGCTCGCCATGGCCGATCCCCGCCGGGAAAGCTGCTTCGCCCGTTGCCGCCACCGCCATGGACGGGTATAGGCGTCGCGACTCGCGAGTGTGAACGTGTCGTGGACGGCGACTTTGACCAAGCGCGCTGCTGTAAATTGTGGTCGTTCGTCTACATGGACTCAAAAGGCCCGTCTCCGTCGAGATGGCGTAGGGGGCCGAACTAAATCACGGCCCGGCCCAGAAAGACCATCGCGAAATTTATATGGGCCTTGTCTAGATCATTGTAGTGTACAGTGTCAGGGAGCATTCAGGTGTACCGAGCACAGGTGGCAAATCAGACGTGATGAGATCTGCAGTGAAAATAAATACAGAGCCCAGAGGTTTTGCACTGCATTATTACTGACATTTTTTTGTACTAGCTTTATACAGGCGTACAGCTCGTACCTGGTTCGATCCCATAACTCTTCTTTTGTGCTCTTTTTTTAACACCTAAAAGATTTCCCGGCGAAAAGAAAAAGAAAAAAAGAGAAACATCTGTAAGACTGAAACCAACGTTATAGCTGATCCAAATTCGTTCATGATCTGAAGGATGTGATTCGGTTTCAGGTCCCGATGTTGCATAAAATTTTCACAGGAGAACACTATCAGATGAGTAGGAGTACATCTTCTTTTCACGTTTATGTGTACTAACGAGTAACGAATGATCTTACAAATGCATTTCCTACTTGCAGTGGGCATGATCACGGATGAGAGGAGGGATCCTAGACTCCTGGTCCATATGGACCACGCACAAGAACTGAGCAGAGGGCAGAGGCCATCACACTCCGTGCTGTTTGCATTGAATCCAATTCAATTAGCTCGCGTTACTCCTACTCCTCTGTGCTTCGCATGAACACACAGCTACAACACTAGTAAAGAAGAACAGTAGCAAAGTAGCAGGCCAGCAGCAGCGGCGTACTACTCCTGGTCCCTGATTTCGCGCGTTAGAGAATCCTCTAACTTATTTTCATCTAATTTTGAAATGTAAATCTATTGTATAAAGAATCCATATATCAACTTTAGGGCACTAGCAATGCAACCCTCAATTTGCCATGCCTAGGCTGCCAAATAGACTGAGGAACCTCGAAGGACATATGATTCACAGCACGCGCGGGAAGGAACGTGAGGGGCGAGAGCACTCGGGGAGGAACGAGGCCGAAGCCACTCGTTCCACAAGACCACAAGACGGCTGCACCGCGCTCTCCCTACCACACGCGCTTTCGTTGTCGCCGGAAATTGGGGAGCCTTCTTTGGACACGCGTGCTTAGTTTTGGTAGGCCCAGTTAATAACGTGATGTCAAAATTCCATTCCGCGCCGACGTTGGATGGTGAGGTCAAATGCCATGCCATCACACCTAGGGGCGGATAGCGAGCCGGCTCGGCTCGGCTCGGTCTAGCTCGTTAGGATAACCTAATGAGCTAGAAACCTAGCTCGGCTCAGCTTGTTTGAAAGCTCGAGCTAGCTCGTTAGGCTCGCGAGCCAATCAACAAGACGAGGACCAAGGAGGAGGGACCTGCGACTCTACACGTGCGAGTGCGACCTGCGCCTTCTTGCAGGAAGTGCGGCGGCGACAGCGTTGGGGAAGTGTGATGGCGGAGGGCCCTAGCGGCTTGCGGCGGCGGCGGCGCGAGCGCCTGGCGACGGCGTCGGCGCGGTCTCGTGCGGCGGAGCCAGAGAGAGATGCGGATGTGCGGTCTCGAGTCTCTCGACGTCTCGTCTCGTACTCTCGTGTGGTGCGGCACTGCGGCGGATGAGGAACTGAGTGAGGAGACTAGGAGAGGATAGGATTTTGCACTTTTGCTGTTGTATTGGGCTTGGGCCTTTGCTATTGTATTGGGTTGAGCCTTTGCGTCTGTCTGATGAAGTACTGTCTCATTAAGACTCGCGAGCGGCTCGCGAGCTAGCTCGAGCTGGCTCGTTATCCCTAACGAGCTAAAATGCCAGCTCAGCTCGTTAGGAAAATCAAACGAGCCGAGCTGAGCCTGTCATGAGCCGAGCGAGCTAACGAGCCACGAGCTTTCTGTCCACCCCTAATCACACACCGCACAATGAAGGCCGTTATGTTAGAGAAAAATAAATAAGAGGATCTCAATCCGACTACGCGCCATTGATGGTGCAGGAGCTCGACCTGGCTGGCTGGCACTGAGCCAACTGGCCTAGTGACCTGGGCATGGATAAGGAAGGAAAAAAAAACGGCTCAGCTTTTCATGGCCGGCGAGGCCAACGGGAAGACGCAACGAAAGCGCGTCGCCTCTCCTCCTCCCGGCGAGGAAGAAAAGCTGCCGCTGCTCGGCGGAGATCCCGATCCTGCTAAAGCCATCGCCCAGGTGGCGTAGCAGGGGCGTCACCTACCTAGGAAGTTTCATCCTTCATGTGCCACGCAATGACAGTTTTAATTCCTCATCAGATCAAGATGATTAAGTTTTTCTTAATTCTTTTTTAGCTGAAGGTGATTAGTAGTAGTAAGATTCAAGATGGCAGCAACGGCATGCTAGGACCATATTTTAGTGCTGGTCATCTGCTACAGGCTGGAGTACCTTAAATCCAAAACGGATGCAATTGGTGCTGATATTTTCGGAGGCAGTACAGCACAGTACCACCTAGGATTAGTGTAGTACTGGTACTTTATTTTAGCTGACATAGGATTAGTACTACCCCCAGTGACATCATTAAACGCTCATAAATCGAGCACTGTGTGACCACCAACCTTGTCATTTAAGCGCACACCAACATAAACCATACTCCCATTCTCCTACTGGAGTAGTACCATAATAAACATAAAACACAACAACCCACATAAGTAGAGTACTAATCCAAAATAGTACTACCTCCGTTCATTTTAAACGCAGTCGTGGGTTATTATGTTCAGCGTTTTAACGTCCGTCTTATTTAATTTTTTTATGATTAATATTTTTATTGTTATTGATGATAATTTTAAATAAAATACTCTATTCGTCTCAAAATATAAGTAATATCTCCGTTTCAAGTTATAAGACTTTCTAGCATTGCCCACATTCATATAGATGTTAATGAATCTAGGCACACATATATGTCTAGATTCATTAACATATACATTGTGGACAATGCTAGAAAATCTTGTAATATGAAACGGAGGAAGTATTTTTAAACTTCGACTAAGTCTTCGAGATGGTACTATTATCAACAATATCTATAAAAATATGTTTTAAATAAAAAGTGTTGCATATTATGATAGTTGTTTAATGATAAATCTAGTAGCATCAATTTACATGATTTATCTTTTTATTTTTATGTTATAATAGTTAAAATTTAAAAATATTTGACTTGATATTATTCTTAAAATGTTTATATTTTGAGACGGAGAAAGTAAGACGAACGGTTAAATATTGAAAAAAAAACTCACACCTGCATTTTAATCTGCACTTAAAATGGATCGGGGAGTACTAGCAGCAAAGCCAGCAATGCGTTTCTCCTCTACTGAAACTGCAACTAACTGACACGATGATGATGTAGGTGTATCTGCCTGCCCCTCGTCGCCGGCGGTCCACTCCACACGACGAGTATAGGAGCAGCTCACCAACTCCACCAAAATCTCGCACGCTTTCACTCCCTCCCCTGTGGCTGTTGGGCCTCTGCTCCCTCTCCCGCTGAGCAGCGGGCCCCACATGGCACGCGCGCAGCGAGCGCACACCCAACAAGATTTGACTAATTGCTCGCCCTTTTTTAGCTAGAGTGGGGTGGTTTTGCCTTTGCTGCCTCCCCTCCTCGCCAATGTCGCGCCGGAATGATTGTTGCAGCGCAGCAACACAGGCTAGCAAGCAGCTCTAGTCATGGCGGCCATCATCACCAACTCCTCTCTACTCTAGTCTCTGGCCTCTTTCCTCTGGATCCTGGCATTTTGCATTGTCGTTTGCCGTGTTAGTTTAGTGAGCAGATTGTACTTTGGGGGTGGTTAAAGAATCCGGGGGTATTTGTGGTGTGGTGGATGCTGTGGTGCGTCCGCGCGGAGGACGCATTGGCCGCCGCTGCAGCCGTGGCCGTGGCGTCCGACAAGATGCGCTCCGTGACCCTGTCAGTCTCCTGCTGCTTAATTTACCTGCTTCTCATGGATGTTTGCTGTTGGCCCGTCTCCTCAAGGTTTGGTTCTTTCCTCGCTGTGCGCGCGTGTGTGTGTGTGTGCAGGGGCGGTTCGATCCAGAGGGTGATGCGGAGGATTGGCGGCGGCGGTGGTGGCCGGAGATCGGCCGGGTCGAGGGGCGCGCCGCAGCGGGCGGAATGCCTGGGGGCGGGGAGCGGCGACGCGTCGGCGAGCTGCTCCGGGGTTGGTTTTTGTCTTTGATCAAATTAAAACCCACTTCTTTCTTGTTGCCAAGCATTTGTGCAATGGAAGTGCAATTTCTTGGTTCCTCCTGCGAAGATTGTTTGTTCTGAAAACCCGAAAATGTGGTGTTTTTGGGTGCATCCTGGGCACTGGGCAGCTTCAGACAAGCTAGCTGTGTTCGCGTGCCAAATTTGAGGGGCCCAGATGAGATGAAGTGTCACTTTCCCCTCTCTGTTCTTCGCATTTCTAGTGTAATAGATGCAGAGGTTTTGACTGCTTGTTTGCTGCATTCTGAACTAAATTTCTTTTGGATGGATTCTGTCCCGGCAGGTGTCCTAGACTGGGGATTTTGTTTGTTTCCTGTTTTTTTGGACAGTTTCAGGTGATATGTGAACCTGATTGCTCTCTTATCTTTCCTCTGTAGGATGATAGTAGCAATGGCACTGGCAAGAGGGATGGAAGCAGAAGGGTAAGGATGCGGCGGTACAGATCGGAGCTCGAGCAAGAAGTGAGTGCTTTTCTTGGTGTAATTCTGCTCGTGTTTGAGTTCTGACGACTTTTGTTCCTGTTGTTCAATGAAAGTTGGTACTGATGGGGTTAGCTAGTATAGGCTGTGGCATTATCCAATGCTTCATTGAAAATTTATTCATAGAGTGGTCCTCAAATGAAGTCTAATATTTGCTACCTAATGTTTGCTAAAAATTTAGTTACTCTGACGGAACTATATTTGCATTTCAACTGAGTAAGGACTAAGAGCTAATATTTTCAGATGTTATACATGTTTCAGGTAAAGAAACTGCAGAGGCAACTGGAAGAAGAGATTGACTTGCAGTTGGCATTAACAGATGCCATCACAAATAATGCTACACTGATACTTGAGCCCTCTGCAAAGCTTCCAAACAAGGTACGGATTGCATTTTAGTGGATATTTTGCATGTGTATCTAGGTAGCCACTCTTTAATATATTTTCTACTTCAATATTTCACGTGCAGGCACAGGAGCTAATAATTAGCATAGCCTCCTTGGAGAATACTGTCTCAAAACTTGAAAAAGACCTAAATGACTTATGTTACCAACTGTGTCATTTAAGGAACAATACGCGACTTGCAGAAAATAATTCCAGATACTTAGAAACTCTAGCTGAAGAAAATAATTCCAGAGGTCTACTGTCTACATCATTACAGTACCAACCACCGTCAACTTGTAAATGTACAGGGGAGGAAGTAAGTCTTTATTATAGAAATGGTCTCATTTTATAGTGCTTCTTTTGGCATTCAAATACCAACCGTTTTTTTTCCCTTTTCTGAACTTTTGAAGGACATTTCAACACTAAGAGATATAAAGCTCGGAGAATCTGAATCAATGCAAGAAAATTTATTCCCTGGGCTTGAGGACCAACAGAACATTCAAAAAGAGAGTGAAGGGAGAGAGATAGTATCTCAAGATGGGCTTCTCGAAGAGCATCAAGATGTTCCTTCAAATAGATTGTTGGAAAAACACTGGAACGAAGAGGTTTATATTTATCAGTATTAGGCAAACATGAATTTATGCTTTATCAAAATATTTTAAGTTATCAAAAAGTAAATTTTAGCTTGTTTCTTGGCAGATGCAAGAGTCCTATCCTATGGAAAATGGAGGCAGAGAATATCAGATAATAGATGCGTTATCATTTGACCAATCTCATCAGAGGAAAAGCAGCATCAATGGTAATGTGTGGAATGGCAATCCAAATAAGCTCTCTGAAGAAATGGTGCGCTGTATGAGAGATATCTTCCTTCGTTTATCTGACTCATCATCCGAGATATCACCAAAAGGGTCTTCTGTTAATTCAATTTCATCAACAGAACGTCTATCTGGCTGTACATTGACATCTGTATCAGATTCATCCTTGATGGCATCAGTGATGCAAAGCCCTTCAGTTGATTCAAACCATGACAGTATTGATGAAGTTAGATACTTCGATCCCTACAACGTTAATGGCAAGGAAGTTCGAAGAGACATTGGGAACTATTGTTCAGTAGCTGAGGTGTCTTGGATGTATGTTGGCAAGGAACAGCTTGCATATGCATCTGAAGCTCTAAAAAATTTCAGGTTTCCTTATTAAACTCTATCTGTAGCTATCAACACTAATGGATTTCATTTCATGTCTAAATAAATAGCCTAGACCAATTTACAGAAGCAAAAGTATAACAATAATTAAGCATGCGAGAAAAATGCTACAGCGGAAGATTCAGTTATAACAAAAAATTCTTCAGTGTTTGTTTCTACCTTGTAGTGCAAAGTAGCACTGCTTGGTATTACGTTTATGAATAAATGATGGACATTATATTATACATGACTTTGATACGATTGCTATTAATTGTTTAAGTTACTCTCGTCTGCAGGAATCTCGTGGAGCAACTATCAAAGGTTGACCCTACATGTATGACCTGTGCTGAGCGGTTAGCATTTTGGATTAACCTGTACAATACGTTGATAATGCATGTAAGTATCTGTTCAAATAAAAATGCATGCAAGTATTATCCGCTAGATTTCATGGAAATATGATGTTATAATTAGTTATTAGCAAAACAATGTGCCTTTTTTTTTATGAAGTGACAATTTTGAAGGCAGTGTTGTGTAGTATATGCCACCGTGGTATTCTGTTGTAATTTCAGTTTCTTAGTGTATGCTACCGTGGTGATTTCTCATTGAAATAGCAGTTCCTGTTCTTTGTTTGCACTGTTCTTTATTTTGGGCCATGCAGTACACATTCTCATGTGTTGTGCATATTCTATTGGAGTTTACCAGGCATATTTGGCCTATGGGGTTCCAGAAAACGATATCAAGCTCTTCTCACTAATGCAAAAGGTTTGTCATCTTTGGCTCTTATTTAAAGATACCATTGGCTTTATAATCATGGTTCTTTAATAAGATGTTAACCAACTTGGTATTGCAGGCCTGTTACATTGTTGGTGGGCAGTCCTTCAGCGCAGCAGAAATAGAGTTTGTGATTCTGAAGATGAAGACTCCAGTACACCGGCCACAACTTGTATATGCACTCTGCTCTTCATTGTCATCTCCTTTCTTCCTTTTCGGCATGCAAGTCGCAGTGAAGCTTATTGTTTTCTCGTTTTTCAGTCGTTGATGTTGGCCCTTCACAAGTTCAGAGTTACCGAGGAGCACAAGAAATATTCGATCGATGATGCAGAGCCCCTTGTGTTGTTTGGCCTTAGCTGTGGAATGTTCTCATCACCTGCTGTAAGTATATTTACCTTTTATCTTGGTTTGTCATCTCAACACTATTTACCTTTTATCTTGGTTTGTCATCTCAACACTATTTACCTTTTATCTTGGTTTGTCATCTCAACATGTATACACGGACGGTCTTTTAAAGAAGCTAAAAGTCACCAGTATGTTTCAGGATTACCTTATAATGTTTTACGCCACTGAATATATTCACTCTTAAGCCTGAAACACTTCTAAATCATCTTTTATGTTCCAGTATTTATAACAAAAAAAAACTGTCATTTTCATGCCTATCCTCATTTCCAAAATGAAATGTGCGTTTGCTGTCAAACAGGTCAGGATTTTCTCAGCCGGGAATGTTCGGCAGGAGCTTCAGGAATCAATGAGAGACTACATCCGAGCATCGGTTGGTATCAACGACAGCGGGAAGCTCATCGTCCCAAAGCTGCTTCAGAGCTATGCCAAGGGCACCGTGGAGGACTCTCTGCTCGCCGACTGGATCTGCCGTCACCTCACACCAAACCAGGTCGCAGCTGTCCAAGACACTTCGTCGTCGCGGAAACAGCGGCTTCTTGGTGTGCGCAGCTTCAGCGTCGTTCCATTTGACTCAAAATTCCGGTATCTGTTCTTGCCTGACAACAGTAGCTCCCAGCACTGAACCAAGCTTGCCCTGCCAATTGTTCAGAAAGAAACCAAGAGTAGCATTTTGACAAACTGAAAAAGAAAATGAAGAGATCAGCTGTACATGTTGTAAATCTTTTAGGGTGATTCTTTTTTTTTTTGGGCTTGTAAAGATCGTTTGTAAGCCATGCATGCTTATATAAAAACTGTAGTATAAAGGTTTGTGTATAATTTGCTTGTTTTTAGCAACAATCAAGATGGTAAAATTCAGACAGTTTTTCTTCTAGCTTCCTGCTGTCCTGACCTCCTGATTGTAGGAGCCCCGACCGTCATGCTCAACACAATAATTGTTTGGCATGACCGTTTGCATTATTGCATGGCACTAGCAAATGCTGATAACTTGATAAGACATTCTTTGGTGAGCAGACAAAAGGTTTCCATGATTAGTGCTATGTCTCCGGTGGTTCAGTTTCTGATCGGCGCATTGACTAGAACAGCGCATTGCAGAGGACTCCCTTCGGGGAAATTAGATAAACATAAGCTCAACCAGGAAGATGTATACTAAGGGTTATCTAATTACTATTAGGCTAAATTTATTCCAGCTTAGTTGCTATCATTGTGATCCGTGCATATGCATACATGAAACGAGTTGCAAATTGTCATACATATGCATACCATACCATCGATCTACCGGCTCATGTAGCCCGGTGATTATTGGATGCACTTTCCTTGTCATGCAAACCTAAGGTAGAGGAATTGAAAAGTCAATAATCTAGATTGACCTCGTCGTCTTGGGCCGTGTTCAGTTCTCTTGCTAATTTTTTTTTAAGTATACAGATATACATTTAAAGTAATAAACGTAGATTAATAACAAAACAAATTACATATTCCACCTGTAAACTGCGAGACGAATTTATTAAACCTAATTAATTCATCATTAGTAAATGTTTACCGTAGCATCATATTGTCAAATCATAGCGTAATTAGGCTCAAAAGATTCGTCTCGCAATTTATATGCAAATTGTGCAATTAGTTTTTTTTCGTTCACATTTAATGTTTCATGCATGTGTCCAAAACATTTGATATAACATTTTTAGCTAATTTTTTTTATCTAAACACACACTTGGTTGAAAAATATATGTAGCACAGTTGTCATGCAGGGTTGACGAACAAACCACAAGTGGCCACGTGCCACTGCCAACTTTTCTTTTTCTTTTTCCTTTTTAACAAGAGTTGGTGAACAAAATACGACCCACGGAACCGCATCGCACAGCCTGCAGTAAAATTTTTGGAAAAAGCTATATTTACTATTCTTTTTTATTAAATTCTTATTAATATTGATGTGTTATGCTACGAGTGTATCTGAATTTTTTTATAACTTCTATCTATTTATTGTAGCGGTGCTCAAAATTTTTTTATCTATCTAATGTAGCGGTGCTCAAAATTTTGGGGGTAAAAGAGAGACAATTGACTGGACTTTTGTCGTGTTGACCACAGCCTAATCCTCCTCGGATGTCTCCTCCTCGAGCGGATTAGGGTATGGTGGCGCCGTGCGCGGCCTCGCCGACGAGGGAAAAGGTCTCCAGTGACCTCCCGTGCGGCATGACCGGCGAGCGCGGCGACCTCCTCGCCCGCCTCGCCGGCGGGCGCGGTGTCCTCTTCGACGGCGTGACCGCGCGAGTAGTAGCGCGGCAGCATCTCCCGGCGCGGCGTGAACGGTTAGCCGCTTCTCCATCTGAACTTGGGTAACATTTGCCTGGATTTTTTTTTTCGACTTCGAAATCTACCTATAATGTTATTCAGGAAAATCCTGAAATAATCACTTTACGTATACTAAGGCTGTAAGGCATAGCGATTATCAGTTTAGCACACTAATCGCAGAATAGGGGAATATGTCGTACATTGTCGCTGTGGATAAATTTATAACCGTGGAGATCCACTGTTACAGGCTTACGGGCAGAAAGCTCATAACTATACTGTATATAGTTATATAAAACATATAATTCCACTTCAAATAAAATTAAATATAGTGCCCACAATTACATGGAAAATTTAGCTTATCGCATTAAAAAAACACATTTTTTCTCTTTACAAATAGATCAAACCTTCATGCAAACAAGTAGTATAAAAGAACATAAGGCTCACTGACTCGCTGTGTTGAAAACTGTACGCTTTCTGGCATCATGAACTGAGACTGTATGAAAAAAATAATCTGTTGACTGCGTCCATTTGTTTGGTATGCAAAAATTCTACTTTAAGCCAACTATTTTTCACTAATCAGTACCGCTACCAATTCAGCTCAAATAAAAAATTCTGCAGCTACTCTTCATTTTACATTTTATCCGTTTGGGTGAAGCTGAAGGCCCACATACCCTCGTGCTCATGGCTTCAGCACTACAACTCTCAGGCATCTTTTATCATGGTGTTTGGATCAATACAGTTTGATATATGGTTTCAATTTTTCTCTGACAAGATACATCGTTTCAATTTTCAGGCAAGATCCACAAATCAGCCGCGCTGTTCTTTGGCCTTGCTGTTGTTGTTCTGCTCTCCTTTACCTCTCCGACCAGCTCCTGCACGGAGCAGGAGGAGAGCTCCCTCATCGGCTTCCTAGATGGTCTCTTGCAAGGTGGCAATGGCAGCCTCTGCATGTCATGGGTGAAGAGGACAGACTGCTGTAAATGGGAAGGCATCACCTGCAGCAGTGATGGCACAGTCACAGATGTCTTGCTGGCTGCTAAGGGCCTCCAAGGGCACATCTCGCCATTGCTCGGCAATCTTACTGGGCTGTTGCACCTCAACCTGTCTCACAACTTACTCAATGGCAACCTACCGATGGAATTGTTGTTCTCCAGAAGCATCATCGTCCTTGACGTTAGCTTCAACCGCCTAGATGGTTCTCTGCCAGAGTTGCAGTCCTCTAGTGGTGGTTTTCCTCTCCAGGTACTGAATATCTCAAGCAATTTATTTACAGGGCAGTTCTCATCCAAACTGTGGGAGGCGATGAAGAATATTGTTGCTCTTAATGCAAGCAACAACAGCTTTACAGGACAGATACCATCTTCTATCTGCATCAACTCCCCATCACTTGCTATCCTTGACCTTTCTTACAACCAATTCAGTGGCAGTATTCCTCCGGAGCTTGGAAATTGCTCCAAGCTGAGAGAGTTCAAGGCTGGCTACAACAATTTTAATGGAGCTCTCCCTGAAGAACTCTTCAGTGCTACCTCGTTGGAGCACTTGTCTCTTCCTAGCAATGATTTACAGGGAGTTCTTGATGGTTCTGACATATTAAAACTCGTCAAGCTGACTGTCCTTGATCTCGGATCGACTGGGCTCAGTGGGAACATCCCGGATTCTATTGGCCAACTAAGCACATTGGAGGAGCTCCGGCTGGACAACAACAACATGTCTGGTGAGCTGCCATCGGCCGTAGGTAACTGCACAAATCTGAGGTACCTCAGCCTCAGAAACAACAAATTTGTGGGAGATCTTAGCAAAGTCAATTTTACCCGGTTGAATTTGAGAATCGCAGATTTCTCAATTAATAACTTCACTGGTACAGTTCCAGAAAGCATATACTCATGCAGCAATCTAATTGCGTTGCGGCTGGCTTTCAACAAGTTTCATGGCCAGCTCTCACCAAGAATGGGCAATCTGAAGTCCATGTCCTTCTTTTCAATAGCCGATAACCATCTCACAAATATCACAAATGCACTTCAGATACTCAAGAGCTGCAAAAACCTTACCGCCGTTCTTATTGGAACCAACTTCAAGGGTGAAACCATATCAAAAAGTGAAACAATTGATGGTTTTGAGAATCTTCGGGTACTGACTATAGATTCCTGTGGATTGGTTGGACAAATTCCCACTTGGATATCAAAGCTCAAAAAACTGGAGGTGTTGGATTTATCAAACAATATGCTCTCTGGAAAAATACCATTTTGGATTAGTGATCTGCCTGTTCTTTTCTATTTAGATATAACAAACAACAGTCTTACAGGGGATATCCCAACTGCGTTGATGAACACGCCGATGCTACAATTAGGAAAGAATGCTGCCCAGTTGGACCCAAATTTCCTTGAATTGCCTGTTTATTGGACACGATCACGTCAATACCGCTTGCTCAACGCTTTTCCTAATGCGTTGAATCTAGGTAACAATGGTTTCACAGGAGTGATTCCCCCAGAGATTGGTCGGTTGAAAATGCTCGACGGCTTCAATATCAGCTTTAACAGGTTATCTGGAGAAATACCACAGCAGATATGCAATCTCACAAACCTGCAATTGCTAGATTTATCAAGCAATCAGCTCACAGGTGAACTACCGTCTGCACTGACTGATATGCACTTCCTTTCTAAATTCAATGTTTCTAACAATGAACTAGAAGGGCCAGTTCCAACTGGAGGACAGTTTGATACATTTCTTAATTCTAGCTATAGTGGGAATTCGAAGCTATGTGGTGCTGTACTCAGTAACCTTTGCAGTCCCACTACAAGAAAAGAAAACTTCACCTCACAGCGGCGCAACTTACGGTGTGCATTAGTCACTGGAATCACCTTGGGAGCACTCGTCGCTCTTGCTTTGCTTGCATGCTTCTTGATTGGGCGGTTGGTATATGATGATCACACCGAAAGCCTAACTCACCTTCAAATGCGGTACCGAAGATAGATGCTTAACAGACTCAGTTTTTTTTTAAATTTTTTTTATTTGATTCTGATGCCAGCATTTATGGTTTAATCACTTTTAAACTTCTTTGTATGGCTGCTCATATTGTTTTTTTTTTGTCTCTCGGATAGCCTGAAATAGCATGCTACTAAATGGTTGTGTGAATTTACTGAATCAACTGTATGAACCAAGTTGTAACCAATTTCAGGAACCAGATGAGGAGCTTTTGCTAGGCTTTGCATTTGGGCCAACTCTGAACAATGAAGGAATGGGTGAAATGAGTAATGTACAGTGATGACTAATTTAGGTGATGGAAGTTCTGTTTCTCTCTGTCTAGGCCGTAGGCTTGCAAGCTCAGAACATTGCGTTCAAGGTGATTTTAAGTTCAAATCTTCTCGAATATGAGAGCCACTGGAGATTTGAATCCTTGTTTGCTTGACCTCTTCCGCCGTGGATTTGTTAATTGGAAGTTGAGTAGTTGTCCGCCACTCTGCAGACTTTACTTTTGAGTTCACGCGAGTGTCTGAATCCTTCGGACTTGCGACGCGCTAGCCCACTGCACTGTCGATGAACAAGTGGTCAGAGTTGCTTGTTTTGTTCCTCTGATCACAGAAATGAAAAGAGAATGAATATTATGGCCTTATGGCATGGCAGTGCTTACTGGTGTTGATCAGCTGGCATTAGAAGACGAATCACAAGCTACAGTTCAAAATATGTGCTGTGCACAGCAAGCAAAACTTTTCTGTGAGCCATATACATCGTGTAAAAGATTATCTACTACTACTACCACTATACCTGTGAACTTGAAATTCAGAGAAATACTCGCTTGCAGAAATTATATTTGGCAATGCACTTGGGAGTACAATGTCCTCTCAAAAATCATCAAACAGTCGCCATCCGGAGACCTATAGCGAATCAGCGATTGACATCGACAAAACTCTGCTAGCTGCTCCAATATTCTTCCGTTCTTAGGTAAGCAGACGAGGTTTCCATAATTACTGTTCTCCGTGCCCGGTAAGTCATTTCCTGACGGCGCATTACTGGAAGGACATTGCGGTTTGCAGAATTTTCACGCATATACCCTACCAAACAGGCCCTCCAAATGAGCGCCGGCGCCGGAGTCCGGGGCGGCGGCCGGCGCCCGATCTCCTGGGCCAATTAACGCCAGTCGAGCCGAAAGACCACGTGGTCCAACTGATTGAGCAGGATTTAGCCATGGGCCCATGGTGGGCCCATGGGCCTATCTTGTGGCTGCATCTCGCGGTTTAATCGATCAGTTACGGCCCGTGTAGGCGTGCAACCCACCAGTGCACCGGCCTACTCCGCATAGGGTTCCAGCTTACATCACGGTAACGTAAGTTGGAATCTTCTGGAGTGTGAGAATCACCCCGGAGAATTGAGAAGCTTCTATTCTCAGCTCTGCACCGTACGTTGACTCGTCACCAGTCACCACCGATCGAGTTGGGTGAAGGGTTTACAAAACCGCACACCGCACAGTTACCACGCGGTTACCGTGGTTATCACGTGCGGTAACCTTTTCAGTTTTTGAAACCACGGTATGTCTCGCGGTTATCACGCGGTTTTCGTGGTGGTCACGCGGTTACCGCGGTAACCGTCTTACCATGGGGTGCGGTAATCGTGTAAAAAAGGTAAGAGAAACCTGGTTGGATGCACGCGAATGTCTGAGCTACTCTAAACGCAGACTCGCCCTGCCGCTGTCCCACTCGCACTTTGCCACTGTCGATAAAGTCGGTACTCCCAGCCTATACTGATCAACTGTCAATGCGAGGATAACACTAGTAGTAACTACTCCTATAAGGCCAAGTTTAGATCTAAAGTTTTTCTTCAAACTTCCAACTTTTTCATTACATCAAAACTTTCCTACACACACAAACTTCTAACTTTTCCATCACATCGTTCTAATTTCAACCAAACTTTTAATTTTGGTGTCAACTAAACACACCCTAAGCCAACTATATGTCTATATAAGATATACAAACAATAAAAAATATTGGCTCTATTGCAAGAGCAAACTCTACACATATTTTAAAATATTTATAATATAAATTCAAAATGAGAGAAAAGAAAATATAGAGCCAACCTTATAGTCTACCTATGTTAGCTTTAACATAAGCTAATAGCTAATGCAACTTATGTTTTTTACTCCCTCCGTACCAGAATATAGCAACCTAGTACCGGATGGGATGTATCCTAGTACTACGAATCTGGACATGCCCCATGCCTAAATTCGTAGTACTAGGATACGTCTAATATGGTCCTAGGTTGCTATATTCTGGAACGAATGGAGTAGTTTTTTCAAAAAAAAAAAATTAAAATAAGAAGGATGATTAAAGTTGGATACGGAAACTCATGGCTACCAACTATGGAAGTAACGAAATTCCAGAGTTTTCGACCCTGCACTCTCTTCGGTCTCAGAGGTTCTAGAATCCATCCTTTCAGAGAGTCATCTGGGATCATTAGCTAGCATTGCTACTTTTGGAGATTTTTTGGGAGTGTAATGTGGCTCTGCCCCTTCCCGCTGATTGGAGTTGCGTTTAGCCTGTCACAGTAGTTTCTTTCCTTTTGCTTGGTTTTGTCTTTTTTTCTCACTTCCCCTGGCATAAACCGATCTGGTTGATTTGCGTTGTGTAACAAAAATTTTTTCTTCTAATATATTAATGTGTAATTCTTTTGCACATTCACGAAAACTTATAGCTACGTTTATTTTGGAATGGGAGAGTACTATATTCTCTAAAAATACGTGAAAAGTGTCAAATCAGTATGGTTGAAAGTTTCCTAAAAAAAATGTCTACTGCTCTGAACTCTGAACTTCAGGAAACATGTACTCGCTCGCAGAATTGCCCATGCACTTTGGAAAGTCGGGCGGCAGCAGAATACAATATCCTCTGAAAGAAACATCAAACAGTCGCCATCACAAAGCGTGTGGTGATTGACATCGACAAAACTATACTACATGCATTAGCAAATTTCATCTGATCAGCAACTAACCACAACGTACAAACACTAGAAAATTTGCAACTTGAGTCTTAAACAAATTAACCGCCCTTTCCGCACCCAATCAGCCAGAGAAACCCAACAGCCAAAGTCAAACGTGCTGCCGGAGCATAACATTTTTCTATATTGAGATCAAATCCAAAAATATACTCCTATAAACTTGCAAGAACTATCCTGGTATCTCCTTTTTAAATATCCAGATTGCAGAGTTCATTATTCACATTATTTGTTGATAGAATAGGGAAAAAAAATACAAGATTACAACTTTATAACTAGAAAAACAAAGAAAAAAAAGGCCACCACCCACTCACCGGTAGCTAACACATGGACCTAGGAGATCGAATGCCCTACATATATCCACTGCTTGACAATAAAATCCAATATCCCCACAACGAATTGTCAGAAAACTTTTACAAGTTTTTTTTACCTCCAATATATTCAGATTTATGACCATCAAATATTCTCGAGATTTATGCATAAAGGAAAAAATTGATAGAAAATTTTTTCACACATGTCACGTATAAAATCATGGTTAGAGTGTTATGTATAAGTTATGTCTTAGTTACAGTGTAATCACAATGTAATTACATTTTGACTATATTATTCTTCACCGTAGTTAGTGTGCACCTCGCCGTGGAAGGAGAAGACCGGCAGTAGCGACGACGTCGATTATTAAAAAAAAAACCAAAAATATATGCCGACTCTTCGAGTCCAACCTGAGCCGGATCATGAGTTGATGACTTCTCGCGATGCACCACGCGAACGCGGCGCTGCCTGCCTGCCGCCCTGACTGCACGTACGCCGCAGTTGACTCGCATTACAATATGCAGCTCAGCTTTCAGTTACAGCGTCAGATAACGTTATACAATGGCGACCTCTCCAATCTTCTTGCGCCAGCTGATACTTAATTTGACAATCTCTTCTCCTTCCTCGATTTGCTCCCTGCTCCATCGCCATTCGCCAAGCCTAGCTATCAGATCGGTCGCGGTGGACTTGGGAGCATGCGTGGCAACTCGGCCTCTTCGCCGCCATGCACGTCGTGGTGATCTTGCCACGGCGGAGAGCCGGAGATGAGTAGCCGGGTCGTCGTCGTCTCGGGAGTTCTTGTGCTGGTTTTGGTCGTCGTCTCCGTTTGTGGCCGGGCAGCTGCGTGCGTTGAGGCGGAGAGGGAGGCGTTGCTGTCCTTCCTCGCCGCTGCCGCGCCGCCGGCAGGGGATGGCATCGCCGCCCAGTGGCGAGGGTCGCCGGACTGCTGCGCGTGGGACGGCGTGGGGTGCGGCGTCGACGGCGCGGTCACGCGTCTGTGGCTGCCGGGACGCGGGCTCGGCGGCACGATCTCGCCGTCGATCGCCAACCTCACCGCGCTCACGTATCTCAACCTGTCCGGCAACAGCCTCTCCGGCAGGTTCCCCGACCTGCTGTTCGCGCTGCCCAATGCTACGGTTGTCGACGTCAGCTACAACCGTCTCTCCGGCGAGCTACCTAACGCGCCGGTGGCGGCGGCGGCGGCGACGAATGCCCGCGGCAGCCTCTCGCTTCAGGTGCTCGACGTGTCGAGCAACCTCTTGGCGGGGCGGTTCCCGTCCGCGATCTGGGAGCACACGCCGCGCCTCGTGTCGCTCAATGCCAGCAACAACAGCTTCCATGGCTCGATCCCGTCCTTGTGCGCGAGCTGCCCGGCGCTCGCCGTTCTCGACCTCTCCGTGAACGTGCTTAGTGGGGCCATCTCCCCCGGGTTCAGCAACTGCTCGTGGCTGCGCGTTCTCAGCGTGGGCCGCAACAACCTCACCGGCGAGCTCCCCGGCGACATCTTCGACGTGAAGCCGCTGCAGCGTCTGCAGCTACCGTCCAATCAGATAGAAGGCCGGCTTGATCCGGAGCGCATCGCCAAGCTGACCAATCTGATCACGCTTGATCTTACCTACAATATGTTCACCGGCGAATTGCCGGAGTCGATCAGCCAGCTCACGAAGCTGGAGGAGCTCCGGCTTGGCCATAACGACTTCACCGGAACTCTCCCACCGGCGTTGAGCAACTGGACCAGCCTCCGATGCCTCGACCTCCGGTCGAACAGCTTCGTCGGGGATCTCACGGTCGTTGACTTCTCCGGCCTCGCCAACCTCACCGTCTTCGACGTGGCCGCCAACAACTTCACCGGCACAATCCCGCCAAGCATCTACTCCTGCACGGCAATGAAGGCGCTGCGTGTCAGCAACAACCTCATGGTCGGCCAGATCTCGCCGGAGATCGGCAACCTGAAAGAGCTCCAGTTCTTCTCACTGACCGTGAACTCCTTCGTCAACATCAGCGGCATGTTCTGGAATCTCAAGGGCTGCACGAGCCTCACCGCGCTGCTCGTGTCCTACAACTTCTACGGCGAGGCGCTGCCGGACGCCGGCTGGGTCGGCGACCACGTCAGGAGCGTCCGGTTGATGGTGATGCAGAACTGCGCGCTGACCGGCGTGATCCCGTCGTGGCTGTCGAAGCTGCAGGATCTCAACGTCTTGGATCTCTCCGGCAACCGGCTCACTGGCCCGATCCCGAGCTGGCTCGGCGCCATGCCGAAGCTGTACTACGTCGACCTCTCCGGGAACCAGCTGTCCGGGGTGATACCGCCGTCGCTGATGGAGATGCGGCTGCTTACATCCGAGCAGGCCATGGCGGAATTATACCCAGGCCATCTCCCGCTCATGTTCACCCTGACGCCGAACAACGGAGCCGCGAGCCGGCAGGGCCGCGGATACTTCCAGATGTCCGGCGTCGCCACGACGCTCAACTTCAGCGACAATGGCATCACCGGCGCGATCCCGCCGGAGATCGTGAAGCTAAAGACGCTGCAAGTGCTCGACGTCAGTTACAACAACCTCTCCGGCGGCATCCCGCCGGAGCTGAGCAGCCTCACCAGGTTGCAGATTGTGAACTTGCGCTGGAACCGCCTCACGGGGACGATTCCTCAGGCGCTCAAGGAGCTCAACTTCCTCGCCGTCTTCAACGTGGCGTACAACGACCTCGAGGGGCCGATCCCGACGGGCGGCCAGTTCGACGCGTTCCCGCCACGGGACTTCACGGGGAACCCGAAGCTCTGTGGCGAGGTGATCTCTGTTCCCTGCGGTGACAGATTCGACGCGACAGACACCACTTCGTCCAAGGTCGTCGGGAAGAAGGCCCTGGTCGCCATCGTTCTTGGTGTCTGCGTTGGCCTGGTTGCTCTCGTCGTCTTCCTCGGATGCGTTGTCATCGCCTTCAGAAGAGTGGTGTCCAATGGAGCCGTCCGTGATGGCGGGAAATGCGTGGAGTCGACCCTGTTCGACTCCATGTCTGAGATGTACGGAGACAGCTCCAAGGACACGATCTTGTTCATGTCGGAGGCCGCTGGCGAGGCGGCGAGCGGAGTGACGTTCGTGGACATCCTTAAGGCGACGAACAACTTCAGCGCGGGAAACATCATCGGTTCGGGCGGGTACGGCCTGGTGTTCCTCGCCGAGCTGCAGGACGGCACCCGGCTCGCCGTGAAGAAGCTCAACGGCGACATGTGCCTGGTGGAGCGGGAGTTCCAGGCGGAGGTGGAGGCGCTGTCCGCGACGCGCCACCAGAACCTCGTCCCTCTCCTGGGCTTCTGCATCCGCGGGCGGCTGCGGCTGCTGAACTACCCGTACATGGCGAACGGCAGCCTCCACGACTGGCTGCACGAGCGGCGAGCCGGTGCCGGCCGCGGCGCGCCGCAGCGTCTGGACTGGCGCGCCAGGCTCCGCATCGCGCGCGGCGTGCTCTACATCCACGACCAGTGCAAGCCACAGATCGTGCACCGCGACATCAAGTCGAGCAACATCCTCCTCGACGAGGCCGGCGAGGCCCGCGTCGCCGACTTCGGGCTGGCGCGCCTCATCCTCCCCGACCGGACGCACGTCACGACGGAGCTGGTCGGCACGCTGGGGTACATCCCGCCGGAGTACGGCCAGGCGTTGGCGGCGACGCTGCGCGGCGACGTGTACAGCTTCGGCGTCGTGTTGCTGGAGCTACTGACAGGGAGGCGGCCCGTCGAGGCTTTGCCGCACGGGCAGCAGCGGGAGCTCGTCCGGTGGGTGCTCCAGATGAGGTCGCAGGGGAGGCACGGCGAGGTGCTCGACCAGCGGCTGAGGGGCAAGGGCGACGAGGCACAGATGCTGTACGTGCTCGACCTCGCATGCCTCTGCGTCGACTCGACGCCGTTGAGCCGGCCGGCGATACAGGACATTGTTAGTTGGCTGGACAACGTCGAATTCATCGGCTGATCAGACGTCTGAATGTCTGTGATCTCCAATGGCGAACATGTCGGATTGTTCTGCCAAAATGGAGCATTTCTGTATGCTGAGCAGGTGTTGAAAAATGCAAAAATGACTGTAATCTGAACAGTGGAAAATTACGTATCGGTGGAGCAGTGAGTTGCTTAACAATCATTAATGGACTACAGAATGTAGATGGATTCTAATCACTCGGGTCTCTGTCTCTCCGCGCGACACGAAGCAGCAGCAAGCACGTCCATCTGTCTCGGCCTGTGAAACATGTCGAAACTTTCTCTAGGCCCATTTTAAGACCTTGTTTGGATTGACATGGTCCGGTGTTGGACTGGTAGATTGCATGCATTGATTAGGAACAAGTTCATTGTGCGTCCCTCAATTTGTCGCCGAATCCGAAATTCGTCCCTAAACCAAAATACCAGATATAATGAGTCCCTCAATTTACAAAACCAGATCACCTGAAGTCCTAAGCAGTACCCAATTTTAACTGACATGGCAAGCTAAGTCAGCGTGCACCCGATATGTTAGTGACCTCATCTCTCTTCACCTATCTCTTTCTCTTCCTCTTCTTTGTTCCTATCTCACCAGTGCGGCAGACGGTGATGAGGATGGCACCAATGACGGGCACCGGCGGGTGATGAGGAGGACGGCAGCTGGCGACGAGCGGTGAGGAGGATGGCAGCGGCAATGTGCATATGTAATTGCTGTTGCAGTGAATGGGAGGAGAGGTAGTAGGGATGGATCTGAAGGATGGCATGGGTTAGAGAGGAGGGCTAGAGGGGTATGGCGGCAGGTGCAGTGCCACTGGCGTTCAACGAGTTCCATAAACATGGATGAGCTGTTGTTAACTATCTAGAGGGCAATGGAGAGCCACTGAGCCAGACAATGGCTTCGGCGTCATGGGCGCGGAGAAGGAATGGGAGGGTGTGCGTCGGGGGTGAGGTTATGAGCGCGCCGGGGACAAGGGCGATGTTGAAGTAGATGAGCAGGTATGCGAGGCTCGCTAGGGGGGTGGGGGGGTGGTTGCTAATGCGCGCGCTAGTTGGCCTCCCTCCTCGCGCGCCTCTTTTTTTTTCTTTATGTTCGTACTTTTTTTCCTCGGTTTTGGCGCCTCCGAATGCGATTTTCTTTTTGTTTCGCCTTTTTTTTTCTGATTTTTTCAATCTTTCGCACACCTATTTGCAAATGTAGAATTGAAAGTTTTTAAATTTGAGTTGAAAATTTTCAAATCTTGACTTGAGAGTTTTCAAATTTTGTGTTGCTAGTTTTCAAATTTGAGTTGAAAGTTTTAATATGAGTTGAAAGTTTTAAATTTGAGTTGAAAGTTTTTTAAATTTGAGATGAAAAGTTAAAAATTTTCAAATTTTAACTTCAAAAATTCAAATTTCGAGCTGAAAGTTTTTAAATATGGGGTGAAATTTTTCAAAATTTAACTTCATGTATAATTTCTTTTCAATCTGTTACTTAAAAAAAATCTTCCGAAAAGAGGCAAATTCTACCTTAATTATAGTCATTATTTGAAACTAACCGCACTAGCTTCTTAGTTACTTTAGATGTACACGTCTCAAAAAAAAAATTTCGGAAAAAAAGAAAGCTCGCAGGGTGATGAGGGCTCGCCACTGACACACGCGCGACTTAGAGAAGTTGCGCGTACGCGCTAATTAGGCAAACCGCTCGCTTGGAGCACCGACTGCCGCATGTACTCGCTCCACCCCTGCCTCATGGTACCCACAGCCTCTTCCACTGTCAAACAATTGATCAAGAAGCATCGCCAAACATTAAAAAAAAAATCTCCAATCTGAATATCTGATACTGATCGATGAACAGTTGTAGAACTAGGCTGCTAATCACCTGTTTTTCCTATGCTGAAATTGGAAGCAGGAGGAACAGGCAGCATGTGAGGTTGTATTCTCAATTAATTGCACTGGCCCATAATTAATGCTACGAGGATTAATACCACCATGTAAACTTAAGTGAGGAGATCTCAACTTAAATAAGAAGCTACTAGAGAGCCCCTATCGACCGGTTGAGGTGATGGTAGGATTGTCACACGCGTGTGCGCACGCGCCTAGGCGAGGCAGGCGGCTGCTGCCTCTCTCTCTCTATTCTGTAACAGACAAGAATTGAATCAATGTTAATTCGATTAATCAATTCTATACCAGACGAGAATTGAATCGACGTTAATTTGGTTATTAATCAATTTTGTATTAATGAGTGGATGCATTCCAACGGATTGATTCCGCTGTTAATTACAGAATTGAATCGGATTGATTTCAATTTAATTACTACTAAACGTGAGATACCCGTTCATCCTCTCACACCGAGCTTCCTCACTGGTTCCTCTCAGTTCTATTCTTGCACTAGCCACTGCTTTCCCTGGTCTTGTTCACCTTGGCACACGGGTAAACGGGACGAGCAGGCCTTTGAAACTTCATCCGTTTGTGTACTTGCATGGATAGGCGGGCGATCAAGTTTTTGGATAGTGTTCTCGGGCGCGACTGCTCTGCGTCATCTACGTCAGGCTCTGCTTCCTCTACGTTAACATGTCTGCTGCTGCTGTTACTGGAGGTGGCGAGGGCGCAGGGAGTGGTGGCGTTACTGAAGGAGACGGATCTAGAAGCATCAACACCAATGAAGGCAGTACTGCCTCACCATCCAATGAAGAACCATTCTCGAGGTATACTTCTATTCTACCAATTCTACTAGATGTTTCATTGTTTATATTCATCGCAATGTCAGCATTGCGTTATCATGTAAATGTTGATGCTTATATTATAAAAAGGCATGCTCATGTTGCTTACATCTAGTACTGTCACTAGACTAAATCCTATGGCGAATGTAATGTTTATTATCTTTTTATTTTAGATTAAAATATGCTGAATTGTGACCATATTTCCAACAGTATGTCTTAGCCTTTTATTTGACCAGGCAACCAGCAGATATCTTGCCTAATTGCATAAAAAATTTAATTCTATGTCTTTGTGTACTTAATTAAAGTTCTTTATTTAGGGAAAACGAGTTACAGATATCGTTTGTAGTTAATGGTACCATCTACTCCCTCCGTCCTATAAAAATTACATTTCTAGCTCTAAGGATTTGTCCCACAAAAATTGTATTTCTAGTCATGTGGGGCACAACCAATTGATTCATCTATATAAATTTCCTTCCATCCCACTTAATTTGGGCTGCTAATGCTTGTAATTTTATTAAGTATGCTAATTATATGAGTTAATTCTCTTAAACTTCCTTTTAATCATTTGTATATATGGAATGTGTGCATGCAGTGGGTTCATTAAATAAGGTTATTGTGGTCATTTTTCAATCCTACTATTTTGTCCTAAATTAGCTAGAAATGTAATTTTTATGGGACGGAGGTAGTATGTGTACATGCTCTACTAAATCATTTTAAAGGATAACAGACGTAAACACAATTATTGAACCATCTCGTGCAAAATACTCACCTTTTGCAACTTTTCATGAATGAAAATAGAGCATTTTATTCCTGATATATTTCTAAACAAATCTGTTAGCATTTATTTTATTTCCTAAAGCCTCTCCAGTAGGTGTATGTGCTCAGTTATCATGTATAACATCAGATAACATTGTTCTGTTCAACTGTTATTTTTGCATGTGCTTCTGAACTATTCATATCATGCCATGCCAATATTAGTGCCACACTTGTTTTCAAAGCTAAAAATATGTTATTATTAGTTGGTGAAAGATTCATCTATAAATGTGTTGCTCTGATTTTTGAAGTAGCGTTCTCAGAGCTTGTGTAGATCCAATTAGTTCTGACTGTTGTTTTGATGTTCTAAGCTTGTACCAAATGTCTTTGCTCTGTAGGAGATGGATTTAAGCATATATATAACATTTTATTTTGAAATTGATTCGAGTCTGAAGCTCCTTTCAGGTTTGATCAGTTCTTTGGTGAAATTGGTGTCGCCAAAGACGTGTATTTATGTGGTCATGTGTTGCAACGGATTGCTGGTTTCTCTTTCAAATATGGTCTTTCCAAAAATGGCCATACATATTTTTAAACCTTTCTTGAATGCTGGACAGAGGATTGTGATACAAATGGTGATTATTGATGAAACAATAAAAAACCTTAAATTGATATTTATTTATGCATGTAGAAAAATAAGAACCATCTTATAAAGTAGTCAGATCAACTATTACAGATCAACATGGTAATAGTGAACAGATTACTCTTGATTGAGACTTGGGACTTTTATAACTAAAGGCTACTCCTGTTTGTAATAATAAAATTTTAAAAAATGTGGACCTCAAAGGCTCAAACAAGTAAAATATTTTTTAAGTACAAAATGAACTTTTTTAACATGGGTTCCAATTGCATATATATTTACTTAGCACGAACAAATTACTAGTGTGTAGATAGTTAGGATTCTACTTGACATCAAATCTACATGTTAAAAATATATATAAGATCATTAAGAATTGGGAGAGAGGAGGAGGAGAGGACGGTGATGATGACAGGAGGCATACGTATTAACTACGTACGCACGCACGGAGACGGAAATGAGGCTAGGTGGGACATATAATTATCTGGTTTGTTTAACGTCAATCAAATCTAATCCAGCTAATCCAAAGTACGGTTTATAATGTTGGACTCATATATTTAAGTGAAAAAGAAATTCTCGGATAAGAACTGAATATTGCATCCTCATAAGTCAGAACCTGCAGGAAGTCAACCTGGAGGCCTTACTTGGTACAGTTGTACTCCTAGTAGCGTGGCATGGCAACCAGGAATCCACCTGTACGTGCACGTTGCCCGCGTCGGCCGCACAAGGACAGCGCGCAACGTAGCCCGCTTCACTTCGGCACCTCGCCGCGCCACACCACACGGCAGCCACGCGACACCCCGGCGTGGCAGGATTGCGGCCAGGTGCACGCGGCCACGGCGGCGAGAGGAACGGTGGCCGGCCGCGGCTACGCGCGCTGCGGAATACAACGTCCGCTGGAAAAACCGCCCAACAGTTGCCATCACGACTCGACCAGCGAATTTTTTTTTTAAAGATAATGGAAGCTTTATTGGGATGAGGTTTTTCATCCCTCAAGGAGATATCCTCTCATTATTTGCATGTTATTTAAATAGTTATAAAAAATAGATTTATACAAAATATATCACTCCACAAACATGCTTAACCAAATTCAACTTCTACAAATTTCAACAAAATTTGTTACAATTTGTAGAAGTTGAATTTAAACTTGCATGTTTGTGGAATGATATATTTCATATTAATCTATGTAGCCAATTTTTTCATATTTTTTATTAGTATTTAGGCGGCATGCACGAAACAAAAAGATAGCCCCTCGAGGGATGAAATCACTTTCCCGTTTTATTGATTGTCATTCTGAGAATACTTCTGGTCTCTGCACCACGACAGTGCATACAACCAGCAAACTCCAACACACTAAAAAAAGAGAAAAAAATACCAGCGTGCAACATCAAGGCCCTACAACCCGAAGACTAGGTCGCGACCCATATGCCAGGATAAAAAACTCCTTAACCACTTGCTATAAATGTAGACAAGCCGAAGTGACAGCGAGTGACGTCGCTGAAGCCTTTCTGCTATTTTGTCCACGCCGGATCAAACTTTCACTAAGCAGCTAGGCCATGTTTATTTCAGGGTGAAAAGTTGTTGTATGTCACATCGGATATACAGACATATATTCGAAGTATTAAACGTAGTTTAATAATAAAACAAAATTACAGATTATGTATGTAAATTGTGAGACGAATTTCTTAAGCCTAATTAATCCATCATTCGCAGATGTTTACTGTAGCAATTGTCAAATCATGGCGCAATTAGGCTTAAAAGATTCGTCTCGTAATTTACACATAATCTGTGTAATTAGTTTTTTATCTTCATTTAATACTCCATGTATATATCCAAACATTCGATGTAACAGGGTAAAAAGTTTTTATTTGGGAACTAAACAGGGTCTAACCAGAACAGTAATTAAAGCACAACAAGGTAATGTGCATCTGTGCAACTTTGGGGTCTAAAACTAGTCTTAATCAGCTGCCGTCAACCATAGCCTATGCGTCCTTCTGCAGAAATAGAAATCATGGGGATGTCCTGAAGGTGCTGAAGCATTGCCTAGCTTTTTTAATCTATGGATGTGTTGTGTAGAACTCAAACAAATGATGGATGTGTGTATTGCCACCATATCGCATTGGTATGAATCTGGACATATCTATGTCCAAATTCGTTATATTAAAGAAATGTAACACAACTACGAAAATATAAAGTCTTACGATCTTCAGGAAGGAAACACCCCCAGGTGCTCACATCCAGCCAAAACGAAAAACGTATCGTTATATATATATACAACAGTGAACTCTCCAATCAGATCAACCGCGTTGGACTTGGACAGCGATGCTCGACGTAGTGAACTAGTGATCATGCCACGTAGAGAGCTAGAGATGAGTTGCCACGTCGTCGTTTCGGGAGTTCTTGTGCTGGTTTTGGCCGCCACCATCTGCGGTTGTGCAGCTGCGTGCGTGGAGGTCGAGAGGAAGGCGTTGCTGTCCTTCCTCGCCGACGCCGCGTCGCGGGCAGGAGATGGCATCGTCGGCGAGTGGCAACGGTCGCCGGACTGCTGCACTTGGGACGGCGTGGGGTGCGGCGGCGACGGCGAGGTCACGCGCCTGTCGCTGCCGGGACGTGGGCTCGGCGGGACGATCTCGCCGTCGATTGGCAACCTCACCGGGCTCACGCACCTCAACCTGTCCGGCAACAGCCTCGCCGGCCAGTTCCCAGAGGTGCTCTTCTCCCTGCCCAATGTCACCGTCGTCGACGTCAGCTACAACTGCCTCTCCGGCGAGCTACCTAGCGTGGCGACGGGCGCCGCTGCCCGCGGCGGCCTCTCGCTGGAGGTGCTCGACGTGTCGAGCAACCTCTTGGCGGGGCAGTTCCCGTCCGCGATCTGGGAGCACACGCCGCGCCTCGTGTCGCTGAATGCCAGCAACAACAGCTTCCATGGCACGATCCCGTCCTTGTGCGTGAGCTGCCCGGCTCTCGCCGTTCTTGACCTCTCCGTCAACGTGCTCAGCGGGGTCATCTCCCCCGGGTTCGGCAACTGCTCGCAGCTGCGAGTTTTCAGCGCCGGCCGCAACAACCTCACCGGCGAACTTCCCGGCGACCTCTTCGACGTGAAGGCGCTCCAGCACCTGGAGCTCCCGTTGAACCAGATAGAAGGCCAGCTTGATCACGAGAGCATCGCCAAGCTGACCAACCTGGTCACACTCGATCTGGGCTATAATTTGCTCACCGGCGGATTGCCGGAGTCGATCAGCAAGATGCCGAAGCTGGAGGAGCTCCGGCTCGCCAATAACAACCTCACCGGAACGCTCCCGTCAGCGTTGAGCAACTGGACCAGCCTCCGGTTCATCGACCTCCGGTCGAACAGCTTCGTCGGGGACCTCACGGTCGTTGACTTCTCCGGCCTCGCCAACCTCACCGTCTTCGACGTGGCGTCCAACAACTTCACCGGCACAATCCCGCCAAGCATCTACACCTGCACGGCGATGAAGGCGCTGCGCGTCAGCCGCAACGTCATGGGCGGGCAGGTCTCGCCGGAGATCGGCAACCTGAAAGAGCTCGAATTGTTCTCGTTGACATTTAACTCCTTCGTCAACATCAGCGGCATGTTCTGGAACCTGAAGAGCTGCACGAACCTCACCGCGCTGCTCCTCTCGTACAACTTCTACGGAGAGGCGCTGCCAGACGCCGGCTGGGTCGGCGACCACATCAGAAAAGTTCGGGTAATTGTGTTGGAGAAGAGCGCTCTGACGGGCGCGATCCCGTCATGGCTGTCGAAGCTGCAGGACCTCAACATCTTGAATCTCTCCGGCAACCGCCTCACCGGCCCGATCCCGAGCTGGCTCGGCGCCATGCCGAAGCTGTACTACGTCGACCTCTCCGGGAACCTCCTGTCCGGGGTGATACCGCCGTCGCTGATGGAGATGCGGCTACTGACATCGGAGCAGGCCATGGCAGAGTACAATCCAGGCCATCTCATACTCACATTCGCTCTTAATCCGGACAACGGAGAGGCGAACCGGCATGGCCGCGGGTACTACCAGCTGTCGGGCGTCGCCGTGACGCTCAACTTCAGCGAGAACGCCATCACCGGCACGATCTCCCCGGAGGTCGGCAAGCTGAAGACGCTGCAAATGCTAGACGTCAGTTACAACAACCTCTCCGGCGACATCCCGACCGAGCTGACCAGCCTTGCCAGGTTGCAGGTCCTCGACTTGAGCTGGAACCTCCTGACAGGGACGATCCCTTCTGCGCTCAACAAGCTAAACTTCCTCGCCGTCTTCAACGTCGCACACAACGACCTCGAGGGGCCGATCCCCACGGGCGGCCAGTTCGACGCGTTCCCGCCGAAGAGCTTCATGGGGAACGCGAAGCTTTGCGGCCGGGCGATCTCTGTGCCTTGTGGCAACATGAACGGCGCGACGAGAGGCAATGATCCGATCAAGCACGTCGGGAAGAGGGTCATCATCGCCATCGTTCTTGGAGTTTGCTTTGGCCTCGTTGCTCTCGTCATCTTCCTCGGATGCGTTGTGATCACCGTCAGAAAATTGATGTCCAATGCAGCTGTCCGTGACGGCGGCAAAGGCGTGGACGTGTCCCTGTTCGACTCCATGTCGGAGCTGTACGGCGACTGCTCCAAAGACACGATCCTGTTCATGTCGGAGGCCGCCGGTGAGACGGCGAAGAGCTTGACCTTCCTGGACATCCTGAAGGCGACCAACAACTTCAGCCCGGAGAGAATCATCGGGTCGGGCGGCTATGGCCTGGTGTTCCTGGCCGAGTTGGAGGATGGCACCCGGCTCGCCGTGAAGAAGCTCAACGGCGACATGTGCCTGGTGGAGCGGGAGTTCCAGGCGGAGGTGGAGGCGCTGTCCGCGACGCGCCACGAGAACCTTGTCCCTCTCCTGGGCTTCTACATCCGCGGGCAGCTGCGGCTGCTGATCTACCCGTACATGGCGAACGGCAGCCTCCACGACTGGCTGCACGAGAGCCATGCCGGCGATGGCGCGCCGCAGCAGCTGGACTGGCGCGCCAGGCTCAGCATCGCGCGCGGCGCCAGCCGCGGCGTGCTCTACATCCACGACCAGTGCAAGCCACAGATCGTGCACCGCGACATCAAGTCGAGCAACATCCTCCTCGACGAGGCCGGCGAGGCCCGCGTCGCCGACTTCGGGCTGGCGCGCCTCATCCTCCCCGACCGGACGCACGTCACGACGGAGCTGGTCGGCACGCTGGGGTACATCCCGCCGGAGTACGGCCAGGCGTGGGTGGCGACGCGGCGCGGCGACGTGTACAGCTTCGGCGTCGTGTTGCTGGAGCTACTGACGGGGAGACGGCCCTTCGAGGTTCTTCGGCACGGGCAGCAGCTGGAGCTCGTCCAGTGGGTGCTCCAGATGAGGTCGCAGGGGAGGCACGGCGAGGTGCTCGACCAGCGGCTGAGGGGCAATGGCGACGAGGCACAGATGCTGTACGTGCTCGACCTCGCATGCCTCTGCGTCGACTCGACGCCGTTGAGCCGGCCGGTGATACAGGATATTGTCAGTTGGCTCGACAACGTCCAATTCATCGGCTGATCAGACTAAAGCTCTGGAACGATCCAAATCAATTGAGATGGAAAGCATGTGGAAATATAATTTTTTAGTAAATTCGATGTACAAATCTTTAATGTACAGGAATGTTATGCCAAGAAAGTCAATAATATGGAAGGTAAGAATTCTGACTAAGATTTAAGATTTTCTTGTGGTATATTAAGAAAGGAGCGATTCTAACAAAGGACAATTTGGTCAAAAGAAGATGGAAATGAAGCACTAAGTGTTGCTTCTGCTATGGCGAAGAAACAATCTACCATCTCTTCTTTGAGTGCCAGGTTGCTCGCTTGATGTGGAATGCCTTGTATGTAATGCTAGATATCCAAGAGCCATCGTCTATCACTAATCTCTTGGGTGGTTGGCCGAGTGGCTTAGTATTTAGGTTGAGAAACTGGCTTTTTTGATATCGGCGATGTGTTGGACAATTTGGTTATCTAGGAATTATGTCGTCTTTAATGGCTTAAAAACTAACTCTGTGATATAGGTTATTTTTAGGGGGGGACGCATTGGGCTCGTCAGTGGTCCTTGCTACTTGAGGAGGACAGAGAGGTTGTGAGAAGTGGGTGCAAAAAAATTGAAAGTCAAAATGATAGAGTTATTTACTAAGGAAGGTGGAACTTGGAGGGAAGGTTAGAAGCTTGAGATTTGCTAAGGTCCAACTAAAAATATCTCGAGGTACCGGTACCAAATCATTTCTGATCGTTAGATTTAACAATGCCCATTTTATCCAGCTAGATCCAACGATCGGAAACAATTTAGTATCGTGAGGTACCGGTACCTCGATGTACTTTTTGCTGGACTAGAACAAATCTCTAGAAGTTTAAGAGCTTGTTTTCTCTCTTTTGTTGCTGCTAGATATTGTTCGGAGGTCTAGTGTCTAGTTTTTATGTTTTATGTTTTGTTGTTTGGAATCTGTATTGCGAGCTTAAATGCTCAGACTATATAATTTTGTGGTTGCGTATATTCTACGGGATGAAGAGGCCAGGTTTTTTCAAATCCATTATTAAAAAAAAATCAGCTGATCAGACGTCTGAATGTGTCTGATCCAATGCCAAACCTGTCGGATTGTTCAGCCAAAATGGAGCATTTCTGTATGCTGCGCAGGTGGAAATATGCAAAAATGACTGTAATCTGAACAGTGGAAAATTACGTATTGGTGCCTTGGTGGAGCAGTGGGTTGCTTAACCATCATTAAAATGGACTACAGAATGGCAGTTCAAGGTTAATGGACCCCAAATTTTCAGAACTTAGAACACCTTCTCTCTCTCTCTCTGCGCGACACGAAGCAGCAGCAAGCACGTCCATCTGTCTCGGCCTGTGAAACACGTCGAAACCTTCTCTGGGCCCATTTTAAGGCCTTGTTTGTGTTGACATGGGCCCGTCGAACACATGCTTTTGTCCGTTCGCGGATGGAAAAGGTACACCCTATCTCTTTTCCCTCCTCTCCCTTCCTCCTCTCTCTCTCACTTTTCTCCTCTATGGGCAAGCGCAGGGGCGGACCTAGCCCAAAAATCAAGTGGGGACATCTTATTAGAACTGATAGTGTGCTCAAAATTTTTTACTTAATTACACATTAGTAATACACTAAATATCCACTCCACATACTGTGGATCCGCCCCTGGGCAAGCGGCAAGCCGGCCGGCTGGTGGGGGAGGAGGTCGCCGGGGCAAGACGGGAGAGGAGTGTGGAAATTCTGGATTGAAACGATCGCACTCGTGCTGTGCGTCGTGTTCGTGTTAATATAGATGGGAATAGCCCCCATCGTAGCTTTACACAATTGTATTTTCATCTGAACAAACCAATCCTCAAATCTAGGAGATTACATGCATGCGATATGGATCACAACAGTTCACCGAAACTAACTCTAACAGATTCCTGTTGCTATCGCATGTATAGAAGGAGATCAGCTCCTGTGTCCTTATCCTGATCCATCAGATTGACGTTAGCTGACACCCTCTCTCAACCTTGACCGGCTTAGGTTCAGGTTGCCTTTAAAATTCTCCAGAAGTCTTACTGACAGAGGCTTTGTGAAACCATCTGCAACTTGATCATTAGAGGAAACAAAATCAATTTCTAAAAGCTTTTGACTTACCCGTTCTCTAACAAAATAATAGTCAACTTCAATATGCTTTGTTCTAGCATGAAACACTGGGTTTGCAGAAAGATACTTGGCTCCAAGATTGTCACACCATATCTTTGCTGTCTGAGGACTTTTAATTCCTAGTTCTGTCAGGAGTGTTTGCACCCACATAATTTCTGCTGTTGCATTTGCAATTGCTTTATATTCAGATTCTGTGCTGGACCTGGATACTGTAGCCTGTTTTCTAGCACTCCAAGAAACTAGATTTGATCCCAGAAAAACTGCAAACCCACCAGTTGATCTTCTATCATCTAAGCTACCAGCCCAGTCTGCATCAGAGAATCCACTAACCAAAGTGGATCCAGACTTATGAATATTTAGCCCCAAACAAGTGCATTGCTTAAGATATCTTAATATTCTCTTGACAGCTATCCAATGATCTGTAGTTGGAGCATGCAAATATTGACAAACTTTGTTGACAGAAAAGGCTATATCTGGTCTAGTGAGAGTTAAATATTGTAAAGCACCAACAATACTCCTATACTGAGTAGCATCAACATCTCCCAAAGGTGTTCCTTCATGTAAAGAAAGTTTTTCACTTACTGACATAGGAGTATTTGATGGTTTACAATCCAACATTCCCACTTTCTTTAACAAATCAGCGGCGTATTTTTCTTGTGTCAAGACAATTCCATTGTGAACCTTGCTTACCTCTATACCAAGAAAGTAATGCAGCTCACCTAGATCTTTGAGAGCAAACTCTTCCTTCAAATCATGAAGAAGTGCTGTAGTTGCCCTCTCTGAAGAACTGGCTACAATAATATCATCAACATATACCAAAACAAACATAGTAATGCCTCCTTTATTGAGAAAGAACAAGGAAGTATCAGCTTTGGATCCACTAAAACCAAGATTAACAAGTTTCTTACTCAACCTCGAGAACCATGCTCGTGGTGCCTGTTTGAGTCCATATAGTGCTTTATCAAGCTTGCAAACAAAGTGTGGTTTAGTTGGATCCTCAAAGCCTGGTGGTTGCTGCATATACACTTCTTCTTCTAAATACCCATGGAGAAAGGCATTTTGCACATCTAACTGTCTAAGACTCCAACCTCTAGACACAGCCAAGGACAAAATTATTCTGATTGTAGCAGCTTTAACTACAGGACTAAATGTATCCTCATAATCAATACCATATCTCTGCTTAAACCCCTTTGCTACCAATCTCGCTTTATATCTATCCAGTGTGCCATCAGCCTTTCTCTTAATTTTATAAACCCATTTGCATCCTATGACATTTTTCCCTCTCTGAGGAGGAACTAGGTGCCAGGTTTTATTCTTAACTAAAGCATCATATTCTGAGTCCATAGCTATTTTCCAATTTCTATCCTTTAGAGCTTCTAAATCAGTAGTAGGTTCACCAGATTCTGTAAACCAGGAATTTTTGTACCTAATAGTACCATCAGTATATACCTTTTCTTTGCGAAGTCCACTTTGCAACCTGGTGCGTGGCCTGTCTTGCTCCTGTTCCGGCTGCTGTTCCGACGTCGCATCATCAGACTGGTGCTGCTGTTCTTCTTCCCCTGTCGACAGACGCACGTCAGCATCAATGACAGGAACTGACCCTCCAGTGGCAGGGTGCCGCGTGTCTGGCATGGAGCGGGAGTGCGCCGCAGCGCTGGATGGCGAGTCACCCGTGGCATCATGTGATTGGCTGTCAGCTGCTGTCTCACCAGGACTGCTGCAATCATCAGATGGCGCGGAATTTGATGCCGAATCATCATGCGACACTGCTCCATCCGGATCTTCTGTGCTTGGCGAAGGAGTAGCATCATTTTCCTGTGACTCATTTTCATCCAAAACGTCATGAGGCAACGGATTAGTCATATGGTTAGACAATTCTTCATTCCCCTTTGACCTAGCCGGACCAAATAGATCGGTAGACAGCAAGTCTATCTCAGCCCTAAGGCAAGCACCAGCGTTAGCATGAAGTTCAGAAAATGGGAAAATTGTTTCATCAAAGACAACATCCCTAGATATATAGACCCGGCCAGAGGAAACTTCTAAACACTTAAAACCTTTAAGCATGTCGCTAAAGCCAAGAAAAACACATCGCTTGGATCGAAACTGAAGTTTGTGATTGTTGTAAGGTCGAAGGTTCGGCCAACAAGCACACCCAAAAACCCTAAGAGAGGAATAATCAGGTTTCTGGTGGTGTAATTTTTCAAGAGGGCTAATATTATGGATAACTCTGCTAGGAACTCTATTGATTAAATAAGCAGCAGCTAGAACAGCTTCATCCCAAAATTTCAAAGGCATGGTGGCATGAGATAAAAGAGATAGTGCTACTTCAACTATATGACGATGTTTCCTTTCGGCTGACCCATTCTGTTGATGAGTATGAGGACAGGAAACATGATGCACTATCCCAATTTTTGAAAAGAAGGAATGAAGGGATTGATATTCACCTCCCCAGTCAGTTTGCATGGCTAGGATTTTCCTGTCAAACAGGCGTTCAACCATGGCTTGAAACTCCTGAAATGTTTCAAGTACTTGAGATTTATATTGTAACAAATAAACCCAAGTAAACTTACTAAAATCATCAATAAAACTGACATAGTATTTCTTTCTCCCAACAGATTCTGGGGCAGGACCCCATACATCAGAAAAAATAAGTTCTAGGGGATGCTGAGAAATACTTGTAGAGACAGGAAAAGGTAACTGATGACTCTTGGCTTGCTGACAAGCATTACAAACTGACTCATTTGACAAATCTAAATAAGGGAGATTGAATTTATTGACTACTTGCTTAACAATAGGAATTGAAGGATGACCCAAACGACTATGCCACCGATCTAGGGAAGGTTTGAAGACACTATAGGCTTGCTTCAGGGAAGACTGCGGCAAAGGATACAGTCTGCGCCAAGACTGTCCTTTAAGAAGAGTTCTCCTGGTGATTCGATCCTTAAGAAAGAAATGATCACGATGTAATTCAAGGAAAGCAGAGTTATCATCAACTAAACGATGTACAGAGATGAGACTTTTCTTGGTTTGTGGCACATATAAAACATTTTTTAGATGAATGTTACGACTTGGGGTATGAACAACTGTATGACCAACATGACTTATATCCATACCTGCTCCACTTGCAGTGTGGATTTGTTCACCTCCATTGTACTTCTCCTTTACTGTGAGCTTGTCCAACTCTCCAGTAATATGGTCAGTGGCGCCTGTGTCGATATACCAATTGGTATCGACGCCGTAGGAATTTGTAGTCGCCGCTGCAACATGTTTAGCATCAGGTACATAATCTTCGTCATACCTATACCAGCAGTCGGTGGCCATGTGTCCTCTCTTGAAGCACACTTGACATGTTGGGCGCTTGTCGACTCCTCCTGGTGTGCGTCCACGCCCGCGGCCACCACCTTGATTGTCGCGGCCGCGGCCCCGAGCAGCGCCTCGTCCGCCGCCACCACCACCTTGATTGCCGCGATTGGCAAGGTTGACGACAGCCTCCTGCGCTCCCCGATAGAGAGCTTGACGCGCCTCGTAGTTCAGCACTTGCGAGTATAGATCTCCTATTGTGAGTGGCTCAGAACGAGCACACACAGCAGAGACCACCTCGCTGTACCCTTCACCAAGCCCGGTAATGATGTACTGGATGAGTTCCTCATCATCCAGGGGACGGCCGCCTGCCATCACCATCTCATCACCGAGGGCTTTCATCTTGGCGAAGAATTCCGGAGTTGTCATGGTTCCCTTCTTCGCGTTGGAGAGGGCGAAGCGAGCGCTGATGGATCTTGCGCGGGTGTGGGTAGAGTACATCTCCTCAATTGCCTTCCATGCTTCGGCTGCTGTTGTGCACGTCGCAACCTGCATGAGCACATCCCTTGATAGAGATGAGAGAAGGAAGCCAAGGACCTGCTGGTCCGAGGCCTCCCAATCTTCAAACGCCGGGTTGGTTCTTTTCTCCGTCTTGCCATCAACGATGACAGACACCTCAGCGTCTGGTTTGCGGGTAGCACCAGTTAGATGCCCCAGCAATCGCGCTCCCCTGATCGCTGCGCTAATTTGCGCTTTCCAGAGGGCGTGGTTGGCCTTCCCGAGTTTCTCAGAAACTGGGTGGCCTTGAAGAGGATTGGCGGCGCTTCCTGAGTTCGACGATGAAGCCATGAGATTGATCAATTTTTGTGGAAAATGGATCAACGCTCTGATACCATGTGGAAATTCTGGATTGAAACGATCGCACTCGTGCTGTGCGCCGTGTTCGTGTTAATATAGATGGGAATAGCCCCCATCGTAGCTTTACACAATTGTATTTTCATCTGAACAAACCAATCCTCAAATCTAGGAGATTACATGCATGCGATATGGATCACAACAGTTCACCGAAACTAACTCTAACAGATTCCTGTTGCTATCGCATGTATAGAAGGAGATCAGCTCCTGTGTCCTTATCCTGATCCATCAGATTGACGTTAGCTGACAAGGAGGAGGTCCGGCGGCCGGCGACGCTGTGACGCCGGAGCGGCCGCGCAACCCTCGTCAAAGCGACTCCTGCAGTGGCCGAAATTGACTGCCTTGACACGGACGCCCATGTCCACGCACGCCACATGCGACCTCGAGGCAGAGCTCCTGCATGGCGATGGAGAGGAGGCTGCCTCCTTCTTGATGAAGGAGAACATGCCGCCGATGGTCTCGCGATGGTATGCATCGCCGCCTCGTCGTGCTCCTTGCCAAAGCCAAACGTGTGGACCGGCAGCAGATGGAGCGAGATGGAGGCGGCGAGGGGAGGAGCTGTGCGCGGGCGGCAGGGGAGGAGTGGCGCGAGGGCCAGGGGGAGGGGGGGGAGGAGCTGTGCGTGGGCGGCGAGCGGCTGGGGAGAAGCTCAGACGCCCCTCCCACGATGACTCCACTGCTCCGTCGCGACCGTCTCCCCAGGCATCATGTTCATCGAGGCCGAGTACGACGACAACTCAGCTAGCACCGTGGACATTTGTCGCCTCACCGGCAACAACGACGAGCACCACGCAGAGGCCTTCAAGCGGCTCATCCCGCCCCGCGCGTAGCTCCTCCCTCGGCAGCCTGCACCCAGTTGCTCCCCCGCCGCCCACGCCGCTCCTCCCCCGCCGCCCGCGCAGCTCATCCTATCGATGCCACCGCCCCCGCCCCCACACCCCAAACGCAGCGATCTCTATCCCTTGACGCCACTCTGACCTCCGACTCCTGACAACGCCCTAAAAACATCCACGCCGCATCGCCGCCAAGCCCCACGACGAGGGTTCTCGGCTCCAGACGACCGCCCACGCCACCACAGTCCTCGCCACCAAAAGCAGCGATCTCCGTCCCTCGCGCTGCCCCAACCTCCCACTCCCGATGAAGCCCCACCACCACCCGCCGCCACCCTCGCTGCCAACGCGGCGACCTCCGACTCCCGACGATACCCTGAGCTCCTCGACGTCACACCATTGCCTAGGCCTCCGACCAAGGCCCTCACCGTCAAACGCCTCCGGTCTCCCCCAGCAGTTGCATGTCTTCGTCCCGAACTCCGACCTCGGAGCGGTGGCCTGCTCCTGCGTCGCAGCCGCCGCCGCCTCGTCGTTCGCCGCCAGACCGGCCTCCTCCTTTCCCGCCTCGCCCCGGCGACCTCGTCCTCCACTCAGTGGCCAGCTTGCCGCTTGCCTAGAGAGGAGAAAAGTGTGTGAGAGAGAGAGGAGGAAGGGAGAGAAGGGGAAAGAGGTAGGGTGATGACGTGGCATCCTGATAGGTGGGGCCCACGTGGGTCCCACGCTAACTCAGCCGCCACATCAGATAAAACCAGGGTCAAAACCACCGAAGAACCTAAAATGAACGGTCTTGTAAGTTGAGGGATGTCAAATATCTGGTTTTGTGGTTGAGGTACCTTCTGTGTACTTTTTCCGTTCGCGGATACGTCGCTTGTGTCCTGCATGCATGTGCACTCGAGCGGGATATCGAGTCCGACACAAACGATCCAGTTAGCCGATGGCGCGTCCCTCGGTCGTATATATGCTCCCACGTCGGCCTTGAAGCTAACTCCTGCCCATGCGTTGCAATTGAAAGCACAAATGCATGAGATGTGCCTCGTACACACCAGCATCGATCGCGCATCTGACTCGAGTGTTGGTCGTCCGTGCGTTCGCCGGTGTAATTCCACATCCTCACCGCTTTCCATTTTTGGGACCTACACATCGATCGAGAGCATGTTTTCTTCATCGACCTGATTCACCTTATACTAAGTCGTTTCCCCGATGATATGGGCAATGCTAACGTACCTCGAGCCACCACCCGCTAAGCACACGGTGCACACGTGAGCCAGCGTGCCGTCGTTACCGGTGCCGTCATAGAGCGGAAGCGCCTAGGAGATACATAAAAAAAAACAGTATATATAAAAATTCAAAAAAAAATAAAAAAAAAGAAGATTAGGAGAAGAGTCTAGAGTCCATATAGTAATACAATTTATAAATAAATGAAATTCGGATATAGTAATATAATTTTAGAAATAATTGAAATTCAAAATTATGAAATAAAGAATATTGGAAGAAGAGGGAATTAATAAAGGAATATTGAAAGAAGAGTATAGAATCCATATAGTAGTACAATTTAGAAATAATTGAAATTCGAAATTAAGAAATAAGGAAAATTGAAAGAAGAGTCTAAAGTCCATATAGGAATATAATTTAAAAATAACTGAAATTCAGAATTTAAAAAAGAAATATTGAAAGAGTAATCTAGCATCAGGAATACAATATAGAAATATCTAAAATTCAGGATTTAAAAATAAAAAATATTAGAAAAAGAGTTTAGAGTCCATAAGGAAATAAAATTTATAAATAACGAAAGTTTGGAATAAAAAATATGAAATATTGGAGTAGTTTAGAGTTTATATAGGAATACAATTAAAATTCAAAATTTAAATATAATTAACAAATCATGTATATAAAACAAAATATGAATATTACACATCGGTTACTTTGGTTAAGTAAGTAGTATAGAATTTAAAATTATATTGCTATTTTAATATATGATAACAATAAAATGTGAAAATATAAATGTTATTATGTGAGGAAAAAATATAGTGATATTACTCCACACATCTTGTTTGTAGAATTTTTTTAGTGTTATTGTCATTCTTCTCCCTACGCCTGCTTTGTGGATGCTGCTTGCGCGCCACCTGTTTTGCGTACCAAATCGTTTATTAATTATGCTCCTTCTGGCACACATGGCACAATAAAACAACACAAATTTGACTATGAGTAGCTTTAGTATATTCAAAACTAAATTTGTTTATTTTGCTTCTCTTTCTGTAGGTCGGCTTTGAACATTAAATTTTGCAAGATGGTAGGTGCCTACTATATAAAATGCTGCTAACTCTTCCTACAGTTTCTTATGACGGTTTTCTTAATTGATGATCGAGGTTAAAAAAAATTTCCCGAATAAGAATTGAATATTGCATCCTCAGAAGTCAGAACCAGGAAGTCAACCTGGAGGCCTTACTTTGTACTCCTAGTAGCTTGAATCGCCTGGCATTGCAACCAGGAATCCACCTGTTCACGTTGCCCGCGTCGGCCGCAGGAGCCGCGCGCGCTGCGGAATACAACATCCGCTGAAAAACAGCCGAACAGTTGCCATCACGACTCGCCCAGCGAGTGACGTCGACGAATATTAACTGGAGATTTTCTGCTATTTCGTCCACGCCGGATCAAACTTTCACTTAAGCAACTAACCAAAACATTAAAGCTAGTGGTAATGTGCATTTGTGCAACTTGGGGGGGGGGGGGTCTTAAACTAGTCGTAATTAGCTGCCCTCTCCAGAAGTCAACCCACTCTTCCTTCGGTTTGTATTTCAGCAGTGCTGCTGGACAGCTAATCTTTCCCATAAGTGTGGCATCAATAGCCACTCTACCTATCCTTTTTGCGCTCAGGAGCTTAAGACGTGAACCACATCCTACTCGACTGTGTGTTCGCTCGATAGACCTGGCACCGTGTGTTGTCGCCCCTTAGCTGGACTGCCCTCTCCTCCTCCGTGGCATTTCGCTTCAAGACTAGTGACCGTCTTCTAGGGCTTGCTTACCTGAGCACCTTTGCTCCGGTTTTGACTACTTGGTCCTCCTGATCTCTTGGCGGTTGCGGGAGGAGTGAAACTCCAAGGTTTTCGACTTGACACTCCGCTCGGTCTTTGTGGTTTTAGAGTCCATCAATTTGGAAGGCCGTCTGTGGTCTTCCGTAGGCATTGCCGCTTTTGGGGGTTTGCTGAGAGTGTAGGGTGGCTCTGCCTCCTCCCTCTTGTTGTCCTGGAGTAGCCTTTTTTCACAATAGTTTTTCCATTCTTTTCCTTTTGGTTTTTCTTTCTCCCCCCCCCCCCCCCCCCCGGCATAAGCATGTCTGACCGATTGCGTCGTATAACAAAAACTCTTTTTCTTCTAATATATTGATGGGCAATCCTTTTGCATGTTTGCGAAAAAAAAAGTCAACCCGCAGGTTATGTGTCCTTTTCCAGATATAGAAATCATAATATGGGGATGTACTGAAGCATCGCCTAGCTTTTTAATCTATGGATGTGTTGTATACTTGTATAGAAACTCAACACATGATGGATGTGTGCCACCATGCTGATGGCACAGTTGACTCGCATTACAAAATGCAGTTCAGTACAGTTTAAGGTCAGATAAACGTATCGTCATATACAACAGTAGAACTCTCCAATCAGATCAACCGCGGTGGACTTGGACCGCGATGCTCGCCGTAGTGATCATCATGCCACGATAGAGAGTAAGGAGATGGGTTGCCACCAGGTCGTCGTTACGGGAGTTCTTGTGCTGGTTTTGGCCGCCTCCGTCAGCGATCGTGCAGCTGCGTGCGTCGAGGCCGAGAGGGAGGCGTTGCTGTCCTTCCTCGCCGAGGCCGCGCCGCCGGCAGGCGATGGCATCGTCGGCGAGTGGCAACGGTCGCCAGACTGCTGCACGTGGGACGGCGTGGGGTGCGGCGACGACGGCGAGATCACGCGTCTGTCGCTGCCGGGGCGTGGGCTCGGCGGGACGATCTCGCCGTCGATCGGCAACCTCACCGCGCTCGTGTATCTCAACCTATCCGGCAACGACCTCTCCGGCCCTTTCCCCGACGTGCTGTTCTTCCTGCCCAATGTCACCATTGTTGACGTCAGCTACAACTGCATCTCCGACGAGCTACCTGACATGCTGCCGCCGGCGGCGGCGGACATTGTCCAAGGTGGCCTCTCGCTTCAGGTGCTCGACGTGTCGAGCAATCTCTTGGCGGGGCAGTTCCCGTCCGCGATCTGGGAGCACACGCCGCGCCTCGTGTCGCTGAATGCCAGCAACAACAGCTTTCGTGGCACGATCCCGTCCTTGTGCGTGAGCTGCCCGGCGCTCGCCGTTCTTGACCTCTCCGTCAACATGCTCACCGGGGCTATCTCCCCCGGGTTCGGCAACTGCTCGCAGCTGCGCGTTCTCAGCGCCGGCCGCAACAACCTCACCGGCGAGCTCCCCGGCGACATCTTCGACGTGAAGTCGCTGCAACATCTCCATCTCCCGTCTAATCAGATTGAAGGCCGGCTTGATCATCCGGAGTGCATCGCGAAGCTGACCAATCTTGTTACGCTTGATCTGAGCTATAATCTGCTCGCCGGCGAACTGCCGGAGTCGATCAGCCAGATCACGAAGCTGGAAGAGGTCCGACTCATTCATAACAACCTCACCGGAAAACTCCCACCGGCATTGAGCAACTGGACCAGCCTCCGGTGCATCGACCTCCGGTCGAACAGGTTCACCGGCGACCTCACGGGCATTGACTTCTCCGGCCTCGACAACCTCACCATCTTCGACGTGGACTCCAACAACTTCACTGGCACCATCCCGCCGAGCATCTACTCCTGCACGGCGATGAAGGCGCTGCGCGTCAGCCACAACCTCATCGGCGGGCAAGTCGCGCCGGAGATCAGCAACCTGAAAGAGCTCCAATTCTTGTCGCTGACAATCAACTCCTTCGTCAACATCAGCGGCATGTTCTGGAATCTCAAGGGCTGCACGAGCCTCACCGCGCTGCTCGTGTCCTACAACTTCTACGGCGAGGCGCTGCCGGACGCCGGCTGGGTCGGCGACCACATCAAGAGCGTCCGGGTGATTGTGATGGAGAACTGCGCGCTGACGGGCACGATCCCGTCGTGGCTGTCGAAGCTGCAAGACCTCAACATTCTGAATCTCTCCGGCAATCGCCTCACCGGGCCGATCCCGAGCTGGCTCGGCGGCATGTCGAAGCTGTACTACCTGGACCTGTCCGGCAACCTCCTGTCCGGGGAGATACCGCCGTCGTTGAAGGAGATACGGTTGCTGACGTCCGAGCAGGCCATGGCAGAGTTCAATCCAGGCCATCTCCCGCTCATGTTCTCCGTGAAGCCGGACAGGCGAGCCGCGGATCGGCAGGGCCGCGGGTACTACCAGCTGTCGGGCGTTGCCGCAACGCTCAACTTGAGCGACAACGGCATCACCGGCACGATCTCGCCGGAAGTCGGGAAGCTGAAGACGCTCCAAGTGCTCGACGTCAGTTACAACAACCTCTCCGGCGGCATCCCGCCGGAGCTGAGCAACCTCACCAAGCTGCAGATTCTTGACTTGCGATGGAACCACCTGACCGGGACGATCCCTCCTTCGCTCAACGAGCTCAACTTCCTCGCCATCTTCAACGTCGCGTACAACGACCTCGAGGGGCCGATCCCGACCGGCGGCCAGTTCGACGCGTTCCCGCCAAGAAGCTTCAAGGGGAATCCGAAGCTCTGTGGTCTGGTGATTTCTGTCCCATGTAGCAACAAATTCGAGGCTAGGTACCATACTTCGTCCAAGGTCGTGGGGAAGAAGGTCCTGATCGCCATCGTTCTTGGAGTTTCATTTGGTCTGGTCATTCTCATCGTCTCCCTCGGATGCCTTGTGATTGCCGTCAGAAGAGTCATGTCTAATGGAGCGGTTCATGATGGCGGGAGAGGCGTGGGTGCCTCACTGTTCGACTCCATGTCGTCGGAGCTGTACAATGATAATGATAGCTCCAAGGACACGATCTTTTTCATGTCGGAGGTCGCCGGCGAGGCGGCGAAGGCCGTGACGTTCGTCGACGTTCTGAAGGCGACCAACAACTTCAGCCCGGCGAACATCATCGGCTCGGGCGGGTACGGCCTGGTGTTCCTCGCCGAGATGGAGGACGGCGCCCGGCTCGCCGTGAAGAAGCTGAACGGCGACATGTGCCTGGTGGAGCGGGAGTTCCAGGCGGAGGTGGAGGCGCTGTCCGCGACGCGCCACGAGAACCTCGTCCCGCTCCTGGGCTTCTGCATCCGCGGGCGGCTGCGGCTGCTGATCTACCCGTACATGGCGAACGGCAGCCTCGAGGACTGGCTGCACGAGCGCCACGCCGGTGGTGGCGCCCCGCAGCAGCTGGACTGGCGCGCCAGGCTCAACATCGCGCGCGGCGCCAGCCGCGGCGTCCTCCACATCCACGAGCGCTGCAAGCCCCACATCGTGCACCGCGACATCAAGTCGAGCAACATCCTCCTCGACGAGGCCGGCGAGGCCCGCGTCGCCGACTTCGGGCTGGCGCGCCTCATCCTCCCCGACCGGACGCACGTCACGACGGAGCTGGTCGGCACGCCGGGGTACATCCCGCCGGAGTACGGCCAGGCGTGGGTGGCGACGCTGCGCGGCGACATCTACAGCTTCGGCGTCGTGTTGCTGGAGCTGCTCACGGGGAGGCGGCCCGTGGAGACATTGCCGCCGCCGCAGGGGCAGCAGTGGGAGCTCGTCCGGTGGGTGATGCAGATGCGGTCGCAAGGGAGGCACGCCGAGGTGCTCGACCCGCGGCTGAGGGGCAATGGCGACGAGGCACAGATGCTGAACATGCTCGACCTCGCATGCCTCTGCGTCGACTCGACGCCGTTCAGCCGGCCGGAGATACAGGATGTGGTCAGATGGCTCGACAACGTCGACACCATTGGCAGAGCAGACGTCTGATCAGGCTCTCCGAAACGGGGCATTCTGTTCGCTGCGCAGGTGTCACAATGAAATTATTGACAGTAATCTGAACACTGGAAATCACGTGTTGCTGGAGGCCTGGAGCAGCGAGTTGCTTAACCATCCTGTAGAATGGCACTCTCAAAGTGTTCCAAATTTCAGATCCAGAAACTTCTGTGAGACTAAGCAGCTGGTACATCTGTCTCGGCCCGTAAAACACGTCGGCCCATTTCAGATGGATGCAGACAGGGGAGTTCTGGACTTCTGAGAAATGCAAGATCCTACCTCACTGGTGTGTAAGATTCATCTAAATTACTACTTCATTTTAGTTGCTACCAGTGTGCTCCATTCATGTGCAAACACAAAACAACTTGTAAATTCCCATGCATGCAAAGCGCCACCGTTGTTTGGGCCAACACACAAGGCCTGCAATGTATTCTTTGAAATGGTATGAGTAGTTCGGTAACACAAAAAGGTCAAAAACACAATTAGCACAAATGGTATGTAAATTCCCATGTATTGTACCTCCAGTGAATCCTCCATAATACGGCTCGCCTTACCTACAAAATTTTGGTCCAAGCTGCGGACTTCAGTATGGCAAATCACACATCTAATCAGAGATATGCTACTATATATAACAGGGAAATGCTAACTGGTGGTTCTACGTGACTGTACTTGCCCAGGAATTTCACTCCATTATTTTTGCATCGTGTGGACATCATTCTCTGACTTTGTCTTAGACTTAGAGATGAACATCATTCTTAGCTCTGACTTTCAGGTTGGATATCATGACATTCAGAGAATGAAACTTCAGATTCTGTTATTTGCACTATGTACAGCCTCCCTATGATTTCATTTCTCGTGTTTCCAGTCCAGATTCAGAAACAAATCCCCCATGCCTTTTGGGAGCTTTGTGTTATGCTGTTGCTGCTGCTCACCTTTGCCTCTCCCACCAGTTCCTTCATATAGCAGGAGCAGAGCTCCCTCGACTTCGTTGCGCAGCTCTCACCTGAACACAACGGCAGCCTCAACATGTCGTGGGCGTTAGGTACTGACTGCTGTTCATGGGAAGGGATCAACTGCAGAGGTGAAAACACAGTCAGAGATATCTCGCTGCCTTCCAAAGGCCTTGCAGGGAGCATCTCTCCATCCCTTAGCAATCTCACCAAGTTGTTGCACCTCAACCTCTCCCACAATTCTCTCTCCGGTGGTCTACCAATGGATTCGTTGTTGTTCAGCAGCATCGCTGTCCTTGATGTCAGCTTCAACCACCTAGATGGTCCACTTCAAGAGCTGCAGTCATCAAATCCTAGCCTTTCCCTTCCACTACAGGTAATGAATATCTCCAGCAATTTTTTTCACAGGACAATTTCCATCAGCAGTACGGAAATGATGAAAAACCTGGTTGCTCTGAATGCAAGTAACAACAGCTTTACAGGACAGATACCAGCATCTATCTGCATCAGCACCCCATCATTTGCAGTGCTTGATCTTTGGTCATTTGGTGCAACCAATTCAGATGCAGAATTTCCCCAAAAGTACGCAATTGTTCCATGTTGAGAGTGCTCAAGGATGGACACACAACGTTACTGGAGCTATCCCTAATGAGCTCTTCAGTTATACATCATTGGAGCACCTCTCTTTTCCTTTACAAGGAGTTCTTGATAGTTATCACATAGTCAAACTTGGTAATCTGACATTCTGACTGTCCTTGATCTTGGATCAACTGGGATCAGTGGCAAGATCCCAAACTCTATAGGCCAGTTGAATAAAAAGAACTCTATAGGCCAGTTGAGAAGATTGGAGGAGCTCCACTTAGACAACAATAACATGGTAGGTGAGCTGCCATCAGCACTAGGTAACCGCACAAATCTCAGATTCATTACCCTCAGAGGCAATCGATTTACTGGAGATCTTGGCAAAGTCCACTCCACAATGTTGGATCTCAAAATTCCCAATTTTTCCATGAATAACTTCACTGTTACAATTCATGAAAGCATCTACTCCTCCAGCAATCTCATTGCGTTATGGCTGGCTTTCAACCGCTTTCATGGGCATATCTCACAAAGAATAGGCGAGCTAAACTATCCTAAAGTTCCTCTCCTTCCTTTCAATTACCAACAACTCTTTTACCAATATCACAAATACACTTCAGATGCTCAAAAACATGCAATAACCTCACCTATCTGCTAGCAGGAACCAATTTCAAGGGGGAAATCATTCCGCAGGATGAAACAATTCATGGTTTTGAGAACCTTCAGGTACTCACCTTGGATGGTTGCCCACCGGTTGGATAAATCCCTCTTTGGCTGTCAAAGATCATAAAGTTGGAGGTGCTAGATTTGTTAAGCAATCAACTCACTGGAGTACTGGACCGAATACCATCCTGGATTAATGATTTGTATCTCCTATTATATCAAACTACAGGCTTACAGGAGATATTCCATCTAGCATCTACGTTGATGAACATGCCGATGTTACTATCAGAAAAGAAACCTGCCACTTTGGACCTCAAACTCCTTGACTTGCCTGTATATCGGACACCACTATGTCAATATTGCCTGATCAGTACCAATTTCAGCTCGAACAAATCTGCAGCCTCACAGGCCTGCAAGGCTGCAAGTACTAGACTTGTCAAACGACCTCTCTCAACCTGATCCCCACTTATACTGCATCATTGTTCGCATCCCTGCTCACAACCACGTATTGTTACTGATTTAGCCGGTAACTTCAAATAGCATGACTTAAAATGTTTAGGACATAACGATTGATGATTCAATTATATGAATAAAACTACTCTATAGACAAACTCTGAGCAAATGCTACTGCATAAACGAAGTGCTACTATTCTTGGACATAGCTACCATATGCAATCTCTAGATTTGAACCCATTAGAAGCTAGAGCCAAAGTGCACAAAAATTCTAATTCGTTGAGCCCTCGGAGTTTTCCCCAATCCCCATAATACAGCGAAAATAATAGGGTTACCTGAGTACTTATTTTTGCGAGGAAAATAGTCCTGAACAAGAGAGTAAACAGAGGATTAATTGAATGCGTACCTTCTGCCGTGATTCGCTTCGCACTGCAAGTTTTTGCAACCAGGAATCCCCGCCCGTGCCCCGTTGCCCGCGTCGGCCGCGGCTCGCGCGGCCTCACGGAGAACTAGAGCCGCTTCGCCTCGCCGGTTCGCCGCCACAGCAGGGTAGCCAGGCTACACCCCCGGGTGTGGCTGGATTGCTCGGCGGGAGGGTGAAGCCCGTACGCTCGCCGCGCACCTCCGCCCCCAGCCGCCGCCGCCGCCGCCGCCGCTCGCCCACGGGCTTGCCGTTGCGGCCATGGCGGCGAGAGGAACGACGACGACGTGCTACGCCTCCACGGCCTACGGGTTGTCATGTGGACTTCAGGTATGGGCCCATGGGCCAGAAGGATAGTCCAGAATACAATATCTTCTGGATAACCGCTAAACAGTTGCGTGACGTCGACGAATTAACTGGAGCTTTCGTCAACGCCGTATCAATTCACGCTCATCAACCACGACATTAATGCTCTAGATAATGTGCAACTTTGGTCTTAGACAGCTCCTCCACGCCCAATCAGCCAGAAAAGCCCAGCTTCAGAAGTGAAGTCAAACTTGCCAACAAAAGCATATGGCGTATACGGAGTACATTTCTTAAAAATATTATAGTAAGTACAAACAGAAATTATATCCTGAAGAATCGGTTTAATCAAAATTTGATCCGAACCTGATCCCCGGAGCACGACGTGCACGGCGACGCACTACGCTGCAGTTGACTCGGATTAATATACTTCCCCTCCCCATTTCAGTTCAGTTCAGTTCAGCATTAGATAACTTATCGCCGGATTCAACGGCGAACTCTCCAATCAAATCGGCCGGGATGGAGTTTGACTTCCGCCACGCTCGATAGCTCGACGTGGTGATCATGCCACGATGGAGACGAGTGGCCGAGTCGTCGTGGTCGTCTCTGGAGTTCTTGTGCTGCTTTTAGCCATCTCCATTTGCGGGCGCGCAGCTGCCTGCGCCGAGGCGGAGAGGGCGGCCTTGCTGTCCTTCCTCGCCGAGGCCTCGCCGCCGGCGGGGGATGCCATCGTCGCCGACTGGCGAGGATCGCCGGACTGCTGCAGGTGGGATGGCGTGGGGTGCGGCGGCGCAGGCGACGGCGATGGCGCGGTCACGCGTCTGTCGCTGCCGGGACGCGGATTCAACGGGACGATCTCGCCGTCGATTGGCAACCTCACCGGGCTCACGCACCTCAACCTGTCCGGCAACAGCCTCGCCGGCCAGTTCCCAGAGGTGCTCTTCTCCCTGCCCAATGTCACCGTCGTCGACGTCAGCTACAACTGCCTCTCCGGCGAGCTACCTAGCGTGGCGACGGGCGCCGCTGCCCGCGGCGGCCTCTCGCTGGAGGTGCTCGACGTGTCGAGCAACCTCTTGGCGGGGCAGTTCCCGTCCGCGATCTGGGAGCACACGCCGCGCCTCGTGTCGCTGAATGCCAGCAACAACAGCTTCCATGGCTCGATCCCCTCCTTGTGCGTGAGCTGCCCGGCTCTCGCCGTTCTTGACCTCTCCGTCAACGTGCTCAGCGGGGTCATCTCCCCCGGGTTCGGCAACTGCTCGCAGCTGCGCGTTCTCAGCGCCGGCCGCAACAACCTCACCGGCGAACTCCCCGGCGAGCTCTTCGACGTGAAGCCGCTCCAGCACCTGCAGCTCCCGGCGAACCAGATAGAAGGCCGGCTTGATCAGGATAGCCTCGCCAAGCTGACGAATCTGGTCACGCTTGATCTGAGCTATAATTTGTTCACCGGTGAATTGCCGGAGTCGATCAGCAAGATGCCGAAGCTGGAGGAGCTCCGGCTCGCCAATAACAACCTCACCGGAACGCTCCCGTCAGCGTTGAGCAACTGGACCAGCCTCCGGTTCATCGACCTCCGGTCGAACAGCTTCGTCGGGAACCTCACGGACGTTGACTTCTCCGGCCTCCCCAACCTCACCGTCTTCGACGTGGCGTCCAACAACTTCACCGGCACGATGCCACCGAGCATCTACTCCTGCACGGCGATGAAGGCGCTGCGCGTCAGCCGCAACGTCATGGGCGGGCAGGTCTCGCCGGAGATCGGCAACCTGAAACAGCTCGAATTCTTCTCGTTGACAATCAACTCCTTCGTCAACATCAGCGGCATGTTCTGGAACCTCAAGGGCTGCACGAGCCTCACCGCGCTGCTCGTGTCCTACAACTTCTACGGCGAGGCGCTGCCGGACGCCGGCTGGGTCGGCGACCACGTCAGGAGCGTCCGCGTGATTGTGATGCAGAACTGCGCGCTGACCGGCGTGATCCCGTCATGGCTGTCGAAGCTGCAGGACCTCAACATCTTGAATCTCTCCGGCAACCGGCTCACCGGCCCGATCCCGAGCTGGCTCGGCGCCATGCCGAAGCTGTACTACGTCGACCTCTCCGGGAACCAGCTGTCCGGGGTGATACCGCCGTCGCTGATGGAGATGCGGCTACTGACGTCGGAGCAGGCCATGGCGGAATTCAATCCAGGACATCTCATCCTGATGTTCTCTCTGAATCCGGACAACGGAGCGGCGAACCGGCAGGGCCGCGGTTACTACCAGCTGTCAGGCGTCGCCGCGACGCTCAATTTCGGCGAGAACGGCATCACCGGCACGATCTCGCCGGAGGTCGGCAAGCTGAAGACGCTGCAGGTGTTCGACGTCAGTTACAACAACCTCTCCGGCGGCATCCCGCCGGAGCTGACCGGCCTCGACAGATTGCAGGTGCTCGACTTGCGCTGGAACCGCCTGACAGGGACGATCCCTTCTGCGCTCAACAAGCTAAACTTCCTCGCCGTCTTCAACGTCGCACACAACGACCTCGAGGGGCCGATCCCCACGGGCGGCCAGTTCGACGCGTTCCCGCCGAAGAATTTCATGGGGAACCCGAAGCTTTGCGGCCGGGCGATCTCTGTGCCTTGTGGCAACATGATCGGCGCGACGAGAGACGATGATCCGGACAAGCACGTCGGGAAGAGGGTCCTCATCGCCATCGTTCTTGGTGTCTGCATTGGCCTCGTTGCTCTGGTCGTCTTCTTGGGATGCGTTGTGATCACCGTCAGAAAAGTGATGTCCAATGGAGCTGTCCGTGACGGCGGCAAAGGCGTGGAGGTGTCCCTGTTCGACTCCATGTCGGAGTTGTACGGCGATTGCTCCAAAGACACGATCCTGTTCATGTCGGAGGCCGCCGGTGAGGCGGCGAAGAGATTGACGTTCGTGGACATCTTGAAGGCGACCAACAACTTCAGCCAGGAGAGAATCATCGGGTCGGGCGGCTATGGCCTGGTGTTCCTGGCCGAGTTGGAGGATGGCGCCCGGCTCGCCGTGAAGAAGCTCAACGGCGACATGTGCCTGGTGGAGCGGGAGTTCCAGGCGGAGGTGGAGGCGCTGTCCGCGACGCGCCACGAGAACCTCGTCCCGCTCCTGGGCTTCTGCATCCGCGGGCGCCTGCGGCTGCTGCTCTACCCGTACATGGCGAACGGCAGCCTCCACGACTGGCTGCACGAGCGGCGTGCCGGTGGCGCGGGCGCGGCGCCGCAGCTGCTGGACTGGCGCGCCAGGCTCAACGTCGCGCGCGGCGCCAGCCGCGGCGTGCTCTACATCCACGAGCAGTGCAAGCCCCAGATCGTGCACCGCGACATCAAGTCGAGCAACATCCTCCTCGACGAGGCCGGCGAGGCCCGCGTCGCCGACTTCGGTCTGGCGCGCCTCATCCTCCCCGACCGGACACACGTCACGACGGAGCTGGTCGGCACGCCGGGGTACATCCCGCCGGAGTACGGCCAGGCGTGGGTGGCGACGCGTCGCGGCGACGTGTACAGCTTCGGCGTCGTGCTGCTGGAGCTGCTCACGGGAAGACGCCCCGTCGAGGCGGCCTCGCCGCCGCACGGGCAGCAGCGGGAGCTCGTCCGGTGGGTGCTGCAGATGCGGTTGCAGGGGAGACAGGCCGAGGTGCTCGACACGCGGCTGAGCGGAGGCAACGAGGCGCAGATGCTGTACGTGCTCGACCTCGCATGCCTCTGCGTCGACTCGACGCCGTTCAGCCGACCGGCGATACAAGAAGTGGTTAGCTGGCTCGACAACGTCGACACCATCGGCAGATCATGACATTTGAGCCTCATTTGCTAACATCGATACTGTGTGCGAACTGAGCGTTCTGTGATGCGAAATTGGGAGTAATCTCATGTAAATTCAGTCATTAGCAGTAACCGGAGATGGAAACTAGGCACTGGAAAATCTATCTATTATATTATTAAAGGAATAGAAAAAAGGAGTCTCCACGTTCGCTCTCATGGCCTAGAAATTCTCACATTAATCGAAGAAAAAGAAAAAGCAGAGTCCATATAGAAATACAATTTAGAAATAGCTGAAATTCGGAATTAGAAAATAAGAAATATTAGAAGAGGAGACTAGAGTCCATATAGAAATACAATTTAGAAATTGTTGAAATTCGGAATTAAAAAATAAGGAATATTTGAAGAGGAGACTAGAGTCCATATAGAAATACAATTAAGAAATAACTGAAATTCGGAATTAAAAAATAAGAAATATTTGAAGAGGAGACTAGAGTCCATATAGAAATACAATTAGGAAATAACTGAAATTCGGAATTAAAAATAAGGAATATTAGAATTAGAGAATAGAGTCCATATAGAAATACAATTAGGAAATAACTGAAATTTGAAATTAAAAATAAGGAATATTAGAAGTAGAGTATAGAGTCGTAGAAATACAATTATGAAATAACTTAAATTCGTAATTAAAAATAAGGAATATTAGAAGTAGAGGATAGAGTCTATATAGAAATACAATTAAGAAAATAAAATAGAAATTTGGAATTAAAAAATAAGGAATATTAGAAGTAGAGTATAGAGTCCATATAGGAATTTAAAACTAACTAAAATTTGGAATAAACATAATAAAATTAAAAGTAGAGTTTAGAGTCCGTATAAAAATACAATTTATAAATAAATAAAATTAGAAATTAAGAAAAACGTGGGAAGAAGAGTTTAAAGTCAATATAGGAATACAATTTAGAAGTAACTGAAATTCAAAATTTAAAATTAAAGAATATTGAAAGATGAGTTTAGAGTCCACATAGAAATACAATTAGAAATAATAAAAATTCAGAAATAAATATAAATAATATTGAAAGAAGAGCATAGAGTCTATATAAAAATACAATTTACAAAAAATTCGGAATTAAAAAATAGAAATATTAAAAGACGAGTCTAGAGTCCATATAGGAATATATATAATTTACAAATAACTAAAATTTGATATTAAAAATAATTAATAACTAACACGTATATAAAATACAATATAAATATTACACATTAGTAGTTTTGTAAAGTTATTGCAAAATTTAAAATTATATTGTCATTTTAATATATTTGAATAATATAATGAGAAAATATATATGCTATTATTTGAGAGAAAATATAATGATGCTAGCCGCGTAATCTGCGCGGGCCATCATGCTAGTTATGGTGTATAAGTATAGAGATGCGCGTGAATGGGGAGGATTTAGCAAAATGTACATTTGTACGTTCTGATTCGGATTGTGAATAGTGGAAGAATTCCATAATTTCAGTCTTTCAGAGCCTAAAACCTCTGACAAACGAGGCAGAAGGTCCATCGGTTTCAGACTTTCAAGGCTTTCAGCCCGTGAAGCACGAAGCCCTTTTTGTCCAGGCCCATGTTCAAAATGAGTTTATCTGTTCTTTTAAGGCCTGTTTTGGATATCATGGGCCTATTTTGTGCATTGCAGCTTGCAGACATACTACTGTACTTCGTAATACCGAGTATTCTACTACGATTCTTGTAATTCTTTGCAGTGGAGCTTTTGTTGGTCTGAACTTGAAGCATTACATGATAGTAGCACCTGCATCTTCTTTGTACATATATGTTTAGCGTTGCATGTTGGGTATTTGGATGTGCACAACTAGGGAAAAAGAACATCTGACTTCCTCCATGTACCACCAACTTATATTACAGATGCTAACTCAACAAAATAAATAAGTACAAGTACTAGTAGAAGTGTAGAACATGAAAGGGAAATGGCCTGCCATAAACCAGCCAGCTAACTATTACAGTACAGTATTACTCCCAAACTAACTAATTAACTTACACTAGAAAATACCTATAGAAAAAGGAAATTGAAAAAAAAACTAGGACTACAAAACTGAAAAGCTACCAGTACACAGGTTCAACCTCCCCAAGCTCTGCTTCTCGTAGGCAATCACCCATATAGATGCTTAGGTTTGTTCACTTGAAGCCGTACACTGCAATAAGAATTGAAGAGAATGCACAAATCAGTTGATGTTGCATAAAATTGAGGCGCCCATTTCAAACAGAACCAGATGAATTTCATAAGAAATAGTCCAGTTTCTAAGCGAAGCCTACAAGTAAAAAACTGTGACAAAAATTTTGGCACTGACGACGATGAAAAACTGTATATCAGCAGTGTGTATACCTCATCTGTTCTGGATGGGATTCCAGCCGGATCTGGGAACACGTCGACGGCCGAAGCTCGCCGCCGTCGCAGGCTGCTTGAAGGGCTTATTCGCACCATCAACTCTCATTTGCTGCTGCTGCTGACCGGCCCTATGCTGGCTCGACGTCGCCGCCGGCGACACCAGCAGCCGCCGCGGCTGCCACCTTCTTCCTTCACTCTCAGCTAAAGACGACGACGTCAAACACAGCAACAACACGAGCAGCAGCAGCAACGCTGCCCGGTGAGAAACAGAAGCAACCCTGCAAGAACCCATGAATTTTCTGAAGCTGCTGCTGCTGCTGCAATATTCTTGTGCGAGTTGTGCTTGGGGCAGTGTGGAGATGAGGGTATGTAGTGGGGGGAGGTGTGGATTGGAGCAAGGATCGAGGAGAGATGGTGGGAGTTAACGTGGGCTTTGGGGTGGTTTTATTTCGGATTCTGATACTCTAATCCATCTCTATGACCAGTAGCAACTAGCAAGCGCCGCTCCTAAGCGGGTCGGATCTTTGATCTTGGCGGCAATTCAGATCATTCAAACCCAACTCATGCATGGTTCCAAATTTCAAATTTTTTTTTTAAAAAATATATATATCAAATTTCAAATTCAGTAATACATTTTTTTGGCCGGATGAGGGGTTACAGGTTTACAAGACTGCAGATTTCAACAATAACATGTCGAAGCGCCGAAAGGCACGCTACCTGAAGTGGTTCAGAGCGAAAAATGCTTGACCTGCTACAGTAATACATGTAACTCGCTATATTCCGAATGACCAAATGATGCAACAAAATTTTAATGGATTCGGGTGTCACTAGATCTGAACCCGTAATCTACAAGTAACCAAGATATTAGTAGTCACTAATCTGAGCATCCTGTAGTTGGAATTCATGTGCTAGTAATTAAATTTTTCTGGTTCCCAGTGGGGGAAGTCAGGCATCATGTGCTGCAGCTTTGACTGTACTGAAAAACTTTTGGTATTGGCCTAAGACTAGGGCTGGTTGTGCTGTTTGATCGTCAAGGACTAAATCGGCTAGTTTTTAACTGCTAATCCACTTATTTTTGCCGGAATCACGTGATGGGGGCACGTGATTCTGAAGATACTGTTGCTGCTAGCTGTTTTACTTTTAACTGTCGAAGTTTCTGTTTCTTCTCCATATAGATGGAGTAAAATATTAACCAGGAAGGAATAACTGCTAGATGTTTCAGAATGTTGTGACAGTTTCAGTTTTCACCTGACGGTAGTACTTCTGCAATGCAGGTAAGAATGTTTTCCCTTCTTTGTCAGTGGTGAAAATGTGTACCCTACTCCTTGTGCTACTGAATAATACTGCTTGCCGTTTGCAGACCTGCAGCTCAAACTGTATCCCCAGTTCGTCCAAATACACAGACATGATCTGAAATTCTGAAGCAGAGTACTGTAAAGATAGTAGGCCTAAGCAGTGACTGTTCTCAAGTTCAGAAAAATCACCTGAAGTGCAGTGGACTTGATCAGGGGAGGAGTAACAATTTTTGAACAACAATAAAGGACACTTCAGAACAGTAATAAATCACTAATAATATACTTTGGCCACTGGATTTGCTATGCCCGAAGCAACGTGTCCCTGGTTGTGCCATCTGAATAAACAAGCAAGGAGATCGTCAGATACTCTCAGATCGACATGGAGATTGGAGAGGATACTCCAGCCACGTCAACGAACCACAAGCAAAAAGGGGAGTGGCTTTTAAAGCAGGGATTAACTGCAGCAACATGCATATTCGATGTGCTGCAAGTTGCAGTTGCAGACAGTTAAAAATTTGGCATGTCTGAACATTGACGATCAGAGAGATGCAGGCACAGAGAGAGTCAGTGCTGCAGTGCGTGGTTTTGCATTGGGATCGGTGTCTGTCTCTGCAGTTTTTGCAGAGACGAAGTGGATCCTAGGAAGGTAAGAAGGACGGTGCTCTTGATGGATGCGCAATTGGGATTTAATTTACTTCCAAGGTTATTACTAGTAAATTCTTGATCTGAAGTTCTGAACAATTGGCAACGAAATGAAGATGGTTTTCTCTGCAGGGTCAGCACACAGCAGCAACATCCTCTGGATGATTCCACCTCTGTTGTAACGACCAACCACTGCAAAATTTACAGTTTTTCTCCAGCTTTACATTCTGCAGTAATATACTACTACTCTACCAGAAACTGTAACGCGGTTACAGAAGTGAGACGATGAGGCTACGAGAGGAGGATATGTCTGCATCTGCAAGCAAGATTAGGTTGCTGCACTGTGAAAGAGCCAAAAAGCGTTCACTGGTGTGGTATTCGATGGGCGCGTGCGTGACGCGAGACGAAGGCGCCGTGCGCGTTAAAAATACGCGAATCGTGCGGAGCTGGACATCGGCCATGGCCGGAGAACGTGAAGCTTTTTGCTCTCGCCGATCGGTACGGCAGCGTGCCGTCGCCACGTGCATTGGCCTCCTCATCGCTTTGCCTTTGGCTTTTGCCCGCGATGAATGAATCTACGATTTCAAGAACGATTTATAGTATGAAAATCTCTAAAAAAAATTGGAGGGCAATATCTGTTGAATTAAAAATCCATTTTAAATTATGGAAAACAAAATCAATTAGGCTGGCATGATAGAATGGAAATATCTAACAATTAAAAAATCAAACAAAAATGAATTTGAACAATATTTGGTGAATTTAAATAAAAAACTGAATTTCTCGGGGAAAGATATCCTACAAAGGAGATGAAATACCCTAAATTTCAGAAATTTTAGTTCCATATATGTCACCTTAAGTTCCATATATTTCAGAATATTTGAAACTATGGAAATGTCAATTTTTAACCATATTTGAATAAGTTTTGTTGTTTCTTTAATATATAAAAAAGAAAGAAATTTTCATGTGACATAGTTGGCGTCCTGAAGCTTAAGCATTGCACGGCGGGTGTGACGATGCGACGAGGGCCGGGGCAGATCAGATTGCAGCCCTGGACCCCGGTACTATGGGAATGGAAGGCTGGCTAGAGCCAAAGGGCTTGTTCGGCAAGGGGATACTGCAGCTCTATTGGCTGGCTGGCTGCAGCAGCCTTGTGCCTATGGCACCGTTCGTGTTGGCTGTGGCGCAGCTACAGTCCAGACGTCCGAACAGGTCTAAAGGTGTTTTTCTTTTTTGAATAATATTTTTTTAACGACCAACATTAGACGGTGCGATGATTCATTGAATAGAGTAGAAAAAAATTACAGCGCTAACACCTTAAAAGAAAATCTATCACCACGCACTGGCAACACCTAAAAAAACATAGGAGAAGGCTAGCACCAGACTGGCTGCGGCTAATCGTGATCGGCCGCTTCTAGACTAACGAAAAAGCTGCAGCTGAACCGCCCAAAAACAAACCCTAACAATCGAGCATCGTACTCAACTCTATCCACGCGTTTGGTATTGGAGGGGAGAGGACGAGAGAGAATAATGGAACCCCCCACATGGCCCGCCAACATGGCCAACTTGCATTAGCTAGGGCTCTGACGCAAGAGGACAAACATTTAGAGAGAGCACACACAAGTTGTCTGAAAGAAATTTGGCAAGTGGGCCTTTAAACATCTGTAGGGAGAAAATCGATGATGAGCATCGATGTTGCCGTCCATCAAGGTCCTGAAGATAACCAGGACAGGGTTTTCACCTAGCAGCCCTACCAGAGGAAGAAGAACGACTCGACAGAGCCCCCAAGAGGGAAAATGACGCCAAAAGCGTCGTTGTTGTCAACCCAGCAATGTCGAGCTAGGTTTTACACCTATCACCTGCCCCTTGTCAATTCATACATGTCGGCCGGGCCAGCCTCTTTGCCGTTGCCTGCACCGACCTCTCGTGCAACCACCCGCTCGCCGCACCGGCCTCCCATGGTCATGTCGCCATTGACCGCGCCAGCTGCGCCTCCTCACGTCGTGCTGGCCTACCACCACTGGCCGCGCTAAGCTAGCCTTCCGCCGGGAGCATTCACAAGCACTACCACACTTGCGCCATCCTGTCACCGGTGGCCAAAGAGGAAGGAGGATTTGTCACTTGCCACCGCATCCAGTCGGCGCCATAGTGCCCTCACCTTCCAGGTATGCAGGGAATGGGGAAAGGACGCCTTCTGCTCCCAGCCGGCACCGCCAGCTTCCTTCCATCCCCGCTGCCGCCTCCACCACCTTCCTACCAACGTCGTTGACCAGACATAGCCCGCTTACCTGGTCGGCTTTGCAACCTCCTCTCTGCATGGTCATGCCCACAATCGAAGCAGCGCCGCCGTGCCCTTCCTACCTTTCCCCGCCATCTCCATGCAGCTACACCCACTGCCTCGTTGCCTTTATCAGCTCGGGTGCACGCAGGGGAGCCGGTCGCCCGCACCGAGGAGGCTAGATACGGATAGGAGGAGGTTGGATCTGGCGTGGACGCTAGATTCGGCAGCGCCGCTGGCAGCCAGCCTCTTGAGGCACCGACTCCAGCCCATCACCATCATGGCTATCGCAGCCCCGATCGTTGTCATCCCGAATCTAGTCAGGGTCATGGGCTCCAACCCCGTGACCTCAGGGAAAAGGAAGGTCCCTCCATCGTTGCCCTTGTGGCCGCACAGTTTCCAACGGCCCGCTCGGGTGGCGGCGAGGGGGGGTGGCGGCGGGGGTTGTTGGCCAATGATCTAAGTAATATGTCTTCCAATAAATTTTGTACAAGGTGAATTGAGCTTCGTACACGTCTTCACAGTACCGATCGAAGTCCAAAAGGGAGACCGACTATCCGTCCATGTCCGCACAGATGTTGTGTGCATATATACAAGTGCTGTGCCGTGTTTAAAGCCTGTATAATATTCGTGGCGAACAGTGAAATTAACCGGGGCGATCGATTAGATCGACGATCGACGACGATGGCGAGGAAAGGCAAGGACCTAATCAGCCAGCTGCCCGACGACATCCTAGTGCACATCCTGTCGATGGTCCGCTACAAGGAAGCGGTGCGAACCACCGTGGTGTCGCGGCGGTGGAAGCACCTCCACACCAAGCTCCCCGCCGTGTCGTTCACCATGTCGGTGCTCGGGCTCCAGGGCTCCCCCTTGTCCACGCAGAGCAAGCAGCGCGTCGAGAGCATGGCGCGCACGCTTCGCCGGCGCTGCGCGGGGCCAGACCACGACACCGTGCAGCGGCTCCGTCTGTCCTACCGCAAGGACGTGCCCATGGAGTGCCGGTACGCCGACGAGTTCATCGCGCTCGCCGCCGCGTCGTCGTTGGTGCTGTTCCTCAACTGCCCAAAGAACCTACGTAACAACGACGCCGGGCCGTGGTCCTTGCATCTGCCGGCTGCCACCCCCTGCTTGTCAATGGAATCGTGCTGGTACTCGGTGAGGCCGCCTCACGTCCATGGCCCCGGCGCCAGCGCACTCAAGTCGCTCACCTTCAAAGACAGCTTCATGGTGCTCCACCCAGGCTATCTCCAGGACACCGCCTTCCCGTCGCTGGAGGAGCTCCAGATCTCCGGCTGCACCCTCTCCGGCAGCATCGAGATCACGTCGGCCACCATGCCGCGCCTCAAGCACCTCCGCATCGTCGATGTCAGCATCATCTCGCTCGGCACGGAGGCCGCAATCACCGTCCTCGCCGATGAGCTGGCCACGCTGCGCGTGTCCTGCCACGACGGCGGCAAGCCCGACCCGCCGGCCAGTCACGAGATGCTCTGCGTGGAGACGCCCTTCCGCGCCAGCTTCACCGAGTACTCGTGCTTCCGCCTGCGCGCCCCCAAGCTGCGGGTGTTCGAATGGCGCTGCAGCTACGCCAAGGAGGTGCGCGTCGACGCCGTCGGCCGCCTCTCCGACGTCGTGATCGAGCTGTTCGCCGGCAGGCTGCCTCGGTGCTACAACGAGGCCAAGAGGTTCCTGCAAATGGAGGATTGCGACAAGTTGATGAAGCACATCCTGCAAGGGATCATGCCTGGCCGCTGGAAGTACGTCCAAAGGTACATACTGATAATTAATCTCATAAATATAATCCTTCTTGCTTGTGTTTTTTTATATATCATGCATGCTACACGTCACATATTCACGTAATCTTAATATTAAATTCTTAATACATGCTTGATAGAGAAAAGTTCAACCATAAATACATAAATACGTGAATTCAAAATTATATTATAGTGTGTGTATATCAATAGGCTATCTAGCGACAGCCAATTACGCTAAGCGGCGGCTGGTTTGGTGCTAGTTTTTTTTTTCTCGGACATGTGGATAGGCAACTTCAGTGCGTGGTGGGATTGGTGGTATTTTTGTTTTTCTTTTCCTAGCTGTAACCTCCCAAGGTTATATATCTTTTTAATCTTTTTATGCTATATTCAATTAAACTTCGCACTTTTTAAGGGCTGATTCGTTAAAAAAAAAGAAGCAATCTAGCGAACTTTTTGACCGCTCACCTATTAGAGCATCTCCAAATACCTATTTAGCTAGCATGCCAACCAAATAGTGTCAATTTTGTTTTCCTCTCCAACAGTCTCTTTAATTTACACTATCCAATCTAGTAATGGGTCCCATATGTCGGTCTCTAAATACTTCTTCCTCCCTCCAATCTTCTCCTCCCCACTGTCGGTTGTCCACGAGTAGTACAACGTTATTCTCTCCCTGTCCCCGCTTTCTGTGCCCAAACTACGGGTGCAGCCGACTGTCCCACCGTGGCCCAAGCCGCTGCCACAACCGCTGCAGCCTACCATATAGGAGGGCGAGAAACGAGGTGAGATGGGAGGGGGGAGCAGGATGACAGGGAGGAGGAGGAGGTGGGGTTATGGCGCCCTGTGATGGATATGTTGACGACGATGGCAGCGTCAGCGGGGCCAGGTGGCGACTGCACTACTGCATCGGATGGAAAGACGATGGTGGCGACTGCTCGAGGTGATGTGATTCACAGAGGCGTTGCTACTCGCAGGCGGGCGTGACGGCAACAATGATATTGCCGCCATGTTATTCGACAATGATGGAGGCCTCCTTCACTGGCAATAACATCTCCACTCAATTCCGGCAATGGGGATGGGGGATGATGTTGGAAATGGTGATGGCGAAGCTGGGATGAGGCGGCACAGGAGGGCGGGAGGAGACTCTAGCTTGCCATCCTCCCGCCTCATTGTCCTGCGTTCGTGTCGACAACCAGGGTGATGATGGGACCTTCTTTCTCTAGCTGGGCCGGGGAAGGTGGTGGCAACTCCGATAGGCTTGGATCCGGAGTGATGAAGGACCTTGGCATCGGTGCTGCGAGGCGGTGGCGATGAGGTATCTACTTGGGAGGCATTGTCGCTGGCCCTACTTGGGACATTATTGCTTGATGTTGGTGTTTAGCCAACCCTCATGGATATTTGGTCAGCGAGAGGCTTAGCCATTCAAATGGAGATCAGTTTGTTACAGTTCATTTTTTTGCTATGTTTGCCTTTTTTTTTTTGCATGGAGAGGGATGACCAACCTTTTAGAGTTGCTCTTAGACCTCCATGTATTATATCCGTGCATACGTAAATTTTCGACGCATTGATTAAACGTTTTTGTTGTCCTTTTTGCAGGAATTTCATAGAATGTGATGAATTGCGCCTGCGCTGCGAGATAACCGAATATGACATGTGATCGGTGATCTTAATCAGCGATCTCTTATATGCTTGTAGAATCGAGGTTAAATCAGTTGCATGCATGTAATTAGCACCATCTTGATTACAAGAGAAAATGACACCGTTGTCCCCCTACCGTATCTCCATGCAAAAATAAAGTATAAAAAAAAGAGTAATCCATCCTTGTGCCGCACGCCATGACTAGCACCGTTAAGCAAGCGTTAACTTGAGACATATTTGCCCCTAAGCACGAAGCCTGCGCAAATCAAGATGGGCCGGGGATTCGGGACGGGCCGGAGCGACGTCTCGGTTAGATTTCCAGACGCCAAAAGGCCGGAGTTCCAAAAAAAGGAAGTCCAGAATTCCGGCCCATTCGCCGCCGCGGCAACTCCAAATGGGCCGGCTGGCCGGTGTCCCCTTCCTTCCCATCGGAGCCGCCGCCGCGCTGCCGTCTCCTCCGCTCGCCGCAGATTCGAGCGAAGGCCTCCACCGGCGGCGGGAGCAAGCCGCATCTGAGGGTCAGTATAGCAATCGCTTGACACCTACGCGCGCATTTGATTTCTGCTACTAGTATACTTTTCCAGCAATTGTTCCTTCGTTTCCGGCTGCCCTAATATATGTGTGCGATGATTGGCTTTCATATCTTGCAAGTTTTTCTTCAGAGAAATCTGAAATCTGCTCTGCGTATGTTCAACATTATGTAGTGTTGACGTTGAACAACTTTTCTGAAGAGCTCAAGAAAAGAAATGTAGATGAATTGAACCAGGGATCCTAAGTTCAATGCTAAGTTTTTTAGATGAGAAATATTTCCACAAAAAAGAGGGAAACTAAATACAGAAGCTCATAACTGCGAGCCATTCCTTTACACAGATGTACAATCAAACTGTAATATTTGTTAGCAAATCTTCTTTCTACTGAAGTTACACACCTAGTCTGTAAGTACAAAATCATCTCTGCATCTCCAGGTCTATGGATCTGTTCTCCTTTAACTACATCTGCACCTGCAGGTCTGCATCAACATTGTCCAGGCAGGAGACCACTTCTTGGATGGTTGGCCTCTTGCAAGGATTATGGCTGATACACTTGCAAGCCACATCAAGCACCTTCAGCATTTGCTCTTCATGGCCTCTTCCTCTCAGTGCTGGATCCAACACCTCAGTATCCTTTCCATGAGATCTCATCTCCCGGGTCCATTGGACAAGTTCCTTCGACTTGGACAAGACCTGGACTGGCCTCTTCCCTGTGAGCAGCTCAAGCAGCACCACTCCAAAACTGTATATATCGCCTCTTAGTGTAGCCACCCATGCCTGGCTGTACTCAGGTGGAATATATCCCAGAGTGCCAATTAATTCAGTTGTAACATGTGTGTCATAGGGAAGGATCAATCTGGCAAGGCCAAAATCCGCAACACAAGCTCTGAATTCTCTGTCGAGAAGGATATTGCTGGATTTGATGTCACGGTGAACAATGTGAGGCTTGCAGATATTATGGATATATGAAAGGCCCCGGCTTGCTCCTTGTGCAATCTTGAGCCTTGTTGGCCAGTCGAGAAGTGGCCTGCCATTGTCTCTGTTGTGAAGCCAGTCATCTAGACTGCCGTTCTCCATGTAAGAATATATGAGGAGCCTTGAGTTTCCTTGGATGCAGTAACCCCATAGTGGCACAAGATTGTCATGTTGTGCCATAGAGAGTGCTTCTACCTCTGCGGTAAATTCTCTCTCCATCAGACACATTTCACCGTTGAGCTTCTTGATTGCAAGCTTGGATCCATTGGGTAGCTCAGCCTTGTAGACTAGACCATTACCTCCACATCCGATAATGTTCTGCTGGTCAAAGTTATTAGTGGCCTTCAAGATATCCTTGAATTTGAGATTATTTGATCCTCCCTTGCCTTGAGGTACCATCACCAAAATGGTTCCTTTTATCATGTCGTGCAAGTGCTCTGAAACAGAACTCAATGAAGCTGCTTCTATGTCCCCATTGTTGCTGCTCTTGTTTTGGTGGACAGAGCTTGTTCTTCTGATGGATATAAGAAAACGTCCCAGCAAGAAAAGGATGGCAATCCCTCCAAAGAACACACCTAATGCAAGTGCAATAATGGCCTTCTTGTTGCGCTGTTTCATGGAGGATGCATGTGTTGGTACTGAATCACACAGGTTGCTGAGCATAGGGCCACATAGCTTTGGATTCCCACTATAGCTAGAATTGAGAAATGTATCAAACTGTCTTCCAGTTGGAACTGGCCCTTCTAGTTCATTGTTAGAAACATTGAATTTAGAAAGGAAGTGCAGATTAGTCAGTGCGGCCGGTAGTTCACCTGTGAGCTGATTGCTTGATAAATCTAGCAATTGCAGGTTTGTGAGGTTGCATATCTGCTGTGGTATTTCTCCAGATAACCTGTTAAAGCTGACATTGAAGCCATCAAGCATTTTCAACTGACCAATCTCAGGGGGAATCACTCCTGTGAAACTATTGTTACCTAGATTCAATGCGTTAGGAAAAGCATTGAGCAAGCGGTATTGACGTGATGGTGTCCAATAAACAGGCAATTCAAGAAAATTTGGGTCCAACTGGGCAGCATTCTTCCCTGATTGTAGCATCGGCAAGTTCATCAACGCAACTGGGATATCCCCTGTAAGACTGTTGTTTGTTATGTCTAAATAGAAAAGAACAGGCATATCTCTAATCCAAAATGGTATTTCTCCGATGAGCATATTGTTTGATAAATCCAACACTTCCAGTTTTTTGAGCTTTGATATCCAAGGAGGGATTTGCCCCATTGCTCCACAAGAGTCTATGGTCAGTACCCGAAGATTCTCAAAACCATCAACTGTTTCATCTTGTGGTATGGTTTCACCCTTGAAATTGGTTCCAATAAGCAGTGACGTAAGGTTCTTGCAGCTCCTGAGTATCTGAAGTGCATTTGTGATATTTGTGAAATGGTTATCACTTATTGAAAAGAAGGACAGGGACTTGAGAGTACCCATTCTTGGTGACAACTGGCCATGAAACTTGTTGAAAGCCAGCCGCAACGCAATTAGATTGCTGCATGAGAATATGCTTTCTGGAACTGTACCAGTGAAGTTATTAATTGAGAAATCTGCGATTCTCAAATTCAACCAGGTAAAATTGACTTTGCTAAGATCTCCCACAAATTTATTGTTTCTGAGGCTGAGATATCTCAGATTTGTGCAGTTACCTAGGGCTGATGGCAGCTCACCAGACATGTTGTTGTTGTCCAACCGGAGCTCCTCCAATGTGCTTAGTTGGCCAATAGAATCTGGGATGTTGCCACTGAGCCCAGTCGATCCGAGATCAAGGACTGTCAGCTTGACGAGTTTTACTATGTGGGAACCATCAAGAACTCCTTGTAAATCATTATTAGGAAGAGATAGGTGCTCCAATGAGGTAGCACTGAAGAGTTCTTCAGGGAGAGCTCCACTAAAGTTGTTGTATCCAGCCTTGAACTCTCTCATCTTGGAGCAATTTCCGAGCCCTGAGGAAATACTGCCACTGAATTGGTTGTAACAAAGGTCAAGGATAGCAAATGATGGGGAGTTGATGCATATAGAAGGTGGTATCTGTCCTGTAAAGCTGTTGTTGCTTACATTAAGAGCGACAATATTCTTCATCACTTCCCATTGTTTCGATGAGAACTGCCCTGTAAATGAATTGCTCGAGATATTCAGTACCTGGAGAGGAGAACCACCACTAGGGGACTCCAACTCTGGCAGAGAACCATCCAGGCGGTTGAAGCTGACGTCAAGAACGATGATACTTCTGGAGAACAACAATTCCATTGGTAGGTAGCCATTGAGTAAGTTGTGAGACAGGTTGAGGTGCAACAGCCCAGTAAGATTGCCGAGAGATGGCGAGATGCGCCCTTGGAGGCCCTTGGAAGCCAACGAGACATCTGTGACCGTGCCATCGCTGCTGCAGTTGATGCCTTCCCATTTGCAGCAGTCTATGCCCTTCACCCATGACGTGCTGAGGCTGCCGTTGTGGCCTGGCAAGAGACCCTCTAGAAAGCCGATGAGGGAGCTCTCCTCTTGCTCTGTGCAGGAGCTGGTCGGAGAGGCAAACGAGAGCAGGAGGATAACAAGAAGCCGAAAGAAAGCCACAGATAACTTGGTGGTGGTGGTGGTGGTGGTGCTGCTGCTGCTGCTGCATGGCAAATTGGGCAGCTGCATGGTTCTCTCATGAAACTCGCCTGCTGCAAGAATGTTTTATTTGGATTCTGATTGGCTAAAGAACCAAATGGTTTTTTCAACAATAGCCTGCTATGGTGGGAAGGAAGAAGCTGCTTTCTGTTTCTGTATTGTTGGTCTTTCCTCCTTGTGCTCCTTTGAAGAAGATGACCAAAGGTTTGATGCTATAGACACATCCAGATCGGGTTTTTTACACGTTTGCCACTACCGTACTGTCAATAAGAGGGAAAAAAACAAATATTTTTGTACCCCAGTTCACATGTTTGACGTCTTGCTTAGGCAGCTAAAATTCTACGCAAAAGTCCAACTTTCCTGTGCAAAACGGTAGTTGTTATCCTTGTCCAGGTCGTCATCAAACTTTGGAAGTTGCTACTGAATACTGCATCCTGCTCTTATAATTTATAGTAGCCATATATTTTTATGCATATCTTCTGTGATAACCTATGCTCTCATCAACTTCATGTCAGAGAGATTTGTTTTCCTTTGCTGAATATTAGCGTACTGCTCGGTAAAACTTCAGAAGTCAGAACGGAGCGCTTGATAGTCAACAAGCTCTGTCCAATGGAAGTTCTAGTTTTTGAAGAATTCTAAGAAACAGCTCAATTTTCTCATTGCAAATGTCTCCTCACAATTTGAACTTTTTTTTAGGATCTCTTTCATTGAACAGGGAAAAGGCGTCGACCATGCGCGAAAGGAACATCTGCTCAAAGATTCGAGCGTTTCTACAAGGCACTTCTTCTGCTAGTGGCAGGTACTTGGAATGCACTTACTCTATCTTCACATCAATTATGACTTAAAACAATCATTAGCGTCGTATTCGAGTTGTGTATGTTCTTGATTGGTAGCAAGTGGAGCTTCAAGATAATGGTGAAATTAGGAGAAGGGAGAGGTGGGTGGGTACCCTCCCTTCTTGGCCCGAGGCGTTTACTTCCGGAGCTCAGTGTATGGGTGATGTATACGTCTGCAGAAGCTTTTTTTTCTGTTATGTTTTCCTTGACCCTACGGCGTATGAGCATGACACATGTATGGATCCTGACAAAAACATAATGAAAAAAAAATCAATTCTGGACTAGCTAGGTAACGTGGGAAATGGAGTAGCTAGATACTAGTCTGATAATCTGACATGTTTAAGATTTTGAGCTACAGAGATAAAGAGTACTGAATTCCATGTGCATGGAGTTAGACCATCAGAAGAACTATTCAGGCAATCAATCATAATGGATCAGTCGGAATTCTCGGGTCAACATGATGTGCAAATTAATGCCATAGCATTAGTTAAACGCAAGATTTAATTGAACAGAATCAGTAATGTATTGTATTCTTCACTAGAATGGATTTTTAGAATTTTGTTTCTTTAGGTAGGTAGCACCAGCAGCTGCTGCTACTACTACCCTTTATTGTTGCGTGTATTCATACTGATATTGTTCTTTTGCAATGTATTAGTTGCAAGAACCAGTAGCGTATGTGTGGAAGAGATCGATCACGGATACCTCGTGCAGTCGTCGATCTGTCTGTCCAACAAGGGAGGAAAAGTCAATCCTGTCCAAATCAAACCATTCAATTCAGACCTCGATGAATTAGATCTGATTGATGCTATCAATTTCATGAAATTTATAGCATGCCGTTTGTATTAGTGTCCGTAATAACACACAGGGTTTCCCTTTATGGTTTGGAAGGGGTTGTCACCTTCGTACTAAGCCCGATTATCGCGGTAACCATGGTAAACCCCCCCAAAAAATATTTTTGCTATATATTTACCGATAAATTCTCCTAAAAATTTGACAGATGATTACAATACAATCGTAGTGTAATTACGTTGTAACTTACATGTAATTACGCTGTAACTAATATAACTTGTATGTAACTTTTAAAAATCTCCCCGTAACATGTTATTTCGGTAAAATGAAGGCTGTGGGAACAAATCCTCTCACATATGTGTGTTTATTTCGGTAAAATGAAGGTCGTGGGAACAAATCCTCTCACATACGTGTGTGCTGTGATTTTTTTTTCTTCCTCACCAGAACAAATCTTGTAATAAATCTTACGATTCAAAATTACGTGAAACTTATATACAAGTTACAGTGTAATTTTTAGGAGAAAATTTATCGACAAATGTATAGGTGATAAAAAAAAGATAAAAAAGCCCGGTTATCGTGGGGGCGACGAGCAATTTTACAGCTGCTCGAAGACCACACACGGCAACATCAACTAGGTTCACAGTCATAGACTTAGTTTTCACCAGCTTAGCACGTATTCCACACAACCTGTTGCCTTCACAACACAACAATTGCACACACAAAAAATTATGGCCACTTTTTTTTAAAACAAAAACGGATGGCAGGAGCTCTCTCCATTTAATATAGCATACAATTGTTGATGACGAGTGCAGATAGGAGGCGTCCAAATGTTGACGTGTTTGGTTCTTGTCTTCTGGCTATAAAGGCATCCTCTCTTTTTTTTAAAAAACAAAGAAAAATTAAGTGACATTTCACTCTCGCATTGCCACTATAATTAGATAGAAATGTGGCTGTGACGAGTTGACACATGATCACTACGACTTCAACCGGTGGTTGCGACGTGAATTGTTTTGGCATCGTTGTTGTGGTTGAGCTTTTGTTTGTGCTCTATCCATGGCCGTCCTTGTCTTGATGGACGGCCACGGCCAAAGCACATGTGAGTGATCCATATCCTCTCTTTTTTGAGAGAAAAAAGAAAGAAAGAGAGAGAGAGAGATTAGAAGATGATCCATATCTTGCAAGCACCTAGCTTTGCCGGGCAAATGCTTTGCGGCACAAAATTAATTGTGAACTGGAGTAATGAGCTAGCGCTTGTCTTTTTCAAATGCTGGTGCTCGCCGCATTTGAAGTTCATGTTCATGTATGTACCTGTCGATCTAGGACTTGATCTTATATAGAGAATATTGTAGAGGAGAATGTGCAATATTTGGACACAGGATGCATATTTAAGCTTCATCCGAAAGGATAATAGTGCTACACGTCCTGTAAATTTTTATCACTATCAGAAAATATGTTACAAGGTGTTGCTTACTATTTGGGATGAATATTTTTGTCTTCAGCACCTTATTCACATGGACTGTACCTCACTTTGTACCAAAATATTTTTTAGAGAAAGAAGATAAATACATGGAAATTATATATTCTAGTTTGTTTTTTGTTAGGTAGCACTATGACTCTCAAGAGAAGATCCTGTTCTCACTCGAACAACCCTCTACTGTTCCTATTACGGAAATCCTCCATTAGTCAATTAATTTCAGTTCCTTTCCTGCATGAGTTAAAATGTTTCACGGACCTATATTATGCTGAAAATAATTAAAAAAGTTATGTTTTTTTTTCTGCTAGTTGCTTTATTTAATTTCCACGTCCAAATCTCCTTGCAAAGTCAGAAATATACGTGCTTAATTGGTCTTGTGTTCCTTGTACAACATTGTCAACATCTTTGGTGAGGTGAACGAGTTGGTTTTTCTAGCTGGTACTACTTGGCATTAGGTGGGGGTTGTTTTGACAGTTTTTTTTGATTGATTAATCCGTACTAACCCATCAGTTGATAATCAAATTGTCAATTTCTTAATTTCATTGACTTGTCATGTGATATAATCAAACACAAACTTATGTTTCAACTAACCAAAACCAGGAGCTGTGATTCATACAATGTAAGCTCATTCTTGGCCGTCTGTTCTAACACACTTTACCTTTACTTTTATATATCCGTTAAAAACTGGGTAAATTAGCTCGAAAGCCTTAAATATGAAGCTGACGTATAGGACCGGAACCACAGCTCAGTGACAATGTGGCATGCGTGTGCTATTTCAATTTGTAACTCAATATTAATATATGGTGTAATAACCTTGGACTGATTCAAGAATCATCATATGGTTCACATTGTACTACTACAGTGACATCATGGCTCACCAGCTCCCTCAAAACTGTACAGTTTGCTGCTAGCTCATCACTCATCAGGTATACGTAACCCTGAGATTAGTTGTAAGATGGAGACTGGATGCATTTATGATTTATGAACTGTTGTCTCTGAATCTATGATCTTGGATCTAGCTCTTGCCCAATAGCATGGCCGGCCAGATACATACATGTATCTGCAATTCTGCCTATTCGTACAAGACCTGTTCTTCTGAATTCTGGAACCATTGGAGAGAAATTTCAGGTCCATGAGCATTATCCACTACTGCTGAATGCTGCATAGCCTGAAAGTTTTCTCGGTGACTTTCTGAGTTTTTGACAGGTTCCTAGGGTTTTCGGAAGACTGATCGATCGGTCAATTAAAGGAGCTGCGTGCGTATTCGCCTCTCTGAAGTTTTGAAAGTCGTACATATGTATGTACACGTTGAAAAGGAGCAGTTTGATGGATATTTATCGGTTTCAACCACGTGGAAAAAATGTCCCCTTGGAAATATATCTCCCTACCTTTCTAAACCCTGTCTCGGTTGTTAGACAGCTACTGAAGAATTAGTCTATGAAAAGACTCTGCTAAAGAAATTCAGGCATATGGTTACCAATTCGTTGACCAACGATGCCTCGCAGTAGGCAGCTGAAAGGGGGTGAAGAAGAAAGCTCATGGCAACTCAGCCCATGAAGAAAGACTTGTACAGGCCCATGGAGAGATGAAATATTCACAGCCCATAAGAGGCCCAACCTGCCCTGTTTCCGCGTTTGAGCAAGATTTTACTGAGGTTACTGTTTTTCTGTCAGTTACTTCAGATGTTTCTTGTTCCTACACTTCGCTGCTTCAGTGCTTACTAATACTCCTTTCATTCTAAAATAAACCACACATCCTAATAATATGAACAAAAGTTCTATTTAGATTTATAGTACTAGAATGTATTACATATCGTATTAGATTGATTAACTTTAGGAGGAAGGAGTACCGGTTACGAAAAATTCTGGAAAAATTTTGTTTGTCAGATGTAGTGTGCATGTGTGGCATTGCATCATAAATGAGAATCAAAAGGCTTAGCTTAGGTCCTGTTTAGTTCCTATGTAAAATTTTTTTACCATGTAATATCGAATATTTGGACACATGTATGGAATATTAAATATAGAAAAAAAAACTAATTACACAGATTGCATGTAAATTGCGATACAAATCTTTTAAGCCTAATTACTCCATGATTTGACAATGTGGTGCTATAGTAAGTATTTGCTAATGACAGATTAATTAGACTTAACAAATTCGTCTCACAATTTAAGGGCGGAAACTATAATTTGTTTTGTTATTAGTCTATGTTTAATACTTTAAATTTGTATTCGTATATCCGATGTGACACGCTAAAATTTTTCTTCTCGCGGGCCTTATCCTTCCATCGCCATTGGCATCCCAAGAACGGAACAAGATGCTCCATTATTGTGCTCCATGTCGACACAAAGCGAACAAGGTTCATATTCCTTCTTCTCCTTCTTAAGGCTGCACCCTTCGAGCGAGCCGATCGAGCTCCGAGCAAGAAGCTCTATCTTCTCCTCTCCTTGTCAACCTAGCTAGTAGCTAGGTAAGTTACCTCGATCGTGCAGGCGATGGCAACGCCGGCAGGAGGACGGCCGTCGCAGCCGCAGCCGCAGGCGCAGCAGCTGTCGGTGGATTTCGAGGCGCTGAGCTACATCAGCAGCCTCGTGGAGGCGTTCCAGGCGTTCGACTCCGACAACGACGGCCTCGTCACGGCGCCGGAGCTGAGGGGCCTCCTGGCGTCGCTCGGCCTCGACAAGCCGGAGCACGAGGTGCGCGACATGCTGGCGCGCGCCGACGCCGACCGCGACGGGAAGCTCAGCGTGGAGGAGCTCCTGGACGTGATGAACGCCGGGCAGCTCGGCCTGGGCGCGCTCGGCGCGCTGCTGCAGTCCGCCGTGCCGGCGCTCGAGTCCGCGGCGGGGCCCGACGGCGTCCTCGGCGCCGATGAGCTCGCCAGGCTGCTCAGCGTCATGGGCACCGCCAGCGTTGAGGACTGCATGGAGATCATCGCCTGCATGGACGGCGACGGCGATGGCGCCATCAGTGTCGAGGAGTTCAGGCTCATGGCCCAGCTGCTCTAGCTTACTATCCACTCCGTAGGCTCTACCAAACATACAACTTTGCAAGAAGCTACGCGTTGTTGGAGAATACTTGATGATGGTTTTAGCAATAAGAGATCGAGTTTATCAACTCTGAACTCTGAATTTTGAATTCGAACTCTGAACTGAGCACAGCTGAAGCTTTGATCCTATCAGAAACCCAGGAAGTGATAATGATTCTCCTCAAGCCCTAATGAATCATTGCGTTACTCTAGAGTACCAAGCTGATATGAATGACACACGACTTCGATTGACACGATACTATGTCGCACAACAAAATTTGCTCGAATTTAAGAGGGAGACAAGAATAACTCGTTGATTTCATTGAAACAAACATCAAATTGATTGTTGTTTACATAAGTACACGAGTAATCCACGTCGAGCAGGATTAACTCAAAAGAATCAGTTCATTACGCACATCAATTTACAGAGAGATGGGCATGATCATCAGATCTGAGAGCAAGAAACAACTCTAGAATCTACGACGCAACGACGACGTGTGCGAGGCAACTCTAGATCGGTTCCGCTCCTGCACGATCGGGTGCCTCTTCCGCTGCTGCTGCTTCGGCGCCTCGATCACCTTGATTGTGCGCTGCCGCTTCGCGTCCTCTGCTTCTTGATAACCTTCGCGGAGCTTGCGCTTCGCAGCGTTCATGGCCTTCTCGTCGGTACCGCACGACGCGGCACTCTCGCGGCGGAAGCTTCCGACGGCGGCCGGCAGCTTCTCCCGCGGCGGCTCCATCTTGGCCATCGTGACATGACTGCCGCCGGCGACCGGAGCACTCTGCTTCTTGGGGAACGACGGCTGTGAGGAGTTTGCCGTCTTCTTGGGCGGCGATGGCTGCAGGATCTTGGCGTGATGGTCGTCGGCCTCGTCGGGCTCCAGCGCCTGGGAGAGCTTCTCCATGGCGGCTGCGGCCTTGAGGAGCTCGTCCTTGACGGAGGCCCTCCACGCGCGGACGATGCCGGTGGCGAGGCCGCGGACTCGCTCCGACGGGTGGTTCCTCAGCGCGCCGACGTCCTGCGCGAGGTCGGTGGAGGCCAGCATCTTGGGCATCGCCGGCACCAGCTCCAGCGTCAGGAGCGCCTCGACCATCATCTCGTCGAGCACGACGCGGAGCTCCTCCGCCACCGCCTCGTCGTCCGTCGCGCTGCAGAGCATCGCCACCACCTTGTCTGTCGCGTCGCGGAACTCCTTGCGGGAGATGCCCGGCTCGGCGGCCTCGATGGCGGCGTGGATGGAGGCGAACGCCGGGAAGAAGCGCTTCCACCGCCGGAGAATGCCTTGCTCCGCCATGTCGAGGTCGAGGTCGAGGTCGCTGGATGGAGGATCTGGAGATTGGTGGAGATCACCGGGGGGAGGAGGGATGCGAGAGATTGAGACGCGCTGAGGTTGGACAAGGGCTTCCTTTGCAGCCCACCTTATGTCGTGGCGCCAACTCGAGTTCGAATCGGAGACGGTGAGACGGTGAGGAGGTTAGAGTCCGGTTCGAATTCGTGGCGCCAAATCCGAGTCGGTGTCGGCGGTGACATTGCAAATTCCAAATGGATTCGCGAAGGAGATGGGCCTGCTGGTTCGTGTGGGCCGAAGGGTTGGCAACAACAATATGGGCCTGTCAGTATTTGGGGCAACGACATGGGCTTGGCCTTTCCTCTATCGATCTGTTTCATTCTGGGCTGGTCAATTTCTGAATAAATTTCAGAGAACCTACGCTCGGTTGGCTAGCGTCGCCAGGTGAGCGAGCAGCCCGCGCGGGTTCGATCTCTGGGATCGCAACTCGCGTCTCACCAGGGGTTTTTTTCTATTTCTCTGGGACTGACTTCGGTTGGTCCTGGCTAGGTAATAGGATTGCAACTTTTTCCCGTGCACTGGGTCTAGGTAATAGGATCGTAACTTTTTCCCGTGCACTGGGGTCTAGTGCCTCCAATCTCATTCCTACCGTGTGTTAGGGACACGCACGCGTGTGTGTATGTGTCGTGGTGTGAGTGCGGTGTGTGTAAGTGTACTTTCTGAGTTATACCCTTCTCAGAAAAAAGAGAATAAATTTCAGAGAAATAGAACTTGAAGCATTTTTCTCCTCTGCAAAAAAAAAAGTTCCTCTTACTCTTAGCACCAAAACCTTTGTTTCTACTACATTTTTTAAACAGTTCATGAATATGTATGGAGATGCTAAGAAATGTCGATATATATTGGTACCGGTACATTTAAATGCATCACAGTGAACATCACTAACAATATCCGAGGTTTGATGGTGGTGGAGCATCGGTGCATCAGCCATGGACTCGCAGGTGGTGGACGGCAGATGAAAACCTAGCCCGGCCTTAGCCGGGCCAGCAACAACGGCATTTCGAGCGTCCTCCCCTCCTAAGGGCATTGTCGAGCCGTCTCATCTCCTCCAGTGGAACTGTCGGGTGAAAATCTAATCTTGGCTCCTTTTGAGACCTTGATAGATGGCGGCGGCGGTTTTTCGTTGCTCCTCTCCCTAGAGACATCATTTAGGCAGCCCTGGCTAAATCCTCCAGTCTTTTGGTGCAAGTTCACTCTCTAGACGCATGTCCTCTTAATCAGTACCTTAGCTTATGTAAGTTGGCCACATCGAAAGGTCTAGGGAGAGAGCGGTTCCATCCTTCTCTCACCCCCCCTTCTCTCTCAATCATAGAGAGGTGGCTATAGTTGGGGTTTAGTGTCAGTTGTTAGGGATAAGTTCGGGCAACCTCAGCTATAGTTCCTCTGTTGGCCTAGCGGCAGCCAATCACGCTTATTAATAGCCGGTTCGGTGCTAGTTTTCTCCCGGGTTTGTATTTAGTGCTGTTAGTGCGTAGGAGGTGAAAAATCTTTGTATTTTTTCCTGGTTACGATCTTTCAGGATTGTAATCTTATAATTTTTTTTTATTAATATGAACTTTTCATACTGGTTGATGTGAGTTGTTAAAAAAAAACTAACAATATATGTCTGCCTCTCGGTTAATTACTCGTAAGAACGGTGAGAAACTAACTTGATGATGATGATGCTTACGCTTGCTAACCTTACGCACCTGGTCGGGCAGTTCAACAACTACTAGTAAGATGCAGCACATGGCACTATCAAAAGAAAGACACATGTTAGTACTACAGTACAGTGACGGTGCCACTGCCGACCGCACCTAAGCTCAATTAACACCCTGCAAACAGTGTCCAGGACCGCGAATTCTCATCGCAATTCGCAATCAGCAACTACTCCCTTGCTAACTTTGCTATCAAGTATCAACGCACACCTGTGTGCGACCGTCAGCTCGCTGTCTCAGCTATTGCCTCTTCCGTGCACGCACCCCGCACGTACCAAAAGTAGCAGTTTTACATCCTGTTTTTTTCTAAACAAAAACCAAAAGTCTCTTTTGAACGAATAAAAACCAAAAATTACTCGAGTTGTTTTTGAAAATTTTACCGACCAGGACGGTTTGTACTACTAAATGTTTTTGAACGGACGAATGGTACAATGCACTCGAGCCGGTCACATCATGGGCAACGGCATGGATCGGTCGGGCACATGCCGTGTTGTGTTCGATCAGATTAATTCAGAGCAAAGCAGCGGCAGTGTGTCACATATTCTAGCCGATGGTTTGGTCAGCGAGTGTCACGACGGCTCACCTGCGCTGTCAATGCAGCCGCTCCCAATCAGAATCAGGGACTCGTGTGTCTGTCAGGTCGGCACACGCATTTTCCTCGTGCGCGCCGTACTTGGCATCACCGGCGCCACGGTATGTCAGTCAGATGGACACTGTCGCACGTTTCTCCCAAGTGCGTAACTGCGTGTCATGCCTGCCCATTGTTAGTAGGAGTACTCTCTCTATAAAAAAAATCATTCACATTGAGTACATCCTAATACAATAAATATGAACAAAACAATCTTATATATTAATTAGGATGTGACAACTCGTATTATGATATGACACATCCTAATACAAAGAATCTAGATATAAAATATAAATGTTCAGATTCGTTGTCACAGTTTAATACTCCCTCTGGGGCACGGTCTCTAAAAAAATAATTTAACCATTATTTTTTATTATAATATGTATAAAAGTGTTAATAAATATATTATCTTATTAAAGTCTTTTTAAGACTAATCTATACATGTAGTCATCATATTTGAAAGACAAATATTTTAAAAATAATTAATAATTAAATATTCTAAATTTTAACCTTATTCTTGTCTAAAACGATAATTATTATCACCTTGGAGAAAGTACGATGTTAGCTTTTTTTTTTTTAATGGATGGAGTACTACATATGAGCAGTAGGGAGGAGAAGAAAATTGTGCCCTTGGTATTATAAAAGAAGAGGATATACTAGGCTACGAGTACTAGAGAATACTATGTACGAGGCAGTGAATTATTGGAAAGAAAACAATGGGCAACTTGATCATAACCTTAACATTGGAGTGAACGGATATTCCAGTTAGGTAGTAGGTACTGCGTTGGAGTACTGTATATCACTGAGTTGTGACTGTATATGGGCCCCTATCATGTACCAACCGGTAGTCCAGATCTTTAAATACAGTGGTTCATTACGATGATATACCTTCCGTCGTAAAATAAGTTTATTTTTTATCATTCGTACGCAAAAAAAAGATCAAAATACTCTCATATTTTCAAATCTTAATGTAATTATTTCTCTCTTTATCTATTCAAATGTATTTATTCTCTAATTTTGCAAACTCAGATGCAATAATTGTTAGATTTAATTGGGTAATTAATCCATTTAAATCAATTAAATCAAATAAATTCCAAGGCTCATTATGCTAGGAATTCATGTGAATTCATTCTTCTATGGGATATCAATGGGATGAAGAGTTTTGAGAATTAATCCATTTGATTAAGGAATTGGTAACTTATATCAATTAGTCCTAATTGATGGATGGTTGATGGTTGTGTAGTGGAGGATGGTTCATGGCTAGTTGATGACAATTAGTTGCTCTATTCCTCTTCCTATTCCATTGGTAACTTACATCAATTACTCTTAATTGATTGTTGGTTGATGGTTGTGTAGTGGAGGATGGTTCATGGCTAGTTGATGACAATTAGTTGCTCCATTCCTCTTCCTATTCCATGACTCTTACTCTTCATCTTCCATTCCTCTTATAAAATGGGAATGGATTTGATCTCCCGCGAGAAGAAGAAGACACACTTTCATCCATTTTCCAAAGCTGTTGTTGCTACGGTAATCCCATCCCGACGAGTGTGTGCACACGCGTTGGGAGAGTAGGCCTCCGAAACCACGCGTTGCTGCGACGTTTGCACAGACGGGCGGGCGATCAGGTTTTTGGGGAGCGCAAGGCGCGACTACTCACTGTTCGTCAACATCTACTTCATCTTCACCAACATGTCGAACACTGGAGACAAGGAGAAGGAGACTCCCGTCAACACCAACGGAGGCAATACTGCCTCAAACTCCAGCGGATGACCATTCTTGGGGTATAACCTTATTACATTATTTCAATTAGAAGTTTTACTGTTAATGTTCATCGCAATGTCAACATTGTGTCATTATGTGATTGTTGATGCTTATTCAACGTTAAGCATGCTCATGTTGATTACATTCACCACTATCACTGGATCAAATCCTATTGTAAATATCATGATTATTATCTTGTTATTTTGGATTAAAATATGCCGAATTATGACCAAATTTCCAACAATAATTATTTTAAAAAAACTTATTTTGTAACAAAGGTTGGAGCTAAAAATAAATTTATTCTAAGATAGAGAGATAGAGCCTGTATTTCATTACTTGTATCGGTAGGTCTGCATGCTTCCCAAAAGGAAAAAAGAGTAGGCTGCCTGAAAAAATAGGCAGGCTTGTTTGCTTGTGGGAGTATACAACTTGCTTACTCCGTAGTATTAGGTTTCATCACGTTTTTTCCGAGTGCTAAAAACCCCATCCAATCACGTTGATTTGAGAAGCAGAAAATTGATTGGGTATATATATGTGTTAGTCAATATACTCCTCAATAAGAGTACAAAAGAAACAGTAGCTCGACTAGTTTACTCGTAATAGGTTAGCTGATACTACTGAAACTAGAAACATCCATATATCAACCAGACAACGGAACGACATGCCTAAAGGCGACTATATTATTGTGCGCTTAATTCATTGAATTCTAGATGTAGAAATTGGTTGCCCAGTTGTTGTGTCTACTGCGGCATATGGTTTCATGCCACTCAAAATCAGGAAAGGAGATGGCCCATTTGATCTCCATTTTCCCTTGCTTTTAGGTAATTTGCGTTTTATTTTTATCCTCTTTTGGTCTCTTAAGTCCCCGTGGCAAAGTAACTGCTTCCAAAAGCTACTACGTTTTTCTTTTGCATACTACTACCATTTGTTAGGACGTCTCTACTTAATCATGATTAAATGACAATGACCCACACATTAAAGATTGGACCAGACGCAAGCTCTTAAAAAAGAAATTAAAAAAGAGGGCCAACTACAAACCTAATATATCGCCTCAAGGGGACATGTTCCAAAGAGACTGTAAAAATCATAGTGACATGGACATTTCACCACATCAAGGAAACTCTCTTAAAAATATCAGCCTTTTACCACGTGTGACAAGTGGAAATGTGTTAAGTGGAGGCGTGAGGTTGCCGAGTCCAGTTGGCTAATATGGTTTTCAGCAATCAATTAGTATCTTTTACGAATATCGACGGTAATTCGGAATGGAGATAACAGCACCGGAGCCTAGACAGTCGTCCGACCTATGTGGGAGATGCCTCTGTCACTAAAGACGTTTGATGCCAGCATTGCATGCATCTTCAACATCTTGAAAAATAAAAATAAAAGAGGTACAGACTGTACAATGAGTTTAGCTAAACTAGTTAGGTTTCTTGTGATGAAATTTACCTATTGTGTTCGTATTTATAATTAATTATTCTTTAATGCATGATAGGTGTTGTACTTATCGATAACGAGATATTCGTGATGACTTCATCAATCTTAGGATATATCAACAATTTGTCACGGAGTTCCAAACATACTCATAGGAGTAGACTGTGGTAGGAGGTGCGTATGTCTGTCTACAGGATAGGTGTCATAGGAGTAGACCGCGGTAGGATGTGCGTGTGTCCATCTACAGGTTAGGTGTGCATATGTGTTTGTACCATACTTCTTTTTTTAAAAAAAAAACCCAAAAGGAACGTTGCCTCTACAGTAACTAAGGGATAGAAGCACAGCTGCAGGGCTGACCTAGTACACCCTAAATACTTGTTTAGTTACCTTCAAACTTTCAACTTTTTCATCACATTAAATGTTTGGACAAATGCATTGAGCATTAAATATGAACAAACAAAAACCAATTACACAGTTTGCATGTAAATTGCGAGACGAATCTTTCGAGTCTAATTACGCCATGATTTGACAATGTAGTGCTACAGTAACATTTGCTAATGACGGATTAATTAGGCTTAATATATTCATCTCGTAGTTTATAGGTGAATTCTGTAATTTGTTTTTTTATTATTCTATGTTTAATACTTTAAATATGTGTCCATATACGTTAAATTTTTTCGCAAAAACAACTAAACACGGCTAAAACGTGGCTAAAACCGGGTGAATCTAACGTTTCCAAGATAAGGGACTATATGATGGCTAGCTGATGCCCGTTTCCACCATATTAAAAAAAGCCGGACCGGTAAGTGACCCGGCCGACCTCATGGTTGAGCGGTCCGCCGGTCCGACCAGTGGCCCGGACGGTCGAACCGCGGTTCACAAAGTACATGTATATACATATTCACTCATATACACCTTCATTGGATGGCTTGATGGCTAGCTATTTGCTCTTGTAACCCCTGGACTCAGGTTCGAATCCCACGTAGTGCACTATTTCTTGCTATTTTTGCCAAAAAAAAAAGACCACCAGCTGCACCAAATGGGCCTTTAAACAGCCCACTATGGCCCATTAGTATGGCTAGCCGGTTCAACCAGTGCCGGTTTAGTGTCCGGTCCAGTTCAAAGCGGTTCGATTGCATGTTCGGTCTTTAAAGGAAACCGAACTGTGGTTACCTCTGGTTCCGGTTTTTTCTGATCGAACCGCCGGTCCGGTCCGGTTTTTTCCACTATGGTTTCCACCACGAGTGGAAGGTGCCTCGTCGTGTGCGTTCACGCATGGCTCCCACGCACACACAGCAGCAGTAGTGCCGACCAACTTGGCCTGCAATGTCCTACTAGTAGATGGTGGTGTATTAGTATTACTACGTGCACCCAATGGTTTTCCTCGGTTGCGCTGGCTAGATACGAGTGCGACTGCGACCTGTGTTTGTGTGTTCCCTGTGGTACTACTCGGATTGTTGTATTTTTCACAACAGCTGAGTTGGATGGATGACTTGTGTGTCCTTCGTGATACTGCCCATCTATGTGTTGTATGATGCTAGTATACCTTATTAGAAATTGACACTTCAAAGGAAGGTAGAGGAAATGTGGAGGTTACCAATAAATTATACTCCCTCCTTGGTGAGACTAAAACTTAGGATGGGTTCATGGTAACTCCGTGGTATGTAAAACGATACTAGCCATTAGCGTATAATTAGTTGAATATTAATTATTATAAACCCAAAAATATGTTTATTTGTCTTTATAAGGAACTTCTATAAAAAAAAAGTTTATTTTAAAAAAGAAAGCACCCACCATATATCAGTTTGAGAGTGTGCTAAAGGAAAGCGATGAAGTTGCAACTTCCAAATAAATAAACAAACGGGACCTTAACGTATATATGATGATAAATATACATGGCTTAGTGCAATCACCATGATATTCATATCCTCCATATCATAAAGAATTAGTTGACGCTACTTTTCCAGTGCAAACATTACTAATTTATATTCGAATCTAATGATGCTCCTCTTTCATAATGTTTTGGATGGTGTTTAGAAACCATTTCTCATATAAGACATGGTTTCCTTCTCTTTCTTAATTACCTCACTTGTCACATCATGTTTTTTTCTGTAGTAACTTATTTAATTCTATGGACATGTTGTATTGTGAATGTCCTTAGTATAGTCGTTTTAATGTATAGTTAAGATCAATATGCCATTTGAAAAGGTCATCCTTATATGATGGATATTCCAACGCAATTAATGTGGAAAACATGTTACAATTAGTATGTATATATATTGGAATTGTTTTCAAACATTAGGGAGAAAAAGGGCAGCAGGTAGTATCAAATAGTACATGTGCAGCAGCGAGAAAAGGACACAAGTTAGAGCAGTGACACAGAAATTCCATCTCACAGAAGTGCTAGAGTTTTTAAAATTACAAGTGGAACATGTCTGTTTGATACTCTATACTGCTCAAGATGCCACATTTGCAATTGTAAACACTTCCCAAAGAGAAACAAGAAAAAGAAAGAAATCAGTCCTATTCATAACAATCATACATCTCAACAGAAACCTGTGACCCAAAATAAATACAGAGGATTGTGACTAGGTGATGAGGACCTGAGGTGTTGTGGCGTCCACACTGCAAATGCATCGCTCTGAAAGCTGCGTGCAGTTGGAGGTTTTCCAAGCTCGGGCGACATCATCCTGTGTGTTACTGTTTCTGCCTGCTGCCCTCGATCCGACGCTATCCCTACACTGGTTGGCAGGACGCAGGGGACCAGGGATCAAATCCTGAGCGTCCATTCGAAGCAAAATATGGAAATCAGAAAAAAAAAAGAGATAAAAGAAATCACCAAAGAAAAGTTTGCTTATTGGCAAAACGGCAGCCGGATGCATCTGTCCTGTTGCTGCTATTTTTTTGAAAAAAAATTGGGTCGTGTACATTAAATTGATCCAAACCTCATCTCCTTGTAAGGTGCAATCATTAGAAAAATGAAGAGGATCACGGGTGTATTACTCAGAAGTCAGAACATAGTAGATTAATGGTTAGCAAATGGTGTTGACGATGATAGGCAACATTAGACGCTACACTGGATGAGACAGTCATCAACAAGGCATGCGATGAAGGCACTAACTAATTGGGGGGCAAAAAAAAAAATGAAATTCTCAGGCGCCACTACTGATGCGTCACTGTCAGTGTGGGCCCCACCTAACACAAATAATGTGACAGCAAGTGGTTAGCAATAATACAAGGCAACGAGCACGAGCGAAATTGAAAAAGGTGGAGGAAATAATTAATTAATTTAATTAATTGATTGACACAAGTAGAAGCAGATAAAAATGGAAAAAAAGGAAAATGAGGAAAGGAAAAAAAAATTCTGCAGCGCTGGCTTAATTTAATCCCCTCCATTCCGGATGCCTCTCCCTCCATTTTTTTGCCCCCTCGACTGCAGTCTGCAGCCCTACTCCCCCACAAGCGCGACGCAAGCAAGGTGTTTGTCGAAATGGAGCACGGTGGCCACGAGCTCGCCGTCGTCGTCCTCGTCTTGCTGCTTCTCGTGTCCGCCACCTCGTGCACGTTCCTGGAGGAGGACGTGATTCTTGGCACGGTGGAGGAGGCGAAGGTGGCGAGGCTGGGTGGCGGCGGCGGTGGCGGCAGCAAGGGCGCGAACGCGAGCACGAGGAGAGCGGACAACACCTGCGCCGGCGTCGGCGTCGGCGTCGGCGGCGGCGGCGGCGGTGGCGGTGGCGGTGGAGGGGGTGGGAGAGGGAGGTTTTACTTGGGGTGGAAGGAGGAGATTGCCGGGATGGCGGGGCGGCCGGAGACGGCGGCGTGGCTGCGCGCGGTGCGGCGGCGGATCCACGAGCGGCCGGAGCTGGCGTACGAGGAGGTGGAGACGAGCCGGCTGGTGCGCGACGAGCTGGACGCCATGGGCGTCGGGTTCCGCCACCCGGTCGCCCGCACCGGCGTCGTCGCCAACATCGGCACCGGCCGGCCGCCGGTGGTCGCGCTCCGGGCCGACATGGACGCGCTGCCCATCCAGGTACGCGCGAATCGCGACGCCGACTCCTTTTGCACGCGGTGCACGTGCCATCCATCACTACTCACCGGCATACTTGCTGCTACTAATATCCAGCTCCTTTATAATTCGTTCTTTAATTTTCGCCTCGAAATTATTTGGGTGGATTAATTAGGATTACTACTCTGTAAACCAGTAATGACAAAGAAACTATAGTTACAAATGAGAGGTTTGCTTTTCTAAGCCTTTCATCTCATTTGGCGCGAATTCGTTACGACAAGTGTAAAATGCAGCAGTGTTAGCATGACTATTTGCTGACCAAAAACATTTTCATTTTTTTTGCGTCTTTGTTTTTGTTTATAAAAGACCTTTTTGGGGTTGATCCAGACTGTGTGTGTGCATGTGGGAATTGGAGTAGTGACTATACCTGGAGGTACACAGTACACTCTGCTAGGCACACGGATGTACCCTTTCTTGTGAAAAATGTGAGATTCTCTGGTCTCTTATACTTGGTTAGTGACTGACAAGTGGGGCTCACTTTTTGCTGGTCATTAAGCCTTCAATATTTTTAACAAAAACTGAAAAAAAAAAGGAATCTGATGGCAAATTAGTAATGCATTTCCGATGCACTCCCGGAAATGCTTTCACGACCACCGATAAAAACAGTGACAGTACTAAAACTTTACTCTGAAGGAGTATTTTCTGAACTTTCTATAGAGATTGACAGCAACAAAGCAGAACCCCAAAATCAAAAGCTGAAATTTTTGTCACTGTCTGTTTTCTGAATGAGACAAATGAGTTAGAAGCATATCGTTAGGCATATCACGGTGATTAGGGTGTGCCAGATTGTATTGCTGTAGTTCAACAGAGGCTCTGAAAGGCAGGTAAAAGAAAAGGAGAGGACGCAGTTGATCGGCTGGAACACGTCGCTGGGTCACTTCGTCTTTGGTTCTTCTCACCTGTGAGGGCCCGTTTAGTTCCCCAAAAATTTTTTTCAAAAACGTCACATCGAATCTTTGTACACATGCATGAAGCATTAAATATAGATAAAAAGAAAAACTAATTGCACAGTTATGGAGGAAATCGCGAGACGAATCTTTTAAGCTTAATTAGTCCGTGATTAGCCATAAGTGCTACAGTAACCCAAATGTGCTAATGACGGCTTAATTAGTCTCAAAAGATTCATCTCGCGGTTTCCAGACAAGTTTTGAAATTAGTTTTTTCATTCGTATCCGAAAACACCTTCCGATATCCGGTCAAACGTTCGATGTGACACCCAAAAATTTACTTTTCTCCAACTAAACACACCCTCAGTTTGTGACAAGATCGCAAGAATCGATTCTCCCACGAGCAGCAGAAAGAAGGATCGCTGCATTTCATCGCCATCTCGATCTGCTTCACCCCTTGCTGTTTGGACTGTCATCACGGAATCTTCAGAGTTCAGAGATCGAGCGTTGCATCACGCCATCACTGTTCACCGATGTGAAAAAACAGAAGCAAAACTTTCGTATGCACGTTCCTTCAGAAGGAAAAAAAATCTCATGGAATCATCGATTCATTCCCCAAATGGCCAGAAAAGTCGTGCTTCGTGAGTGCCCAGAAACGGGCCATTTTTAGGACTAAAGCGAACCTTTCGTTGTCTGTTGATGCATGCGTGTTTGGCCGTTTTGGCACCCCGTTTTGATAAATTCATCGTGCAATTTTGATAAAATCTGACGCCTTTTTTTTCATTTTTCCTTTTCTGTTCAGGAAGCAGTGGAATGGGAGCACAAGAGCAAGAACCCAGGGAAGATGCACGCCTGCGGCCACGACGCGCATGTGGCGATGCTCCTCGGCGCCGCCAAGATACTCAAGGCTCGCGAGCACCATCTCAGGGTACGTCTACTGACTAGATTCTTCTCTGAATACTTTAAAAATGGTTCTTCTTTGTCTGAATCTCTGAATTTTTCAGTGTGTCTCGTGATCTCGTCTCGTCTCGTGCGTATATAGTTGTAGTAGTAGTTTCTTCTCTAAATTCTTTAAAAATGGTTGTTTGTCTGAATTTCTCAATGTGTCTAGTCTCGTGCATGTACACCATAGTTGTAGCTTCTGTCGGTTTGTGCGTAGCTCTTGCCGTGCAAGCGATGGTTTGTACTACCATGAGAGAGCTAGCTGCCCGCCCCTAGATTTGCATCATGGAAAAGGTGCAAATGCTTAAATTGTTATCATAAGACGCGCGTAATGTGTTAAAAGTCCAGGTATGATGTCGCCGCGTCATGGTTTGGTGTCAGCATCAGGTGTCATCCGAGGACAGCTTTAGGAAGGAAACCATTTGCATTACCCAAAACAAACTTTGCTTCGTGTTTTCAGCATGCACTGATTGTACTAAGTATAGCTGGCATCAGTGGAATGATTATTCTCTTGATTGTTTTTCTGATGTGATAAGAGATATTGGCGCAACATTCCTTCAGTTTAGTGGTGAGTAGTACTAGATTCTTCCTGCTTAGTTCTTGGCTTTTTTAGTTTTCTCTCTGAAACTTGAGAGCACATGCTTAGTGGAGAGTGGAGATTGAGAAGCTCCTTTTCTGCTTGCTTTAGTACTATACCAGTACTAGGTAGGCGTATTTGGTTGAGGATAAATATTGAGGTGATAAGGGGATCAATTCTTGCTCAATGGAAGTAAGTTAGACAGATGTCTATCTAGGCCCTCAAGTTCTAATTCAGTAGAAATGTCCCAATCTACTCTTTTGCTTCCTAATAGAATGTTAAAACCACCAGGTCAGTTTCTTTAAACTTAAACGTACTCGTTACTCCCTCCGTCAATAAATATTGCTTCTAATATATAAGAATAATTAACCATTTGCCACTCTTACAAATGGTGATAAATGATTTGCCACTGAACCCACATGTCATAAATAACTAGTGGCAAATTTTTAATTGTGGCAAAAAAATTAAATGTATCTAATACGGAGTATATGGTAAGCATTTCTTTGGAGTTTTAGCAGAGATTAAGGTGTTGAGATGAAATTTCTTTGATGCCCCTAGGATTTCAACTTATATAGTACGATAATAGGACAGCCGGTACGTGTTGTCATGTCGATATGAAACTGTGTCCCAACGTTCATCAAGAATGACCCTACGCCAACTACTCTGTCGTATGTGTGGCGACAAAACTCAGCATTTTTAAGGAATTTTGGTACAAGGAAAGTGCTATGGAATGTGAGCTGGATTTCAGTTCTGGCTTCACAGAACAATTCACTTTGCATCGAGAAATTCCTTTTTGGTACTACAAGAGGGAAGTGCTCTGGAGTGTGGGCTGGATTTCAGTTCGGAGTTCAGACTTCATAGAACAATTCACATTTGCATTAAGAAAGTTTTGGTACGAGGGAAGTTCTATGCCGCGTGAATTGGATTTTAATTCAGACTTCATAAAACAATTCTGACCATATCATTCTTACTGCAACTAATTACTTAAATTTTGACCGCACCTATTAATCTCTTTGCCAATACTGATCTTACCATTCCTAAAACAGGAAGAAACTGTGTTTATTTGGAAGCTACTGCAAGTAATTAACTGAAGTGACCATGGTTTGAATTTTCATGTGTGCAGGGTACAGTGAGGCTACTGTTCCAGCCAGCCGAGGAGTCGGGCGCTGGCGCCAAGCGGATGATCGAAGGCGGCGCGCTGGAGGACGTGGAGGCGATCTTCGCCGTCCACGTGTCGCACCAGCATCCGACGTCCGTGATCGGCTCCAGGACCGGCCCTCTGCTCGCCGGCTGCGGCTTCTTCAAGGCCGTCATCCACGGCGGCCGCCGCTCCGGCGACGCCGTCCTCGCCGCCGCATCCACCATCATCAGCCTGCAGAGCATCGTGTCCCGCGAGGCGGATCCCCTCGACTCGCAGGTGGTGTCTGTGGCCATGGTGAACGGCAGCGATCACCCGGCGGCGACGGCGAGGGCGGCGGCGGCGGAGGAGGAGGAGGAGTTCGTGCTGGGCGGCACGTTCCGGGCGTTCTCGAACGCAAGCTTCTACCAGGTGCGGCGGCGGATCGAGGAGGTGATCACGGCGCAGGCGAGGGTGCACGGGTGCGAGGCGGCGGTGGACTTCTTCGAGAACCAGAGCTTCTACCCGCCGACGGTGAACGACGCGCGGATGTACGCGCACGTGAAGGCGGTCGCCGGCGAGCTCCTCGGCGCCGGGAGCTACCGCGACGTGCCGCCGATGATGGGCGCCGAGGACTTCTCCTTCTACTCCCAGGTCGTCCCCGCCGGATTCTACTACATCGGCGTGCGCAACGAGACGCTCGGCTCCGTCCACACCGGCCACTCCCCCTACTTCATGATCGACGAGGACGTCCTCCCCACCGGCGCCGCCTTCCACGCCGCCATCGCCGAGCGCTACCTCGCCAACCACTCGCCTTCCTCCTCCTCCTCCTCCGACTCCGACGACCCGGATGTCGAGCTGGAGGCGTCGTGACCGAGCAAGGGAGCCCGGCAAAGTCAGTCGATCAGCGCGCCGCGCCGCGCCGCGGGAGCGCGCCACGCCGGTTGGTGGTGGGCTGGACTGGTGATTTTGGGCCCATTTCGCGGTGGGCTTTGTCGCGGGCCATAGGGATCGGTGTTTTTGCCCTGCCATGGGGAAATTTAGGTGGGAGGGATTAATCTGAGGAAAAAGTCCACTTTTACTCCCTTAAATGTATACCGAATCTAATTCGTACCCCTCAACCAGAAAACCGGTTAGGATGACTCCCCCAATTACTAAAACTGGTACAAATAGACTCCCTCGGCGGTTTCAAGGGCGGTTTTGCTGACGTGGTGGTGTTGACTTGGTCTTCGTCCCACGTGGCGTTGACGTGGCATTGATGTAAGATTAGATTTAAAAATATATATGTGGGATCAATTTGTCATTCACACACAAAAATTATAATAGGATCCACTGACTTGTGGTGTCCACATGTCATTCTCTTTCCAACCTTTATGCCTCCCTCTCTCTCCCTTATCTCTCTCTTTCTCTTCCCGTCGGCGAGCAGCGCGGAGAGCTTGCCGAGGGCACGGATGGCGGAGCAGAGGGCGGCGAGGGAGCGGAGTGGAGGGCGCCAAGGGAGTGCGCGAAGCTGTGAAGCCGTGGGCGGCGGTGGGTGGAGAAGGCCGGCGCGAAGGCCGGGCGGAGTGGCGGCATCGAGAGCTGCCAGTCGCCGCGGTCGCTCCTGTCGCGTATCCTACAACGAGGCGACGGCGGCAGCAGCGGTGGGAAGATCGGGTGCCGGGTGCGGCTGCCGTGGCGGTACAGCTCCACCTCCGTGTTGATGCGATGTTGTTAACACTCCGCCGCCACCGGTAGTGGCGGCGGCGGCGGCGGCGGTGGGAAGTTCGGGTGCTGGATGCGGCTACCGGCGCCGGCCAAGGTCAAGGTCATCAGGAGGGCGCCGGAGTTGTCCCTCGACACGCCGCGGAGTTCTTGTACACTCGACGAGGGGAGAAATGGTATAATTCTTGCCGTGCGCGGCGCCGGTGCAGTGTCGGAGACGAGAGCGACGACACGGAGGAGGTGACTGACACGTCGGCGTCCTTCGCCGCCAAGACGGACGACGTGGCGGCAAGAAGGCCAAGGACGGTGGTGGCGGCGGCACGGTGCTGGTGACGGTGGACGGCGATGTGGAACTGGAGATGGAGACGCTACTGAAGGCGTCGGCGTACATCCTGGGCGCAGCGGGCAGCAGCATCGTGTACATGGCGGTGCTGGACGACGGCGCCGTGCTGGCGGTGTGCAGGATCGGCAGCGACGACGCATCGCCCGCAGCATGGCGAGAGGGCTGGCCTTCCTCCACGACAAGAAGTTCGTGCGGCAACGTCCGGCCGAGCAACATCCTGCTCGACGCTGACATGGAGCCGCTATTGGCGGACCTCGAAATCCACTAGCTCATCCGCGGCGGGGGCACGCTCAAGCCGGCAGCAGCGGCAGCGCCGGAGCGGTTCGGGAGCAAGCGGTCGGCGAAGAGCTTGCCGGACTTGTCGCCGCCGGGCGCGAGGCCGCTGGCGGGGCCGTCCGGGTCCAGCGACGCGGCGGCACAGTACCAGGAGAGGAGCGAGCCAGAGCTGATGCTGAGCAGCAACAACCACACCCTCGTCTACACCTGCGACAACGCGCAGGGTAGTGCCCGCACAACAACTACGCGCTCGGCTTCCTCGACCGCTTGCTCTGCTGTTTCTTTTTGGGGGATTTGGGGGAAAAGATAGAGGGAGAAGATGGCTGACAAGTGGGCCCTACGCTTTTTATATTTTCTCCTATCAGTTACATGTGGGCCTCATCTGTATTTTGGTGACTGGGCTGACACGTCAGCACAATAGACCAAGTCAGCATGCCACGTCAGCAAAACCACCCTCTAAAACCACTTAGGGAGTCAATTTGTACCGGTTTTAGTAATTGGGGGAGTCGTGCTAACCGGTTTTCTGGTTGAGGGGTACGAATTAGATTCGGTGTATATTTAAGGGAGTCAAAGTGGACTTTTCCTTAATCTGATGAGAAAATAGGATGAACGTACGTTGAAAATGTACAGATTTTGTGTTAGACGTTTCATTGGATTTGTTGCACGAAGTTTCCGAAAATGTTGCAAGGAACCCTTGCACGTTTGTTGCAACGAGAAAACAGATGTGTTTTTACCATTGCATTTGAAAGCTGTGCAACTTATCCAAACGTTGTTTACAGCAAAGCGAATCAATGACGTGACATTTCTGTACATTCTTAACCCTAGCCTGTGTTCAATGGATATGCTACTCGATGTCCAGCAAATCAACTGAGCATTTCTGAGATGAATTATGATGGTAATCTTGTAGGATCAACAAATTAATCTACGACTTCTCATGACCTTCTTTCGAATCGAGCATCTGTGCCGGAAAATTCCAGTTCTTCATGGTCAAAATGAGGGCCAGCGCCTCACCAAATGTTCGGTCCATTTCTGAAAAATTTGGCCGACCGAGCTTGCGTCAGGCATTCAGTTCAGGCTTCAGAATCCGGAGGCGCCGTACGTTGGAATGCCGTCTCTCAGGCCGTTGCGAGCACTCCCGCGTTTACTACAGTTTAAAGCCTGAAATTGTGTGATGGCTCGAGACACCTTTTGGCTTAGGTGAGGTGCCAAAGTGATTGGCCGCTGATTTCGACCATCTTTTCAGCACGAGTTCCATTACCTTGATTTGTTTTCGGTAGAGAGAAAATTGCAGTGAAGGAATGCCGAAACAACACATTCCACAAGGGACTAAATATGTCTAAATGTTCATAATCATATATTCATAATCCTTGCCATTCAAAAAAATAGAATCATATTCCTTTGGTTCAACCAGAAAGTTTTCTGCAGCCAAACTTCAGACCACCAAACTATCAATCTAATCAGTCTCCTGCCAAACACCGCCTCCTACCATTGCCAAACAAATAGCAGCAAAACTAAATTTCTGAAACAGCAAAACTAGTTGTAGCAAATCATTTCGCTTTGAGAAAAAAAGGAGAGAAAAGAAGGACACATTTCAACGCATGCCTCTTTGTTCTTTTACAACAAGATGTGCCATTGCATGCACTGATGCAGATGCAGTGCAGGGCGGTGCGAATTTGGACGGTTTCGAGGCAACAAGTCCACCACTTCTACCTCTGCACACGAACGACCACGAGTCCACGATATCATGTGCTTCCCCATCCTGCTGCCCTACATTTTGTCCGGTTCTAGCACCGTGCACACGTATGCTGCCGGCATGATCAGCTGATCTCACATGACGGGGGAGAAAGGTAGTATGGTAGTAGATCGCTTGATCTGTCCGTGTAGTTGTTGAAACCTGATGAAGCTTTTGAAACCAAATAACCATTGGATCCGATGTCCCTTTATTACACTTTTCTCATGCTCTGAAAAAAGTTTGGATCGCATCACATGTCCTTGGATCTTTTTCACACTTTCTTTCTTTTCAGCGAGCAATTTTATCAGAGTATGTACTCCACTTCTCTGCAGACAAATCTGATCAGTCAAGTGATCAAGCCAGATTTATTCTAAGAGTTTTTGGTCCCTGTAGATATGCAATGGCTTCAGGATCGATCATGCCTGCCGTCTGAAGAAATGTACTAATCAGTACTCCACTCCGTGTGGTAGTACTCCATAATTAGTACAGTTTCACGAATGCAGTAACGGCAATAATTATGCAGGCTCGGATCATCCTGCACTGAAAAAGGCAAGGGAAACAAAGTTGGAGTAAATTGCCTGCACCTGACCATGTGTGTACCACTCCACAGCAACAACATTCATCAGAGAATCCTAAGAACCAAAACTGTCAAGGAGTACACAATGTGGTAGGTACACATTGTTGGGAGTGGCAAACTGGCAACCAAACACCATGGCCTAGGGTGTGTTTAGTTACACGCCAAAATTAAAAGTTTGATTAAAATTAAAATGATGTGATGTAAAAGTTAAAAGTTTGTGTACGTACAGAAGTTTGATGTGATGATTTATGGTTCAAAGTTTGATTCTAAACCGGGCCTGCCTAGTAAAGAATCAGATCCAATTGAATACACTATGCAGGAGGTTATCAAAAGTTTTTTTTAAAAAAAAAAGAGAAAAAGAATGTCTGTATGAAAGAGCAAGACAGGGGAGTAGGAGTAGCTTCGAGTTTCAACAGAGATGGACCACGGTTGAACTTGTGGAGGCAAGCAAGAAGGTCTCTGCATTTTGTGGAATCCAATGAGCCATTGATTTGTCACCCACCTCGGTTAATAACTCTAGTGCAGCTAGAGAGGAGAAGTAAGAGCAAGTTTAATAATAGAGCCAATTATGAGTTTATAACTTATATTAGAGTAAACATATATAGTAAATAAGCTATAAGGTTATTTCTTTTTTTCTCCTTCTCTCTATCTCTCACCTATATATTTAATGTATTTATTTTGAAGTATGTGAATAGCTAGCTCTTGCATGAGAGCCAGTCCTCTGTATTTTTTAAATTCTCTTTCCTTCACATAAGAATATAGTTGGTTTATAGCCTGCTATTATACTTGCTCTCAAAGGAGACCTCGAAACCGGCACGCCGATCAATCATGGTGTTCCGTGACAAAAGCTCGCTAGCTGGAGTGATGCAGCGCACTGCTCAACGCTGCGTCCCGACGAGAGACTGGCCAGTGGCCACAGCCACCAGGCCACCAGCAGCAGTGCCACACTGCCACTAGTACGAGTCATCAAGAACCATTGTAGTAAAAGGCCTTTTACAGTGCTGAGCACAAACAGAAATGCAGATCAAAGTTCTGAACTCATCACCGTCCTCCAATGAGGCAATGGCTGAGTGAAAGTCGATTCCTGAAGCACATTAGCTACTTCAAACTTCAAAGTTTAAACACATTACCAACTCAACTCAACTGAAGTTTAGTTCACTAAAGTTTTGAAGTTTGGTTGAAATTAAGTTACGTGTGTATGAAAGGTTTGATGTGATGGAAAGTTAGAAGTTTGTAAAAAAACTTTGGAAGTAAACAGAGCCACTCAAGTGGCAGTACTCCAGTAATAAGTGAAAGTAAAATGCATATCTTGCTCAGGTGCACCAAAACCAGCTGAAATTGAACGGAAACAAACATATTACTAGTTTCAGTTCTTCCATATACCCATATACCTCCTCCTTTCCCGGCCTACCAGTGGTAGACCACCAGATCTCCTCACGTTATACCCAAACCAACCGCTAAAACTACAGTACAACCCACTGGTTTAATGCTAATAATAGTATTATTATTATTACGGCACTAATACATGACGCATCAACAGCATCAAGAAGAACCAAGAACATCAGCAACAACAATGCCATGCACCATGACTAAAGCTAGCGTCTTTGCCATTGTTCATGATGAGTGGGAAGCAAATCTTTGCTTGGGTTGGGTTACGCTGTCTAGCGGCGGTGCGGGCAGAAGGTGACGATGTAGGACGCACCGGCGGAGCAGGTGAGGATGGAGGTCGGGTCGTCGTAGGCGTAGGAGTAGGCCTTGGGGCACGCCGTCTTGAACAGCCGGGAGTACGCCGTCGGCTTGCACTGCTGCGGGCTCCCGAACTGGCCGGTGCAGCAGTACTGCGGCGCGCCGTAGGCGGCGCAGGCGCTGCGGCATCCGACGACGCGGTTGTCGCCGCCGCCGCCGCGGACGGCGAGGCCGGCGGGGCAGACGCGGTTGAGGTCGCTGATGCACCCCGCGGGGACGCAGTTGGCGCCGGAGCCGTGGGACGGGGTCATGGCGATGGGGATGTTGTAGCCGTCGACGAGGCTCACGTCGTAGAAGTCCTGCGCGGCCGGGGTGGACGCGAGGGTGATCTCCGCCAGCGTGGCCGGCGGCGCGCCGCCGGCGCCGTTGCAGTAGAGCGCCCCGCCGCAGTCGCCCGTGGCGCAGCGGCCGCGCCCCGCGGCGTCGAAGCTGCAGCCCTGGCGGCCCCAGACGCGGCCGGACCAGCCGGCGGGGAGGCGGATGGAGGTGGCGCGGTTGGGCGCCAGCTGGAACCCGCCGCGCGCGAGCAGCTCCTTGCCGGCGCTCGGCTGGATGCCCGGCCACACCGTCTCCGCGCACCGGTTGTACAGCGCCAGCGTCGCCGCCGACGCGTCGCCCGCGAGCAGCAGCGCGACGACGAGCCCCGCCGCGACCCGCACCGCCATCGCCATTGCTCCCTGCAAAGCTCGCGCTGCGGTACACTACACTGGAGTGAGTGTGACAGGGTGAGCGTGAGCTTGCAGTGTGTTCGATCGCGCGGTTTTGTGGGGACGTATTTAACGAGGGGTTTTGAGCGTGAAATGGTTGGTACAGTGAAATAGTACTAGCTGGGCTGGTGGGGTTTTTGGCTTGCGAAAAGAAAAAGGTTGGGTAATTTGGATGGGAGTGAAAGGTTCGCTGTAAAGTTTAAGCTCAACCAATGGAGAACAGTACAAATCAACAGTACTCTCTCGACTTTTAACATCTTTTGGTTGGGGGTGGAGAAACGACTTTGGTCACGTGCTAACTGCAAACACGACACGACAGAGATCGGCCGAGACGAGAGTAGTAGAAATTACCACACCATGATAGTCGTATAGGGTGTAAACTATGAGTGTAAACGTGGTCAATTCATAGGTGTTATAAATTTTTAGCCTTACCAAATTACTCCCTCCGTTAACTTCAAAACTAACTTCGGTCTACCAACCTGAACACCGACATCTAGGTTCGTGACCAAAAGTTAAGTTTTATGGGATAAAAAAAAGTACGTTGCTAAGTGGCCTCAATTGCTCCATGTTGGAGTGTAGCCATTAGCTAGTAATCCCTTCGTCTCGTAAAAATCCAACATAGTACTGGATGTGACACATGTTATTACAAACGAATCTAGACAGATGGTTTTTTTAGACGGAGGGAGTAGGCTCTAAGGCCATTCACAGTACGTGAGGTGACATTTAGCCTCGTCTCGCCGGCTCGGAGATTTTGAGCCACATCGTCGTGGGTCGTGCCCCTACGAACAACACAAGCCTTTTATTTGGACGTGTGAACCTTGTCAGATTGTCATAAGGAAGACACCTAGTGACGGACAAAACCGTGTTGGGGTGGTCATGCTCATGCCCCAGTGAGCGTCGGTCCCCTTTGTCGTCGTCGCCGAGGTTCTACCGCCGCCACCTCTCGAGGTCAAATCCGACAAGCTCGGTAGCGTGGAGTGGCCGTCGTCGCTATCATCGAGATGCCACTGCCGCCCGAGACTAGATCCAACGAACCACAAGTCAGATTTGGCAGAGAAGGAGGGACGATGACGACACCTTGACAAGGAATTGGACAGGTGTGGCACCGATGGAATGTGGAGGGAGAGCGATGCCAATGGTGCGAGGAAGGGAGAGCGGCGGAGATGGTGAGGAAGAATGATGCCGGCGATGGGAGGTAGGGAGAGCGGTGGAGAGGGGGATGAAGAGCTAAGGTCCCCATCGTTTGGCTTATTAAGAAATAAAAATGAATTTGTAGGTAAAACTTTTATAAATGTGTTCTTGGTGACTTAAAAGACAATGTTGAAAAAGAAACTACGTTGAAAATATCTCAAAATCAATCTCAAAATTAAGCTTAAAAATTTAAAATTTAGCTTTTTTTTTGGCTGATTAGGCCATCCAATGGGAGCCTACGCTGTGTGGGGGAGAGTGGCAGAAAGGTGGAAGGAGAGCTGTGCCGACGTAGGGATAGAACCGCGGCGAGGGGGGGAAGAGCTACGCGCCAGTGGGGGGGATGCATGTGGGTATAGAACGATACCATTTTACTCATGCGCGGATAAACAAACAAACATGCAATTATAGCATTACTCTTACACATGTAAACGAACAGATATGCAACTATAGCATTTACTCTTGCACGAGTAAATGAATAGACATCGGTCAGATCATGAATAATTTGGGAAGATCTCAAAGTACGTCATTTTGATCTTCTTTTCTAAGTCAAACTTTATAATTAAGTTTATAGAGATGTGTAATGACTCTTGTAACACCAAATTAGTTCCATTAAATGTAATATTGAATATATTTTGATAGTATGTTTATTTGGTATTGAAAATGTTCCTATATTTTTCTATAAACTTGATCAAAGTTAAAAAAAAGTTTAATTTAAGTCAAATGACTTACTCACTACATCCCATAATATAAGTGATTTTGAGTTTTTGTTTGTAACGTTTGACCATTGGTCTTATTCAATTTTTTTTTGAAATTATTATTTATTTTATTTGTGACTTACTTTATTATCTATAGTACTTTAAGCACAACTTTTCATTTTTTATATTTGCAAAAAAAAAATGAATAAAACGAGTGGTCAAACGTTGCAAGCAAAAACTCAAAAAAAACTCAAAATCCCTTATATTGTGGGACGGAGGGAGTATAATATAAAATGGAGAAAGTAAAATATAAATAAAAGCATTTTAATAACTTATAATTATTTTAAAAGGGTTGATAGAAAATAACCGGGAATTCGAGAGTGACATCACAGTGAGGGATTCTTCAGAGTTCGGAGTGACATCAAACCTCCAAAATCCTCTCTACTGATGGGCAGCACAGGGCGAATCGATGGCTTTTGCAACAGGACAAAAGATGATGGAGCGTGTTGAATGCACACCTGCGAGTGTTGCGCTCACCCGCGATTGGAAATCGATTGATTTCCATCGCTTTCTTAGCATGTGATTCTTTTTTTTAAGGCAAAGAGAGATTTTATTAATGGCTGAACATAGGATTACATTCTTGATTCAGAAGTTCAAGGATTTTTGCAGGAGCACTTAACTTTCACTCCGCATTAATCCCTGAACCTAAAGCCATTTGAGCCAAAGTGTGAGCTATTTTATTTGAATCTCACTTTATCTTGTGCACCTGCACCTGCACCAAGCATTGCATTGCTGCTTTCACTTCTTGGATTATACCACCCCATTCTGCTCTTGAGGCACCTGTTGAATTTTGCTTGTGATTTCTACCCTCTGGCAGCAATACGGCAGTGCCGCACTACAAATACTCCCTCCACGATAGGTACACTATAACCTACACGGATTCACATCGAACGTTGAACACCTGTATTATTAAATATAAAGTAAAAAATAACTAATTATATAGATTGTGACTAATTTACGAGACAAACTTTTTAAGCTTAATTGCCTCATGATTTATCAATATGATGCTACAGTAAATATTTGCTAATGATGGATTAATTAGGCTTAATAAATTCATCTAGCGGTTTAATTACGGATTCTAATTAGTTTTTTATTAGTGGTCGAACGTTATATACAACACACTGTATAATAACCGATATAACAAAATAAACTTTACGCCATGATCTAAACACCCCAAATAAAGGCCACTATCTGCATTAACTGCACGCTGATCGATGGTGTCATACATTATGTGTGTGTGAGGTCAACTGTGCTGGGACCGGCGTCCAACTGGATGAGAAAAAACTGATTGAATAATTGAAAGTAGCAAAGCCTTTTCCCAGCTCGTGACTCGTCCGTTGCCGTTCCCATATGTTCCCACCGGCATGGGTCTGTTCAGCTCTACCAAAACTAAGAGTGGAGCTGGATGGAGCTCTCTTACAAAATAAACTAGAGTTGTGGAGCTGGATTTAGATAGCTCCACAACTCTACTCTAGACTCAACTCCTAAAGTTAATTTAGAAGTTAGAGCTGTACACGCCCGGAGTATAGTAGTACACTGAAATGAAGTGTTTTGCCGCGACGAGTACTCCTAGCTCGGGAGGGTAGAGGACGAAAAGGGGATCGCAGTTCGCAGAGATGAGAGTTTCCCTCGGGCAGCCGCAGGACGCAGCGGCATGAGCATGGCTGTCGTGTGCATGTCGCGTCTCGCCCTGCGTGCGAGTGTCAGAAGATAATTTCTCTCCTTCTGCTTCTGGTTGGGCTGGTGTGGTGGGTGAAGCCCGCAAGCCCCCCATCCACGTGATGCCCGCCTCGCAGGTGCATGGCAGCGCCGCGCGGGCTCCCACATTCCCACTGTCCCATTTCTATCCCCACGATTTAACGGTAACAGTATATTATAGTTTAAAAAAACTAAAAATATTACCATACGTGATAACTACGATAATCATGTATTTTTTTTAACCCCGTAACACAACCGTCACAACGTCCCCGTGCGCGCTCGATCGCCCGCTCACACTCGCAATTTCTATCCCCACGATTTAACAGTAACAGTATATTATGGTTTAAAAAAACTGAAAATATTACCACACGTGATAACTACGATAACCATGTATTTTTTTGGGAACCCCGCAACACAACCGTCACAACGTCCCCCACGCGCTCGATCGCCCGCTCGCACTAGCAATTTCTATCCTCACGATTTAACGGTAACATAGTATTATGGTTTAAAAGAACTGAAATTATTACAACACGTAATAACTACGATAGCAATATATTTTTTGAAACCCCGCAACACAACCGTCACAACGTCCCCCGCGCGCGCTCAATCGCCCGCTCGCACTCGCACGGCGAAAGCGAAAGTTTTGGCTTGGCTGCCGGCATCGCCGTGCGCTCTACAGTGTGGTGGTCTGGTGGTGGCTACCACTAACGCTACATATGAGTCACACTAGTATGAATTGTTAGTGGTTAGTGGCCAAACGGCCACCCACTAGGGCGCTCGAAAATGGTAGCCGTGCCAAGATAGCCGGGGCGGGCTGAAACCGTGAAAATGGCAAAGCGCCAGGTGCCCTACCACGGACGCCCGGCTGCGCCAATGCCGTGAATCATATCAGCATTTGTGGCTTTTAGCTATTTTCGTGATTAGCTTTTTTTTGTTGTTGTGACTGTTTTCGTGATTAGCTAGGAGCACAGGCACAACTACGCGGCGTCTCCCACTGGGCATCTGCTACTCCAGTAGCTCACATTGTCGATCTTAGAAAACGATAATGGCGTCGCGATATGTGATGGGATCATGAGAGTGAAACTCTTGCATTTAACAGAGAAGAAACTGAAAAGGTGGTGCCAAGGAGAGGACCAGTTAATAGTGTCGGCCTTTCTCACAGCCCAGCCCAAGAGAAGCCTGTTGTTCATGTTCTTAAACAACAGGCCGATAAGCACAAGAAAGTTTTTTTTGGTATACCAGAATTTTCCCTTTGTTATCCTGTGTTTCTGACAGCTTTCTCCTTCTGGTTCGGTACAAGGAATTTTCCGAGATTGAAACTTTGAAAGTTTCTGTCTGTCAAAGAGATGTGGATTTTTTACATTTTACACTTTTTTAAAAACTTATTTTACAAATAAACCTCTTAAAAAATTAATCCGAAAATGGACCCTTTTTCAGCACCGTGGTCCAATTTTAACGGCGCCAATAACCTCTATACTCCCCGGAGGAGCTAAGTCACTTATAGAAGAGGGGTCACGCCAATATCAATTGTGCTGAGGATTTGTAAATATTTTTATTATAAATAAATTATTTTTCAATTTTTTTACAAGCAGGTCCTTAGCGCTAATGATATTGGTACCATCTCTCTTCATATAAGTGAATTAGCTTCTCCGGGAACAACGCCAATGTCATTGACACTATCATGTTGGACCACGATACCAATGATGTTGACGCCGTGAAAAGAATCTATTCTTGGAATAAGTGTTTTAAGGGTATGCTTGCAAAATTAGTTTTTACAAGGGAAAAAAAGTGAAAAATCCAGCCAGAGAGATACTGGTACGTATATATAACATCAAAAAGTTGTTCTGTAGATCAAATTTACAGAAGGTATCTTCCCCAAGTGAGATCAAAAGTTCTGCAACTTTTGACAACAATAGATTCAGTAGAGGATTCCTGTCAGGCACTTACAACTCCAAGTAGTAGTAGAATCCTTCAGTAGAGGATTCTTGTCAGGCACTTACAACTCAAAGTAATAGAAACCCAACCCCAGTGTATCTACAAGACCACAACTAAAAAAGCTGCAACACCAACCATGCTAGATATTCACTTCCCGCTAATTCTGCCTGTTTCTAGGACCAGAATTTGAACACAAGAAGTTGCTTCCCAGTAAGGTCAAAGTCCATGTTCCTGAATCCTGATCAATTGAAGTTCATATAAAATTCGTGCAAGCATGCATACCTATTGGTTATTGCTCCAAGCAAGGCCTTGACACCAATCACCATGCTTATCCAGATTCAGGGTTTGTGCTTTAGAACGAAGGGGCAAATGCATCCAAACTTACACAGCACCAAGAAGTTTTAACAGACAATTAGAACATCCTTAGGACCTTAACTCACTCCACCCCCTTGCTGTCAAGTGTAATTAACATGAAACAAAACGAACTCATCTAGTTCACTTCAGCCTCTTTGTTTCCTACTCCAGAATCACCAAAATAACTTCTTCCAGTTCGCATCAACCTCTTGTTTCCAGCTTCACAGTGGCCAAAAGACACACACAAGAAAAGAGAACATAATGCTGGCATATTGGGATCCCTTGTATATTTGCATAGATGGCAAAAGCTAGGCAAGCACAGTTGTGAGCACACACGCCTGTAATTTCTCACAATAAGACACCCAGACAAACACGACATTCCTATCCCGACAATTCAGTGGAAATTGCTTCAAGGCTACAAAACATGAACAATGAAGCAATGTCAATCAGGTCAATCCTTGGGAGAAATAGGAAATCAAGAAAATAGATGGCATCAGCATCAGCAGGAAGGAGAAACACTGCAAAATTCAACATTTGGATTAGAACTTTCAGATGATGTTACTCATAAGAAAAACTTGAAATTGCAATGAAGAGATGTATGTGATTTTGACAACTTTGATTCATAGATTATGCTATGTATATTGTGCTCATCTGAGCAACACGAACTTATATCAAGCAGTAGCAAGCAGCAACTGCACCGTGTATAAATAATTCCTCTTCATTCTTCCATTACCTTTCCAATTAATGAAACAACAACAGCGATATCACTCGGAATACCACAGCGAAAGATAAGGAAAAGCTCAGATTTCCTTGCTCGCAGCTTACATCACAGAATTATTCACATATCGAATCATCAACGTGGTAAGAAAATAAGAAAAAAAAGGAGAAAAAGAGAGAAAAAGGAGGCAAGAATTATCCATTTCTAGTTTGAGAACACCATCGGATCAGCCGAAGAAGAGATCGGAGCAGAGCGGAGCAGCAGAGCTTGTCTCGATCTTTTCTAGCTCGCCCCCCACTCCAAATCATTGGTGTTCTAGCGAGCTAGAGGCGGAGCAGCGTGTCGTAGCGGATACCCATCTGATCGGCCACGGCGGCCATGTCTAGCTCCTCCTCCGGAGGTGGCATGTTCAGATCGAACGGCAGCGGAGTGCGAGAGGCGGCCGCGTCGTCGCTGCCGTCCTCGCAGAGGACGGACGAAGAGGAGCCGCAGTAGCTGTGGCAATCCTCCTCCTGGGTCGCCTCCATGGGGGCGGCGGAGCGGGCTAAGGCGGATGCGGCGGCGCGTGGGGCGCCGCCGCTCCATGACTCAACGGTGCTGCTGTGGCTGGACGTGGCGGCCGCCGCCGCCGCCGCCGGCGGCCGGGGCGGGGGCGCGGACGGCGCGGCCAAGGGGAAGTTGGTCCGCGCGGTGGGCCCGCGGAGAGATCGGGCGGCGTCGTCGTAGGCGCGGGCCGCCACCTCGGCGGAGTCGAAGGTACCCAGCCAGATCGGGGTCTTCTTCGCCGGGTCCCGGATCTCGGCGGCGTACCTCCCCGACGGCCGCTTCCGCACGCCCCGGTACCGGATCTCCGGCGACGGCTGCGGCTGCGGCTGCTTCGACTTCCGCATCGCCGGATGCACGTGCGCGCGCGCGGGGGCTTGGTGGGCGAGGGCGAGGCGAGGAGGCTCCGATGGGGGAGGAGGAGGGGAGGGGGTGCTCGGCTAGGGTTTGGCAGTGGCGTCTCCCTTCCCCCTCTTCCTTTTCCTCCCCTTGTTTTTTCCTCTCTTTTTTTCCCTTCCTTTTTTTTCGTTGAGTTTCTTTTTTTTTTTCGCTTTGCTTTGGTTTCTCCTCCGCCTAGTTCCGCTTCGGCGCGGCGGTGGTGGTGGTGGCTGCTTTTCGACACAGCGCTTGCCTCTGCTCCACCACGATGCCGGGCGCAGCGGGTTTGGTTTGGTTTGGGTTGGTTTGCGATGTTTTTTAATCGTTTCCCCCGCAATCTGGTCGGGTCGGTCTATATCTACCCGCGTGTTCTTCTCACCCCCATCGCGACCGTGTTGCGTAACTTGCGTTGCGTCACGCTCCGTTCTACGGCGGGCAGGTAGTGGATGGGTTTGGCCGTTTGGCGCGGCCGACTAGATGCGTATTTCCTGTGGCTGGGAAAAGCAGTCTTTCGCTCGCTAACATGATGACATGTGTGATTTGATCGTGGATGCAAGGGGAATTTCGTTTTGTTTTAGTGAGCTTGCTTTGCGTGGTTGGGGGGATCAGAGTAGGGTGTTGGCTTCTGTAATTCAACTCTCTAAAGAAGGATAAGCTTTGCGTTTATTTGGATGGGAAATAAAAAAAGAAATACTCGTTTTTTTGCACGAAAGTTTCTCAGTCTGCTAAATGAGGTGTGTTTTGTAAAATTATTGTTGTTTTAAAACAATACCAAATTTGAACGTGTCCAGATTCGTAGTAATAGGATATGTCTTATCCAATTTTAGAAATACTCAATTAATTATATGCTACTGATAGCATACCTTGTTTTACCTATCCTCTCGATATCTTTCTCCCCCTAGCTATGATTGGAAAGAAAAACGAAGTATTACCTGCATTGTCTCTAATCATAGCACCCGCACCAGCTCATTTGTATGCACGAGTTTCACAAAAAATATGTTCATGTAAAATTCACAAAAAAAAAATCTGAATGAAACTTCGTGAAACATGGTATGAATTCAAGTTATGCTCACATTTTACATGATTTTGTTTCAATTATACAACACACTATAAAACGAAACTTATTTCGATATACCAATTATATACCATTTACTACAAGCAGATGTAATCCGCAGCGAGTAGGAAGATGATCCTCTAACTTACTTGCTTTAATTTTGAGTCACCAATACTTGGATCCGCTAAGGACATCCCAAACTCATAAACTATAAAGTAGTTTCCATATTTGCCATGTCGTATAGATATTATGCATACAAAATATATATCTAACGGATGATGTCTTTGAATTAAATTCTCATCCAATCGTCTCTATTCTCTCTCATTTTATCCATATATTTTATTATTTTTTATTCTTAGTTTTTATATAGAGATAATTTCTTCATCTTTTTACTTATCTCCTCGCTAATTCTCTTGCCATATCAATTTTTTGCTTACTATATGCCAATATATTTAATGCTATGGATACCAGATGAAGGGCACGAAAACGTCTCCGGTCCCATCTTTTCACTTATACTTATACTTACCAGTCAAATTTTGAATTTCCCACCTTAAATTTGGAGTTGATTTTAGGGTTTTTTTTATCAAAGTTAATTTTTCAGCTTGTGCTTTTAGATTAATAAGAACTTATAAGAATTTTGTTCACAAATTATTTTTCGTTTGTAAATATGCCTTTTCACTTATTCGGGGCCAAACAGCCTTGGTTATCAGCTACTGAGTATTACTCCCTCTGTTTTAAAATGGTTGACACCGTTGACTTTTTAGCACGTGTTTGACCGTTCGTCTTATTAAAAAAATTATGAAATATGTAAAACTATATGTGTACATGAAAGTGTATTTAACGATGAATCAAATGATATGAAAAAAATAAATAATAATAATATTATTTATTTCATAATTTCATGTACACATGTAGTTTTATATATTTCATAATTTTTTTTAATAGGACGAACGGTCAAACACGTGCTAAAAAGTTAACGGTGTGAAATATTTTGAAACGGAGGGAGGGAGTACTACTCAGTATGTCGCGGTGCCACCTCACACGGTGACACCTGACTCGACTCGAGTTAACCCCGACCATTCGAGTCATCGAGTGGCGCGCTCCCGAATTCCCCGCCCCGCTCATCTCGCCTCGCAGGCCCGCCCGCCATGAGCGCCTCCTCCTCCGGTGGCCGCGGCGCGCCGCCGCCGGCCACCGCCGCCTCGCCCGGCCAGAAGCGGCCGAGGGGAGACGACCCCGCGTCGCCTTCCAACCGCTCCGAATCCGCCCCCGCCAAAAACCCTCGCCGCGCCTTCTCCTCCTCCCCCTTCGCCGACTTCGGGAGCTACATGGCCGCGAAGAACAGCAAGCTCGCCGCGCAGTTCGAGGCTGACGCCTCCACGTCCGCCGCGGAGGTTACCGGCGGCGTCTTCGCTGGCGTCTCCATCTTCGTAGACGGCTTCACCGTGCCCTCTAGCCAGGTGCCCCCCCGCGTCTCCGCAAACCCTTGTTTAAGCTTTTGGCACATTTCAAATTCTGACGAAGGGGGATCGCTTAGATAAACTAATGGAGATTATGGAAATGGTAGTAATTATTTTATGGGATTTGGTTAGGAGCTGAAGGAGATTATGCTGAATAATGGTGGGCGGTTTGTCAACTACTTCTCGAGGAATACGGTGACGCACATCATCTGCACCCATCTGCCAAATAGCAAAATGAGTAATCTGAGGTATAGAATGCATTTGAAGGAAAGGGAACCCTAGATTTTGTTTTTGTTTTTGTGAGTTTTGGTAATCGTGTTGCCATTTAATACAGAGCATTCAGTAAGGGACTTCCAGTGGTCAAGCCAGCCTGGGTGGTGGATTCCCTTGCAGAGAACAGACTCCTCAGCTGTAGTTTCAGTTCACCTTCCCTTACTAACAGTTTACTGCTGGTTAGCTGAATGATATGCTTTGCTGTTGCGGTTTTGCTCGAGTTCACGAACTTAACTAAAACCATGTCGTTGGCACTACATTTGTTAATAATAGGTCTGATTGAGTTGTAAGTTGTACGGTATTGCTCGAGCCTGTGAACTTAGATAAAACCATGTCTTGCTATAAATCTGTTAGTCATAGGCTTGATTGGGTTGGCTCACATCAGTGCAATGAAAAAGTACTTTTCTGATTTTTTTACCACTATTCTTTTGGTCCTATTGAACAGGTTTGGTTATTGACATCTGCCTGAAACCTTTTATTCTAAGTCGTGATACTTCATACTACTTCTTTGGACATAAATACTTCTCTTCAAAATTAAAATTTATTGACATGTAGCTGAAATGCCCAATTTATCTGTCTGGAGCAAGCACAATTAACCAAATTAGTCGACTAAACAATTTAATCATGATGTGAGCTTGCGCTGTTGCTACTTCTATATGTATAGCCACTTTGCATGATTTCTTGTGATATATGTAGTTTGTATCCACTCATATTAATCCACTTGTTCTTATGGCATTTTTTTTTGTTTTCTTATTTTTCACTAAGGCGTCCCGTATCAAATAAGTCAGCATAATTCTTCAAGCCGAAAGCAGACGAAGCTTTCTTCTTTCTTTTCTGGGAGACATTATCAGGGGGAACTAAATGATCAAAGCAATTCCCATGAGCTACAATCTTCTTCTGTTCAGGAGGGATCACAAGACCATAACAGTGGTTGTGAAAAGGAAGGGTCACTATTGAAGGAGGAGGCATCAAAGGACTCACTATCCTCTGATGATCATAAAGCTTCAATGTTTGAAGAACAAGATAGTGAAGACTTTGTTGATGAGGCTGGTAATGCTTATGAAACAGCATGTTCAGAGAGGAGGGATAATGACATGGATGGTAAACTTCATGTTGCTGAGTCCCCAGATATTAGGTCAAGGTGTTCAAATTTGTGCAGTACAAGCTCTACGGGCAGTCATTTGTCATTGGATTCGTTGGATAGAAATGCAACTAAATCTTCTAGTCGGACACATTCAACCCTCACAGATCCAAATTTTGTAGAGAACTATTTCAAGGTATTGTCGTTCAGGCTTAAGCCTTGAATTTTTTATCTACTAAGGAATTATGGCCAAATTTTTTTTGGGTGTTTGTAAGGACTATGGATTGACAAGCATGTTGAATATTTCCACTCTCTCTGCTACTTTTGCTTTATTATATCATCTGATATCCTTTTCTTAATGCTCTATTACAGTTTTTTATGCCGTGCTGTTTAATTTATGATCCTCTTACTTGATACCTTAGTATTCTCGACTGCATTTCATTGGGACCTGGAGAAATCGATACCGCAAGCGCTTCTCAAATTTACTAGGTGATAAAAGCAGTAAGGGGAACCGTGATCATTCAGGGAAGAATAACACGATCATTCATATTGATATGGTAATCTTGTAATCCTTTTTGTAACTTATAAGCTATACATATAAGTTGTATCTTTTATTTTTTAATCTTATTTTTTTCAATGACGGGAAATATTTGCTCTATCAAACTTTCAAAACATAAATATGATGATAGTTCTAGCTGTACTCCTTATGCATATTACTTCATGACTTTTGGATCTTTTAGTCTGGTCGCGGAAAGAAAAGAATGCTCTGAACTTGGCTCTGACCAGTCTGCAATTTTTGCAGTCTGATTTCTAAGTATAGTAGTAAGACCAACAGGCATGAAAAATGATGATCTAGTAAAGGTCACATTGTCTTTTGGGATGAAATTAGTAATGTAAAAACTGATAACAATACAATGTATTGCATGAATTGGCAATTTTTTATCAATCTAATCATGAATAAGTCTTCCTGTCATTGGAGCCTCTGTGCCAAAATGCAAAATGAAATCTTCCCTTGGATTAGCAGGCTAGCTGCAGTACAGAATAACTGACGTTAAACTTAAACTTCAAAACTTCTATTTAAGTAACATATCTATTGCTCACTGAAGACTGAAGGTCAATTTTTGTTGAAGTTCAGTTGTTTATCTTGATCCTTGGCATAATTTTTCTGCAATACTTGTTGTCTTGATCTTTGACATAATTATTCTTCAACCTCAGGACTGCTTTTTTGTATCAGTTGTCATCAGAAATAAGCCAGAGCTGCATGACAAACCAGTAGCAGTTTGTCATTCTGACAATCCTAAGGGAACTGCGGAAATATCATCTGCAAACTATCCTGCACGAAATTATGGTGCATTTATTTTATCAAAAGTTTGTCTTGGAACTTCAAATCTGGTTATACAAAGCACCTTTGAACATGACATTGCTATGGTTTGTGTATTCCAGGGATAAAGGCTGGCATGTTTGTTAGAGAAGCCAAGGCTCGGTGCCCCCACCTAATGATTGTTCCGTATGACTTCGATGCATATGGGGAGGTATATCTGTCAATTCCTCCTCATTTTTTTTTGTCAGAGCACTGCTTTTGTTAGGATTGATTTGTTGCAATTTTCTACAGGTTGCTGACCAGTTCTATGGTATTTTGCATAAATATTGCAGTAAGGTTCAGGTTTGTGCTGTATTACTCATGCTTACTCAGAATGTATATATGGGATGCATCGTCAGCCTTATTGCCACATAAGGTCTAAACCTCTAACAACATTATGCAAATTTAGGCTTTGAGTTGTGATGAAGCTTTCCTGGATATGACCGAATGCTTACATGATAATCCAGAGGAAGTAACACAGAAAATAAGGAATGAGATTTTTGGTACAACAAAGTGCTCTGCTAGTGCAGGTATTTCTGGAAACATGCTCATAGCTCGTTTAGCTACCAGATCTGCAAAGCCAAATGGACAGTGTTTTATTTCCTCTGAGAAGGTATATGCATGCTAATTATGCCCATTCTCAATATACAGTGGTTTGTTTGCAACAAAGATTTTTTTTGTAGTTCTAGATGAGTTACTCTGTTTCCTACAAAATTCTCTCATTTAAAATGGTCCCTTAGTGCTATGGTTGATGAATTAATTGTTGAAATAGCACAATAACTTTAGAGTACAGTGAATCCTACAATAGCATTCTTCTCTTACCTTGAAGGTATAGGCTTTTGTGTAATTGAAAGGGGAATCACAATTTCATGTAGGAAAGAAGTTTCTCTGCTATTGTTTAGAAATCTTACCTAAAACTATTCATGGAGTATAACTTATCTGACCGACCATACCATAACTTGGGAATTGGGTTCTTGTATAAGTTTTCTTTTGTGGAAAATATCGAATGATACTTTATTTATAGCTTAGGCATCTCCTGGTTAGTTCATATTTGGTGGTTGAGTTGACATTACTAGTTTTCATATATAGAGCGGTGTAATTCAATACAGCTAAGGTGCATCCACTCCCTCTTTTTTTTTTTTTTAGAAAACAGATCACACCAGGTGATCCGGCTTTTAGTAAGAAAGCCCACAAACAAGGTTCTGTTACAACTAAACAAACAAAAAAGAAGGTAATTTTTCTGTGGGTAACCAGAATGCGCACAACGCTTACACCCCTCTTAGCAGCTCATGAAAGTCTTAAACACAACTTAAGCCAACAACAGCAAAACATCATTTCTAACTGGATTTGCTTTCTTCTTTATGAGAGTTTTGTGTGTCTTACATTAGCAGCCTATCATTCCTAAGGGCATAGAACTTGTCTGATAGCAACATGTATTTGTTACAGGTTGATGGATATTTAAATACTCTTTCTATCAAAGCACTCCCAGGCATTGGTCATACTGTTTCAGATAAACTAAAGAGCAAAGAAGTGGAATACTGCGGCCAGCTTCGCAACATTCCAAAGGTTTGCCAACAATAAAATTGTGTTGTTTAACATACTATTTTGCAAACAAAGAATATGATGTGTATTAGTTGCTCAACTTGTTACAATTCTAATGAGGTATTGCTTATCTGCCATGTAATGGCCATGTCTTTCTCCATATCCTCTGAGCTGTGGCTTTTCTTATATGGTTTCTTTACTGATATCCTTCAAGAAACCTACTAATGTGCCAACACTTCTTATGCAGGAATCTCTCCATAAGGATTTTGGTAAAAAAATTGGTGACATGTTATGGAACTATTGCAGAGGAATTGATCATTCAGTTGTTGAAGCTGTTCAGGTAGAAGCTACCTAGTTTCTGTTTCTATAGTAAAGTCATCTGCATTTCTTTTGTCAAGGTTCCATTCTGATTAAAACTTGTAAATTTCAATGGACAAATAGTATGTCATGCCTTGTGGGTACAGGGGATATAGAAGTATCCAAAAAGAATATTTATTTGCCTTCTGTATGACATCAGATCAAGCTGATCTTAGTTTTTTAGCTATGACTTATACAATTGCTCATTCTGCAAATATTCAATAAAGTATGCAACTGTTCTTGAAGCATTCCAAATTCTAAGATGAAAAATATGTCTGGATATCCCTCTGGCATTACTTTACTTCCGTATAGACTTATGGAGACACAAAAGCCTTCAGGGGAAATGGAGTATTCTGTAAATATCAATTTATTTTACCGCATTACTTCTGTCCTGCATATGTGAATTGTTTATTTTTGCTATATTATAAACATGGTATTTTCCTGATAAGTTCTGTGTACCCACACATATGTTGCAATGCAAATGTGTCATACATCCATACAACAATGGATCAGCAATAGCTCAAGATAGTATGCAAAAGGACATGCTATGAATAACATGTTCTCCTGTTAACATGGACAAGTTTTTGCCTCATCTAGGGATAGAAGGGCTTGCATTTATTCATAGTTGATGGTTCTGGGCTACAGCATGCACTGTGTTGGTCTCTGTCATTTGGAATGGAATGACCAATCTGTTTGAACTTCTTTTGCTTCACATATTATAATACAGGAAACAAAATCTGTCGGTGCTGAAGTCAATTGGGGAGTCAGATTTAATGATAACAAAGATGTGAGCATATTCTGTTTCCTTTGTTATGAATCATTGTAATTCTATCTATCTTTTCCTTTGATCCCTTTTGTATTGTTTGCAGGCTGAGAATTTTCTTGTCAACCTCAGCAAGGAGGTTTGTCTACGCTTGGAAGGTTGTGGAGTGCAGGGTCGTACTATTACCCTTAAGGTTATTTTTATTGACTGTACATTCTTCTCTCTTTTCTATAATTGCTGGTTAAAGGTTAATAACTGATTTGTTTTGCCGTGAAGTTGAAAACAAGAAGGAAAGGTGCTGGAGAGCCAATCAAGTTTATGGGATGTGGTGACTGTGAAACTGTTAGTCGATCTATGACGGTAAGGGTGGAAAGATGCGTTCAGATGCAATTGTTAGTTATTTTTGTCTGTGTTCTATGTTGAGTTGCTACTCTGTGTAATTGTCATTTGGACTTTTAATGTTGACCATGGAAATGGTTGTTATTTCATCACCTTTTTCACCATTTTCATATTTTGATCACAAGTTGACTTACTTTATCAGTGCATTGTGCCTTCACTTAACTTCTGATTTTTCTTTCTATCCTTCGATATTTTGAAGATTGCAGGTGCAACTGACAATCCAGTCACCCTTCAGAGAATCGCAAAACAGTTATTCTCATCATTCTGTGTTGGTAAGTTGTAGGGCTTTATTTGATTAAGAAATCCTGCAACAAAAGTCTCTTTGAGCCTGTGTTCCATTGTCATTACTTTGTTGAAGACTAAGTTGTACAATGTCATATGGTAGATGTGAAGGAAGTTCGGGGAGTAGGACTAAAAATTTCAAGGCTTGAGCATGCAGATTTGGCTCGGGGAGGTATATTGTAACTATTCGATTTCTCTTCATTCTGTTTTCTTAATAATGTTGAACCAATCCTTTTTGTTCAGTGTAAATACTCTTTGCACATCAGTAGTGATGTACAAAATGCAGTTGTTGCTATTTATGCATTTTAATCTGTTTATAAGCTATGCATATTAAAATAAGTCCAAACATTGGAAGCAAATGCAGGCTTCCTATTAATTAATTATAGGTTCCAGTAGACAGTGGCAAGGCGAGTGCTTTCTATAGAGTAATGCCATATTGTTGTACTGGGATTTAAGAAAATGCAGCCAGGAGTTCAATAGGAAATCATGAGTGTGTCAATATGGTGTATCAAGCTAACATTAATAAGGCCAAAGCTGAAGATAAATACACCATTTGCTGCAATATAAAATTTTGTTGTACAACAGCAAAAGCCTGAAGCATATTGGCCTTAGTGCTTATCAAGCAACTTATGATTTGGGAAATTGATTTTGCACAGATTTGTCAGTAGCTGATATGACTCATCTGATTTTCTGGACACTGAGCTCCTTATAATTGTTATTCTTTTTTCATGAAGCACCACAAGGGAATATGCTTGAATCTTGGCTTGCTTCACCATCTGACAAGCTCAAGAAACACAGCACCGAGAAAGCTTGCTTGCTCAAAAATCGTGATGATGCAGGTATTGGGCGTCTGTTGCTTGTCATACCAAGCTGTAGTTTTTGTTGTAAAAAGTGCACTTTCTTTAATGTTGTTTCACATTATCCATGTTGAATTTGCAACTTTTAGTTCCGTTGATTTTTATTATTAAGATTTGGACTGTTTGGAACTTATGTAGCAACTAGCGAGCGGAGAGGTTTTGGAAGTATCAGACCATCAGGTATAGGAGGGACTTCTCGTTCATCAGAAGTGAACCCTCCAAGTGACAGGTCCACTCGAGTTGGTGTTGAGCTGCCACCATTGTCCGAACTTGATTTGGAGGTCCTAAAGAACCTTCCTCCAGAGATAATATATGAGATGAATGACATGTACAAGGGAGAATTGCATGGTTTTCTGGGGATAACCAGTGGTGACAAAGCCAAGGAAAGCAATACAAAATCTCTTGTTTTTCCAGCAGTTGATCAGAATCTTGTGCCTGTTCTTGACACGAAGCTGCATGGAGATGGAAAGCACAAAGACTCCATACATTTTAAAAAGGAGGCAGATATTAAGGTAAGATGATCATTACATTTGGAGATGCACCTGATAGTGCAGTGGCAAGGGGTGTGTGGTTTCAACCCCGAGGTCCCGTGTTCAATCCTCAACATGCTCACAATTTCTTCTTAAAAAATGTTTGGAGGGATGTCTCTCCCTCCAAATCTCTTTTTTTTTTTATCAGTAGAATTGAAACACAACTTTGCAAGCACACATTTCAAACTGCTACGTTGTACACATTTTTGAATCATCAATCTACTATTCTTACTGTTGCCATTACTCTCATAGGGGCCTTCAGGTGAACAACTCTCTGAATTAAAACAAGCCAATGCTCCACGTTCAATAGCCAGTGAATTGGTTGATATACCAACTAAAAGTGTCATACAGCATGATTTCATGCCAAATTCTTTAAGCCAGGCAGACGTCACAGTTCTTCAGGAATTACCTGAGGATGTGAAGGCTGATTTGTTTAATGCGCTTCCATTGCACAGATCAGGAGATCCTACATGCAGCACTTCACATGTTTCTGAAAACAAATTTCCCCAGGATGGAAGAAGCGATGATCCAAAACAACATCCACAGATTTGTCACCTGCCAGGGAATTCCCAAAAATGGATTGAAGAGTTCAGAGTTAGCCATTGCCTGATACTGAATGTTATTGCAGAGCAACACACAGACTCCATCTCCAGTCGACCTTTATCTTCTGTTTTAGAACCTGTAATTTCCTACCTTCCCCTGTGCCCTAACTCAGGCACTGAAGAATGGAACGAAGCATTTGCAAGCCTTTCTGAACTTCTGACACAATATATACACCAAAAGGTTGAATCTGATATTGAAGAGCTCCACAAATGTTTCCGGCTTTTAAAAAGGTAAATCATACAGCTATTCAAGCATCATTATATATGAATTTACTATGAAAATGATTGCAAACCAGGATCTGCATGCTTGTGGAACATTGGCATTTATTATTGGTGATGAAAACACTTTTCTCATTTACGGGGCTTCTCCCACTGTAGATTGTCATCAGGATCAGAGCTTTTCCTGGAATTGCACGATAGCATTCTTCCTCTCTTACAGGTAAAACTTTGCTCGTTTAATGGCCATAAGATCCACCTCCATACGTGTAATGGTCACCCTTCAAACACCTTTGCTTTCTTTAATTCGGTCTTCACAAATGTAAGATACAAATTAGTTTTAGATTTATGTAATTGTTTGGTCGTTTTGTAGGATTCTGTCAGGCAGCATTATGGTGGGATACTACATTTATAGTTTATTGTTCAAGTACAATTAGCCATTTTGCCGTCGAAAGGGCCAAGAGAACCTGTTGAGATCTTTGCTCCGATTTACCTCAACGGTGAGTCGACGCGATCTTGCGATGGTTTGATTGAATCCACAAATTCTTACTGGGGATGGCTGACAGGCTAACCATCATGGACTGTTCTCCTGATCGTGTTGTCGCTAATTCCACTTGGATATGGACCGAGCCGGTTTTTTTGTTGCTGCAAACCTACAAAGTTGTCCTTTATACCTGTAAATATAACTAGTATTATTACTAGCACTACTACATTGACGGCTCTATGCAGGCTGCAACTTGCAAAGAAATTTGTTCTTGAAGTATCCTTGTGTTTGTGGAACACAAGATGGGGAATTGGGGATGAGTTTGGCAATTGCTCTCAAAGTCTCGTTATACTGATACATTCAGCAGATGTTGACACCCTAAAATCCTCAATTCAGCAGAAGATCGTGACGCTTCAGATCGACAATATATATCAATTAGATTAGCGTGCGGGAAGAAGTCACAACAATGATTTATTCATCAATTATTAATACACAGTTCATCACAGAAGTATTAACCCCTTGAAAAGCAATACGGTTTGAAGAAATAAAAGAATGGGCTATAATACGAGGGAAAAATGCTATGAAATTTATCTATTTACGTAGGCATCATTGTTTACAGTAAATATAACCTATCATCCTATCTAACACGTATTTTAGTTCTTTCAAGTCAATCGTTGTATTGTTGCACCAGCTTTTATGGCTCCACGATGTGACCCTACAAAGATAGATAGACCGTCAGATAAATATTAAAGCGAGAGAGAACTGTGTGGCTGCTACTGAGCTATACAGCAAATATTGCAATTGAACTAAATGCAAAGGGAGCGATCGACAGGTAAATTCAATTAAAAAAACTGATGATCCATAAATTGGTTGATGGGTCTGATACTGATTACCCAGCAGCTTACTGTAAATCAACTACACACTGAAATGGTTGACAATGGAAGCCAGTAATGAAAACTCACCAGCTGGTCTACCGAATAGAGTGCAGGCGTTCAGCCAGTCGATAATATGAAGCCATCCGAGTCGAACCAGGGGAGCTTACGTGGTGATTTCTTGAAGATAGAAACACAGCTCAATGTAGGCATAAAATGATCACAGCAGTTTTATACAGTTCCAATGTGACATGATGCAAAGTTGAAATATCTGCAGGAAAAGATAACTGAAAGATTGAGGCAACAAAATAGAAGTAACCGCATTCATAGACTTGACAGGCTTTCTAAAATCACCAAATGCATTAAGCAAGTAAACACATGGTCTATGGACTGGAGAAGACATAAGCACATACCTCTCAACTGCAATGAAGAAGTGCCTTTCATTTGACCAGGATTTAGTACGTACATTTCGTTTCTGATGAACCAGTTAGATTGACCAACATGTGTTGGGATTAAACTGGCCAAACAACACCCTTACTGTGTTGGACTTTTAATGTCGGTTTTGCACACTGAAATGCTATGAGCAATTTGCCCATGTACCTCAGTACCATCAGAATTGCAGTTAAATTATCCTGGCAAAAAATGGGGACATCCATTTAATAGATGGAGGTTTTGCACAATAATTATTATTTGATGATGTATGTTTGATTTCTTTACTCACCCTTAACTACCAAGGTTAGTGGTGATGGAAGTAGTTTGGTTTCCTTGTCTTTAGACTTGCTCTCGGGCAGAACACTGATTTCCTTGCTTTTAAATGAGAACCAAATTAGCTCTCCTCTCCAAGCAAGGAGTTCCTAGCCCACTAGGAAGGCTATCCAAAAAATCAAACATGACCTACATTCACCAAATTGGTGAGAGTTGAAAAATCTTAGCTTAAACTAACACGGAGTATGTCCTTGAGGTGAAAAGGAGAGCCATTATGCTATAAAACAGGGCTAATCAGATCCTTTTGGGATTTTTAATCTGTGTAGTATACCCACAAGGTTAACTCAGCAACTGTAAGCAAAAGCTTCCTAGATTAAAAAACGAAATAAGGAAAGACTTGCAGCAGTGGGAGAAAGAAAGACTGAAACTGAACCTACTTTTTAGTAAAAAATGAAATAAGGAAAGACTTGCAGCAGTGGGAGGAAAAAAGACTGAAACTGAACCTACTTTTTAGGAAAATAAGGCATTCAGATTACAATGTTGTACAGTCAACATTCTGTAGCTGATTTGCTGGGGCACTTACCAGGTTCCATTGGATTTGCAAGTTCCATATGAAAGCTGCATCAAGAATGCTGGGTCGGGCTCACAACAATCATGTGATTAACTCAACTGCTCACCAAGGAAAAGAATTGCCAGTGAAATTAAACATCTATCAGCTTGAAAGACAGCATTAGTCACCTAGCTTCTTCTCTGACTTCACTAACAAGGCTACTGGATACTTCATGCATTTTATTTGTCACCAATGCATATGTTTGAGAACTAATGCAACAGTATCTTTTCTCCATAATGGACAGCATCTGGAAACATATATCAACATAGCCAGCTTTGAGCAAACCATCATTTAGAATTTTCCATGCAACCTCATCATGATTATAGCCCAGTTCAAGCAAGTCACAGAACAGAGATTTAACCTTCTCAAAGTCTCCTTCATTACAAAGGCCTACCACAAGAAGCCTGTAGGACTCGAGTTGAGGTTGAAAGCCACATTCTGACATGATGCTAACAAACGACAAAGCCTTTTCAAAGAACTTGGTATCGCAACAGCACTTGATAAGCAATGTGTATATGTCTTCATTGGGAGATAGACCTTTTCCGCACATATGATCTAGAAGAAGGCATGCTTCTTCAAGACGTCCAGCTTTGCAGAATCCTGCAATGAGAGAACTGTATGTCGTTACGGTGGGATTTAGTCCATGCTTCACCATCCTTTCAAGAAGTTGCCAGGTAATATCCAACTCTATCAAGTTCCACATGCCAGAAGTATCTACAGAACGAACATAAGCCAGATTGCCCTTTAGAAGATGCTTGAGCAAAAGACAATAGGTCCAGTAATTTGGCTCACATGATGCACCCACCATGCGCTTCAGAGTAGAAAATGCACGATCTATATACCCCATATGCCCACAGCCATCAATGAGTATGTTGTAGGTCACCACATCAGGGGCAACACCTTCTCTTTCCATTTTCAAGATTAAATCCTCAGCATCCTCCAGTCGACCTTCCTTGCAGTATGAGTTAATGAATACAGTATATGTGGTAGCACTAGGCTTATGTCCTGATGAAGTCATTTCATTGTACATCCTTTTAGCATGGTCATGCTTTCCTTCCCTGAGCATTTCATCAATTAGTATTGTGTAGGCAAAAATGGTACACTTTATTCCCCTGAGAGACATCTGATCCAGTATTGGCAGAGCTTCATTCAGCCTTTTTTGTTTGCATAAAGCATGCAGCAGTACACTGTACGTGTATGAATCTGGTGTGCAACCCTCATCAATCATCCTCTCTATAAGGGTCGCAGCAAAGTCAGTATTGCCTGCCTTACTGAAACCATCAATTAAAGTAGTATAGTATACCTTTGTTAGAGCTACTCCTTTTCTAACAATAAATGAATAAGCTTCTTCAGCTCTTCCAGCTTTACACAGTGCATCAGTTAACACAGCATATGCATGCTCATCAGGCTTCAAACCATTCTGCTCCATCATTTCAAATAACCTGAAAGCATTATCGAAATCATGTTCATCGCACTGACCTTGAAGTAAAGTGGTGTAGGTGATAACATTAGGAATTATCCCGTCTTTTTGCATCTTAGTTAATAGAGCCATTGCCTTATGTAGTTTCTTATCCTTAACTAACCCATACATCAGAGAATTGTAGGTCCAGGCATTTGGCTGGCAACCATCACGTTCCATCATCTTCAAGACCTCTAGCGCAATATCAACCTTCCCACTCTTGCAATACCCATCAATTATAGATGTGTAGGTGATGACATTTGGGACTAAACCATTTGCAGAAATTTCGTTCAACAGTTCTTTAGCCTCTTTTAGCCTATCCTTCTTAATGAGGCTATTTATCAGCTTTCCAAAAACTTGTAAATCAAGTTTACACTTGCTTGACATCATCTTATTCTTCATCCTGAGTGCATCATCAAATTTTTCAGCCATGCAATACCCATTGATCAAGTTAGTGAATGTAACAACTGTAGGTGTAAAACCTTCCTTAACAGCATTATTCAGCAATTCTTCAGCTTCTTCTGTCTTTTGGTCACATAGGCCATAAATCAAAGTGTTGTATGTCCAATCATCTGGGTGGCAGCCATTTTTTTCCATCAGCTCCTTAATCTTCAATGCATCATTCATCCTACCTAACTTAGAGTACCCAACAATCATTGCATTGTATGTCATAACACTTGGAACAACACCATTCTGGGGCATTGCATCAAACAACAACCTGGCATCGCCAACCCTACCTGACTTGCAAAGTCCGCTGATCAAGAATGTAAAAGCGCGCACATTTGGAGAGCAGCCATCTCTCTTCATCATCAAGAACAGCACAAGTGCCTTCCTTACACATTTAGCATCACAGAGCCCCTGAATTAAAATGGTGTAGGAGTACTCATTTCTCTGGCAACCCATCAGCGGCATCATCAGGAATAGCCAGCAAGCCTTCCTCAATTCACCCGTTCGGCAGTAACCCAACACCAATGCATTACATGTGAACGTCTCTGGTTCCAACCCACCCTCCAGCAACAGCCTGAAATACCGGTGCGCGGTGGTGAGATCACCTTCCTTGCAGTATGACTTAATCATGGTATTGTACGTCACTGTGTCCGGCAACAGACCATCCTGAACAAGCTGCGAGTACACCCTCCCCATATACTCCGTCATGTCGAACCGCGCCAGCGATCGAAGGGCGAAGTTGTAGCACTTCGGGGACAGCGCAAGGCGCGCGCTACCCGTTCGACGGATTGCCTGAATGGCGTCGGCCGAGACGCGCATGTCCTCCGCGGTGTCGGAGCAATTGAGCATGGACACGACGAGCCTCTCGTACTGCGCGGGGGCGCGTCGGCGCGACAGGAGGTGGAGGAGCGCCGCGTGGGAGTCGGCGGTGTGGCGGAACCCATCGCGGCGGGCGAGCCACTCGAAGAAGGCGAGGGCGGTGGCGGGCTCGGGGGCTGTGGAGTCCGCGCGGAAGAGGTCGGCGACGTGCGCGGCGGTGACGGAGGGGGCGAGGCGCTTGTACGCGCGGCCCTTGTTCCAGCGACGGGTGGAGAGGATGCGGCCGAGCTCCGCGACGACGTCCGGGGTGGAGGTGGATGGAGCGGCGGCGGCGGAGGAGGTGGCGGACGGGGCCAGGGGCGGGAGGCGGCGCATGGTGGGGGCGGCGGGGTTTAGGGTTTTGCGGCGGCGGCGGCGGGGAGGGGAGGAGGAGGCATTCGATTGTGGGGGTTAGCGGGGGGTTTAGCCGCGGCGGCGGCACGGAGGAGGAGATGGTGGCGATGCCCCCATTGGGACTTGGGGTTTTCCGGTTCTCTCTTTCTTTCCCCTTTGGCTCTGTTTCGGCACTCGTTTTGCGGAGAACGCATAACTCTTTTGACTCTTTTTTAAGCCTATTAATTAACTTTTTTTTACTCCCTCCGTTTCAAAATATTTGACACAGTTGACTTTTTAGCATGTGTTTGACCATTCGTCTTATTAAAAAATTTAAGTAATTATTTATTATTTTCATATCATTTGATTCATTATTAAATATACTTTCATGTACATATATAGTTTTACATATTTCACAATTTTTTTAATAAGACAAACGGTCAAACATGTGCTAAAAAGTCAACGATGTCAAACATTTTGAAACGGAGGGAATATATAAGAACATTGGGAGGGGTTTGTTTTAAAAGTTTTTCTTTACAGGTCGAATGTGTCCAACGCCTAATATGTAAAACCAAATTAAATATCATACTCCCTATTTGAAGTGAATATAATGGTGAACTAAAATATCTTAGATTGTTGCAATAGATATGAGCATATGAGTAACTCCAAACGACTAACTCCGATATCGACTAACTCCAATCCAGTACTCCCTCCATACTCGTAAAGAAAGTCGTTTAGGATAATGTTTAAGTCAAACCTTGGGAATATAAATCATGAATAACTCTCAAGTTGTTAAGTTTGATAATGTAAAAATTATATGAATAGATTTGTCTTAAAAAATACTTTCATAGAAGTATACATATATCACTTTTCAATGAATATTTTTATAGAAACAAGAAGTCAAAGTTGTGTTTTGGAGACCGTATCGATGTCCTAAACGACTTCCTTTATAAGTATGGAGGGAGTATCTGTAAAAGCAAAAGAACACATATCACTAAACGAATTAATAACATGTATCTTAAATTTAGCGTCTCGATTAGCGCACAAGCCGTTCTAGTCGGTTATTGAGGACACCACATACAAGTAAATACTAAAACCTCACTTGCCTCACACGAGAGATGGAATCTCAAGTCCATGGTGATATTTGGATGGCAACATCTTGAGTGAAGAAAGTTGTGGTTGTTCATAAGTTCTTTATAACAACTCATTTTGCAACGAATTTTTGGGAGTTGATGCAACGAAAAGAAATGTAAAATGGGATGCAAAACAGTGAGCCCGATGTGATAGAGACAAAGTACATACCCTTCTACAAACTACCTCTATAAGCACGCTCGTTCCTATGAACGTACACACGCATACTCTGTTTCTATAAACACCACACATCGTTGAAAGGATAATTAATCATAAATACGAGTTCTCGTATGAATTCTACGATTTGAATCTAGGTGAGCTAGTTCCACCATAAATAATCTAACCAATTGAACTAACTAATTTTTATTCGAGATAAGAGAAGAAATGACATTATACCGAAAATCTTTGGTTAAGAGTGGTATTTTATCGGATGCCGTTCGTGAAGTGGCATTCTAGCTTAAACACATAGTACTTGGTTGGATCGCGTAATCCCAATTTTCTGGCAGCAACTATAGCAAGTCTTGTTTTCTCTGTCCTGTTCTGCTACTTCGGGGAAACTATAGTCATGGTTCGACACTGTGACGACACCATTATGCCAGACAAACCCGAATTTCCGTCGTCGTCGTCGCCATCGCGGCATCGCCGGGAGCCGCCGCCTCCACCACGCGCGCCTCCCGGTACAAAAAGGCCCAATCCGAGTGGCCCGAGAGTTGTGCGTGCATGTGCCGGTGTCGTTCGTAAGTTCGTCGCGCGCGCGCAGCAGCAGCACGTACGATCGCAACGCCGTCCTCGCCGTGGCAACGCGCGATCCACCGCAGCGCCCGCGCGCGATGCAGCTCCGCTTCGCCACAGTGCCGCCGCCCCCGCCGCCGCTCCCGCTCTCCACCCACCGTCCGTTCCCCCACCTCCGCCACCACCGGTGTCCCCGCAGATCACCGCCTCCAGCCACGAAGTCGTCTCCGCTCCTCCGCGCGCGTCGCTCGTTGCCCTTCACGCCCCGCGCCCACGGCGATCACCACCACGGCCACTGCCACTGCCACCACCACCACAACGATCGCCACAAGGTGGGCGTGCACGGGCACGGAGCAGGAGGCGGGGGCGCGGCGGTCATGCGCGTGGCGAGGGCGATCGGGTGGGCCGACGTCGCGGACGCGCTGCGCGAGCACCTGCAGGTCAGCTGCATCTCCATCGGCCTCCTCCTGGTCGCCGCCGCGTGCCCGCACATGGCGGCGCTCAACTTCGCCAAGCGTTTGCAGGCAACGGCCATCGCCATCGCCTTGCCTCTCGTCGGGGTAAATCTAAGCTCTGCTGCTTTAGTTTTGAAGCCATTGTTGTCTTGTTGACTTTAATTAATTAACTACAATAACTACGAGCAAGCTAAAGCAATGCTCGTAGTTGCTTAATTTGCATTATTGTTCAAACCTTTTAGGATTGGAAGTATGCTTGGTGCTTACACCTTCAAGGTACAGAACCAAGCTTAATTTTCCAATCACTGATAAACTAATGATTACCTAATTTGAATCTTTTTTGGAAAGGGAAAATGAAGCCTCCTTTAGTACAGAGGAATTTCATGGGAATTTTGGAAGAAATGACCCGTTTCCTGTGAAATCCTGTGAGCTTTCTACGTTTCAAAGCAGGCTTGAATGTACGTGGAGGGAAATAGAGACAAAGACACTTCCTCTAGTCTAGTTCTAAATTGACGTCTAAGATTTGGTTTAACTTTCAAAACTTTGGTCATCAATAATTTCTCAATGTTTAGTTTATACTCTCTCCGTTATTCTCTCCGTTATAGAATAAGATCATTTCTTGCCTCTCCTATATTTCCTAAAATAAGTTTACTTTTAGCAATCATTGCATTGAGTTATAGTTTATGAAGATAAAAGATAAATGGATTGGAAGTAGATAAAGTTAAAAAATAGTTACATTGAGATTTGATAAAGTGGAGATATTATAGTGTTTTTTTTTATGTGCGGGGTGGTGAAAAGTAACTTATTTTAGGATGGAGGGAGTGTAAAAATAGTGTATGTATATTTGATTTGAAAAGGTACCATTGAAACATCATTTTATTAACTCTTTCTAATTGTATAAAAATGATGACCCAATTTTTAAAAATTAACGGAATATTATCATAAATAAAAATATCGATGACAAGAGGGAATATATTGCTTTTGAAGGGAATATATATATTGTTTGAACTAACAAGTAATAAAAAAATTATATTAAAACTTCTTGTGGAAAAAATGATACCAGTAATTATTGTTTTTCAAAATGATGGATATACACTTTTCACAGACTTTTTATGAATGGCTAGAAAATAATGATGAAATGTGCATATTAAAAACCTTGTGGATTGCTAAAACCACAAGGGAAAGAAATAGAGGTAAAAAAAGCTACATTATGAATAGCGAGGCTGATCGGTAGTGATTGATGTCGTAGATGTTATGGTTGCGATAACTCCAAGCTGTTGCCCTTCGGCAGCCATTTTCAATGGCCACAACCACATTCGCTGTGACAGCCAGCAGAAGCGAACAACCTCAGTATTGCTAGATCTGGCATTCTTAGGGAAAAATATTATTTTGTTTGAGCCAACTTGGCCCATTTGAAACTCATGATTGTTAAACACACGGGAATAGGAAAAATGTAGGAATAGAATATCATGTTTATTGGATTCCTACGGGATTTAAAATCACAGGAAAGTTTCAAAACTATTGTTTGATAGTCACACATGAAAAATGTTCAATTCAATACATGCGAAGAAGAAAACGTAAGGTAAAACCTCATGTTAATTTTTCTCCAAAATTCTCTATAATAGTTTATTCTATAGGAATTTTTTAAAAAATATTTGAAATCAATCTTTGTTTCAAAAGATATTACGGGCTTAGTTTTTATAGGGTATAAATCTTTTGGAACTTCTATATTTTTTCTTTGTTTCGAAGGAGCCTAAACCACGGGGAAACCATGCATCAACACCGTGACGCCACGGTTTGGTGAAGGGATCGCCGGGGCGTCCCGTCAACCGTCATCCGCCACACGCCCCCCCCGGCACAAAACTCCAAGCCCAGCCGTGGACCATCCCTGCTGCTAAGCTCTCACCACAGCCACCAGTCCACGGCCTCCCCCCGCCTGCCTCGCCGCCGCAGCCGCCTCCCGCCCGCCGCAGCCGACGCCACGCGCGCGATCTCCCCCCCTCCCCCCCCCCCACCTTCCACCGTTCCACGCCTCGCCGCCGACCCGTTCGGCGATGCAGCTCCTCACCGCCGCCTCCGCCTCCGCCTCCTCCGCCGCGGCGTCGCCGCCCTCCGCGCACCTCCTCCGCCTCTCGCGGCCCCCTCCCTTCCCCCACCTCCGCCGCCGCTGCGCTCCCCACCTCCCTTCCAAACCCCTCAACCTAGCCGCTAGGTCCCCTCTCCTCCTCGCGCGTCGCTCCTTGCCCTTCGCCCCCCGCGCCCACGGCGATCACCACCACGGCCACCACCACCACCACCATGGCCACGGGCACAGTCATCATCATGGGCCGGAGGTGCACGGGAGTGGCGGGGGCGCGGCGGTCATGCGGGTGGCGAAGGCGATCGGTTGGGCGGACGTCGCCGACGCGCTGCGGGAGCACCTGCAACTCTGCTGCATCTCCCTCGGCCTCCTCCTGATTGCCGCCGCCTGCCCGCACATCCCGGTGCTCAACTCCGTCAGGCGTCTGCAGGATGCGCTAATCGCCGTAGCCTTCCCACTTGTCGGGGTAATTTCATGGGCTCTGCTCTTTTGTTGACCTTAAGTTCGGATTAGGAATAACCAGGAGCAATTTATAACTTGAAGTTGCAAAAGTAGTTCACGTGCTTGTGTCAAATTGTTACGTATTCGTAATGCTGATTTATTGTCTGAAAGTTGGAACCATAGGAGTGGGTTTGCAGTAAGTATCAAGCATATTCTCAGGATTTTTATCGATCACAGAAGCTTATGGAATACATTTCATGAAACTGAGTTTTATCATTTGAAATTTTACTCTTAAGATGTTTATTATTGCAAGTTCCTATTCACTTGGTACTCCTGAGCCCTGAGGTGCTTGTTCAA